CTCGAAAGTATTGATTGAAAGTATTGATTAAGTAATTTTGGAATATGAGGAAGTATATTTGAGATCATAATTGGACTTCAAAAAGGAAATTTTTCCTCCCACGGGAGGTACCTATAATATGTTTTTTTCCTTCCCGTGGGATTAAATCGACAGCTTTGTGTCCTTGACTGAGGAAGCAACTAAGATATGAAAAAATTCCAAATAAATAAACCATACTTCTTGTTGATTTTAGGAAATAAAAATGTATTATTGAAGTAGGTACAACGTGAGTATATAAAGTGTCCAATTATGGAAAAAGAAGGACAAGTAGTTGTAAATGGATATCTAAGATGGGTGGCAAAAGAAGTTGAAATTTCCAACTTTATCATAAAATATCTCGATAAATAGCGGTTTGTTCACATTTTCATTGTGAAATTCCTGTTTATCAGACGAAAATACGTCAGTACCAAGAAAAATTTTCGAAAAAAGAAACCATCGCATGATAAGTGCACATTTACCCTATTCGGTGTTCCAAATTTCAAAAATATTGCTAGAAAAACAAAGGATAACAGATGGGTAGGAGTCTGTGTCGCCCGGTATATACCTATAATTTGGCGTTGGCGGCTTTCTTTTTTTTTGTAAGCGTGCGATTTCAACCTATTTGTATCGATTCGCCGGCGATTAAAACGCTCATATTGTTGTGTATTGAAACACCATTATTATAAACACGCCTGCAACAATTTCGTTGAACGTCGGACTTTGGACCCGATACCTGTACCATCGGACTTTGGACCGGTGATCACTCGCGAAGCGTATGAATAATGAATTGTTCGTGTCTCTGTCTCCCTTTTTCAGTCGAGAACGTGTTCATTGTGTGTGTGGATTTTCTCGATCTTATTCATTTTGCCATTGGATTTTCAGGTGAAAATGCGCATCTTTCACAGAAGTTGGAATCGCATTAGGAGAATCCTTTACACTACTTTACATTGTTTTTCGATTTTATCAGAAGTCAAAGATATTTTGGCGTATCAGTTGTAGGAAGAACTGTATGCCTTTTTGAATAGTCATTTTGTGAGGATATTTGATAGTTGTGGCAATGCCGAACACTATGATGGTTGTATCGTATATTGTAGAATGAATGACACGGAGGTTTATACGAATGCCAACTGTATTACCGATTTTATTGAGATTTGCGACTGTTCACTCTGAAGATTCAAGAATAACTGATTATAATAAATTGGGTATTGAGCTAGAATGGTAGGTCTCTATAAGCTTTACCAAGAATAATAATTAGGGCTCGAATTAGGGTAATACCATCCTATAGCCAGATGGTCATAAAAGATCAATGTTGTGAACATGCAATAAGTATAGTTGGCATTTCGTATAGAGAGGTAGAAAAAACCCTTATCGGGAAAAACCCAACACTTCGGATGATGGAATATGTATACAGAGTATAAAATGTAATATGGTATACAGGAAAGTTAATTGAATATACAAATATAAACACGAGTGGAAAAATTCCCCACAATATTTTTCAACATTTCGACTCGTTCTTTACTAACCATAGAATTGAAAATGCGTTATTTTTGCAAAACTTGGCATTCCAAACACGTGAGGGTGCAACGATATAGCTAGATATCCCTCCAAAAGTAGCTAGAAATTGACAAATGAAGGCGATGAAGTCATATCTTATTGTCATTTTCTGTCGAATCTGTCCATTTTACTCAAAATTTCAGTCCGCATTGAAGATCAAATTCCATTTGATCAAATCTAGCCATTCCATAAGAATTTTTCGTACTGCAAAATGAAACACTAAATTTTATATCTAGTTAGAGAACATGAACTCTGAGTGACTGAAATTATCATTCGATAAGGGAACTGTGGGTGGAAAAATGTAACAATCTCAAAAAAAAAAAACATTTTATAGAAAAAAATATGCCTATACATAGTTTTTCGACAAAGAAAAGAACATAGCTGTTCACTTTTCACTGCCTAGAAACTATTTCATGACAAAAATATCACAATGATCATAATAATTGTGCGTGCATACTGAATTCAACACGTGAATTAAGTCATTATTTTAGGCTTATTTTGTTTCTAGTCTATATAGAAATTCAGATTCAATTAATAGATAGAAAATATGGCTGACGGTTAACAAAATCACTGGACACCTAACTATAAAATGGTCGAGTTGGCAACATTTGGCGAATACACCAATTTGCCTACGCCAAAATTGTCGTTTGGAACCTCCGGCATTTTTTCGACGTTGGAAATACTTGTTTTAGAGGGGACTGAAGAAAACTCATTACCAGTCGAACTCGAACTTATCAAAACGTTTAAAAAATGTTAAGTTATTTTGTGTTATTCGGACTTTTTTCCCACTAAATCCAACATACCTGTTTATGATAGGTAGGTATCTTGATAACTCTGGATAATAAGAATGTTATGTACCCGCGGTTATGTAATTTGTAATGAAAGATTCACTTTGAAGTTCAAGAAAATTGATGAGGACAACGTTTTTTTATGGCGAACCGTCACCTAATTTTATATGTTTTATAGGTATTGCCACCAGTTTACAAAAATGTACCTACCGGTTTGTGATAGTTGAACATAAAAGTTTTTCTGTGGTTTAAGTTTGCCTTATCCCAACGATATTTTATTCTTTCGACATTGGAAATTACCATAACCATACCTTTGATCTATATATTCAAATACAGAAGGATGCAGAATCATATTCCGAAAAACCGGATAAACCTGTGCACCAGGAGATTATATACCGAGTGTTTCGAATTTAGCTACCAATATATATGATCAGCGGTTTCTGCGAACGAAAATAATAAAATAGGTGTTTCCTAACTATATACGGTAGGTACATAACGAACAGTGTTATTCCTATTAATATTGAGAAAAAAAGTACGCTATTCCCGGCTGTCCCAGAATATTTCTGAGACGGTTTCATCAAGAGTCAATATTTGAAGAAAGTTAATCTAGAAAAGTTTCTTCGGAAATTTCGAGGCGTTTTTTCTTCGATCTTGATCAGGGAAAGTTTTGTGTTGTGCTTATCAAAACTGAAATAAATTACATGCAGCTTATTGCAACAATGTATATAGGGCCCGCACAAAATGACATTCTGTATATTAATATTGATGTGTTATGTGGGAATGTTAGAGCTTATCAACACAATAGTTGTTGCATTGCAACCAGAAAACTGTATATTGACACATTATCATGGGTCGATATAAGTTCAGAAAGTTCAACCTGATTTCATATTCTTTTCATGTCGAAATTTTATTGATACCTAATTGATAAATGGCTGATATGGTTGAAATAAATAAAATGACTCGTATAAAATGATGATAAACCAAACCCCAGCAGATTCAAATTTATCTTTCGTACATTTATATCAATTATCGTTAAACTATTTATAAATAGAGTTAACTTTTTTGTGTTGATGCAAATAACATGGATGAAAAACACTGTATAATTTTATTATAAAAGGATATTGAACTTCCTGATGAAGCTCAATGAAAATGTTTAAATGCATTTTATAAACAATCGAAAACAATATTCAAGCAAACAGTAGGTATAGTAGTACCGAGTGCAGAATGCATGAAAAATATCCCTATTTTCATCAGGGAGAGGTGTGGTATAGGTTCAATGAGAGAAAGAGTTCAATGAAAAGGCATGTCGTTTTTTGGTAAAAATAGTATATTGTTTAACGGCGCGCACGCGGAATGATAGTGATTTCCTACGAGAGGAAATGAGCATTCCGTGCAAAAGTTATACACTATAATTTTTCAACGGCTATAATAGATAACAGCGGCATTTTCGATTTTTTCGTCTTGTAGCCATCCGAATTCCTGTCAAGTAATGCTCATCTACTAGACAGAGCTGTCATTGCTTGAAAATTGACATTCCATGAGCGATGAGATTTTTTCGAAACAATAATACACAATGGAGTCAATGTGATATCAGATACGAAACTTTTTTCTACGGCTTCAACACAAAATTGTTCTTGTTTTACTGTCGTGTTCGTTACATCAATGAGATACTTGGTTTGTCATCAATTTTATTTTCGTATATATCACAATGACTCCATCGTGTTGATTATTTGAGAAAAATCTCATCGCCCAGGGAATGTCAAAATTCAAGCAATGTCAGCTCTCTGTCTAATAGATGAGCATTACTTGAGAGAAAATCCTCGAGGAAATCAGATGGCTACAAGACGAGGAAATGAAATAAAATGTTACTTTTATTTGTTACAGCCGTAGAAAAATTATAGTGCATATAACTCGCACGAAATGCTAATTTCCCACAATGATTTATTCTGCTCGTAGGAAATCACGATTATTCCGTGCCCGTTAAACAATATATTATTATGTATATAGGTACTATTTTTTTCCTCAATTTTTTTGCATCAGCTCGAATAGTTTCTTAGCCGATTTTTGTCAAACTTTGCTGGTTTTATTTTGTAAAAAGAAAATGTATCTTTTGGCGTAGTTACATTTACTATATATAATTATTCCAGTCGTGGCACCCAAGATTTTCAGATTACCTGATTGATATTTAATTATGGTAAAATTCGCATTGTGATCGTTTTTTTTCAATATTTTTATGGGGTCATCAAGTTGGCGGATTTATGGTAGTAAGTATAAGTCTATAGAAGAATAATAAAGGTATTATTATTCCCGAGATTATTTCCATTATCTTATCATGTCTCTCAGTGTTTTTTGCTATTTTTTTGGCCGAAAAATTCATAGAGTATGGCGATATAGGTATGAACTTCTACACAGGTAATTTACCTAATATGGAAAAATCATAAAATATTATATATTCCTCGAGATAAATAATGCCTTTTGTTTGAAATGAGAACATTCAACCCAAAACTAGCACACCGCTTATTTTCTTTGTTCTCTGTTTATCAGTTCGCTTTCAACAAGTCGAAAAAGCCCACAAAACAAACACAAAACATCTGTCGACCAACCAACGACAAAAAAAACGAAAATAAACTATCAACTCACTTTTTCCAGGCACTTCTGCCCTATGGACTTCGGATCGATGCCTCGTACTTCGAAAACCACCGAATTCGGTTGGCTAATCAGGCACCACATTTTCCAAGATTAAACCTTGTTTTTTGTCAATTAAAAAAAGGTAAACTAACAGAAACTGTCGCTCTTCCGGAACAAAGTCCTCTCGCTTATTTCTTCCCGCGCGTGCTTCTGTGTACAACTTTTGCACATCTTACGTTTATTGAACGATCTGCTACCCGTTCCACAAAACGGTCAGAGATAAATAAATAATAAATCGAATAAAGTGGCAACCCACCATTTGTAGGTAAGGTAAACTCTGATTGAATTTACTGCGATCTGCGCAACGCGGCTACGACCTACGTCCCGGGCGAGCGGCACGGGTAGAGAGTATCGCCCTGTATGACGCGTGTCGCAGTAGACCCCACTTTGTGCCCACAGCTGGTGGACATTGGTGTAACGCGGGTGAGGGTTGAGGGGTCGGATAAATTCGTTCGTTGAACTCTTGACAAAACACATTTTAAAAATATCTGGCTTTTATAAACCTAGTATTTTTAAATTTTGAACCAAATCTCTCAAACCACTTCAGTGGGAGGTTGAGGTTCGGTGAACAATCGAAAAAAAATCTGGCTCCTACACCTCTTCTAGCGTCAATTGAAGTTCATGAAGCGTCGTCAATTGTACCCAGTCAACACGCCTGTGACATGACATCTATCTGAGATGTCGCGTTTAGGCAACAGTGCGATATATCACAAACATTCCATCGTTGCGATGTTCATGAGCAAACACATCTGCGACATGACATCTCTGAGATGTCGCGCGATGAGGCAACACTGCGATATTACGAATGTTTCGTCGCTGCGATGTACAGAAGTAAACACATCTGCGACATGACATCTCTAAGATGTCATGTTGAGGCAACATGCATCGCTGCGATGTATAGAAATAAACTCATATGCGAGAATTTTTCAAAAATATGTTCTTTCTTGTTCCGTGAAAAAGAATACATGAATATACGTTACTCAACAAAGTGAAGCTGAATTCGCAAATATTCGTTACATTTGCTATCAAGATATTCTTGGTTTGCTCACATCTCGCCGACACACACAGGCTCTGATACGAATACGAGTAACACATCGTTTTTCCGTCACAAATAACATATCGCAATTACATTTTTCATAAAATATATCGCTGTTATATCGCAGAGAACTAATCGCAGCGACGTCACATGGAGGAATCTTGAGTGGTACAAAATAAACATCCCTCTGACATCGCAGCGACGTCTATATGCGACATAGAATGCGATATCACAGGTCACAATTGTTACATCGCTGCGATGTAACTGTGTTTGATGGGTGTTGGGTCGTATTTCAGAATAGTCACGACGTGTATTTCAGAAATTTGAATTCCAGAAATAAACATCACTTGTATTTCAATAAGCGTTCATTGTATTTCAGATGATATTTTCTGAAATACAAATGCCACTTATTTCTGAAATTCAATTGACTATTTTGGAAATTGAATTTACTATTCTGAAATACAATTAACGCTTCTGAAATTTAATTTTCTATTCTAAAATACAATTGGTGCTTACTGAATTACAAGTGATTGTTCCCAAATACAATTGACACGTACTCTTCTGAAATACGACTGAAAAAGGTGTAGTATTTACTCATTATGAACAAAATCTGTAAGAATCATTAAATATGTATACCTAGGTATTTTTATTTTCTCGATAAGCTCAGATTTCACTTGAGGAAAATTTAAAATCATTGGTGAACTACCATGTTCACACAAAGCTAATACGCGATTTTGCTAGCATCGCGATGTTGCCGTTTCTTTTTACATGTTTTGTTAGCTATGAGGTATCATTGGACTCCCCTCCATTAATTACCATTTGAAATTTTTTGGGGAATGACACCACTGCTTGGAAGAGTAAAATTACAACTCCGCGTCAAATTCATCAATAAATAATCTATAAAACAATATCAATTTCGGAAATATTCATCAAAAAAATACCCTAACATTATAATTTTTAGAAAGCACTATTTTTTTGAAGGTTCTGAAAAACTAGTTTTATCCTACCAATATTTTTTATTGAAATTCGGGGTTCTTCCATTTCAAGGCTTCTAAATCTAGTGAATTTGTAATTTGTCAAAAAAACAATCACTGTTGATCTAGTCTTGATATTTATGAATAATAGGATGAAAAATAGTGCAGTTAAATTTCTGGAAGATGAAAAAAAAAAAAATGTAAATGTAACCAAAAATCTTCTAGTATGGCAACTATTATTTTCAGATGAAAGTTTCTTTGCTGTTTTTTTTTCAGATTTTATATAAATTTAATGCTATCAACAGGGCACCATACTAGAGAGCATAAGAAAAGAAGATAACACTTTATAATATTTTATTTCCCTGCACATTATTCTTATTATTGATTGCAATCTTGACCTGCCTTTTGGCTTCTTCCTTGAAAGCCTGCACATTCAATTTCTTTTCTATCCTTCTTTCTTTCCTGTACTCCTTCAACAATTTTTTTCTGTATGTTCTCTCCTCAGGAGTCTCATCTTTGGGTCTGATAGACAAAGTCGATATTTGTGATAGTATAGATTGGCCCCCTATAGATTTTGGACCAGTAGAACTAAAGGGAGAAGTTTCCTCATTCAATTTATTCAGAGCTTTGGTTGTAAGTTTATTCGAGTCAAGGATGTTTAAAGGGATGCCAGTTTTCTTGCTTATTTGGATTTTATTCATCTGAAAAAAAAGTTTCAATAAAAAATGTAATGAAAAAACATTGATTAGATCACACCCTTGGTTCTTGTATCAACTTGGGATGGTTATAAATATTGGAATAAGTGCTGAGGATAGTCTCACAATCCCATTTTTCTTTTTCAGGCACTGGCATATCTACCAGTTCCTCATTTTCACTGTCAGACAGGATTTCCAACTGGTTTTTGATCTTTTCTGCAATCACATGACTATCAATATGCTCTCTCTGACAAGACTTTTCAAACTCTTCAGCATATTGCAGCAAAATGTCTGAAGTTTCAGGTACATGACCTTCAATCTCTTCACAGTCTAGGGCCCCAATCTCATTATCTTCATAACCAGCATACATCTAAAAAAATGTCCATAATTTTATAGCTTGTCAGTAATGGATATGCATTTTTTTCAGAAGATTACCTGTTCGAATTTGTCATCTAAAAGGGTCAATTGGTCATTCCTTCTCATCACAGAACTTGTCATTGAATAACTTGTGAACCTTGATTTGGTTTCTTCATTACCAAAAGACCTTTCAGAGCAAGGAAGAGAACCAACATCATCTAGTTCTTCTCCATCACTGTCTGAATCAAACATTTCTTCATTACCACTACATTCTTGGTCAGATGCTAAACCATCTGCTAGTTCTATGAAGTTGTCTTCTAGCTGGTTTTCTGGGTCGGAATAGTCAAAATCTTCATCCATAGCTGCTACAATATCTGGGTCCAAGTGTAATTGAGGTCCTAAAATAATTATTCAAAGTGAGGCAAGTTGTCTCTAGATGCTTTGGGGTATTTACCTGAGACAGGTGGTGCTTTAGCCAACATTCCAACTTTTTCTTCAACTTCAGAAGCAAACACACTATCAGGTAGCTCACTCTTAGCTTTTTCTATCCTTTCTGTTAACTCCTTTTCCACATGTTCTGGCCACTTCATTTGGTGGTCTTTGGAGTCTTTGAGGTAATCCAAGTAGTTACTGTCATCATCATAGTAGATTCCATGTTTGTGCTGTTCTTCAATGCGTTTTTCTTTCTCTTTTTTGGGATCCCTAACTTCCACAGGTACAAGAACTCTTTGAGGAGCATCTTCGTCAGCGACTAAGGGGTCCTGTTGACTCCTGTGGACCAGTTGGAAGGTGACAGCTTTTTTCTTGTCGATTTTCTTGAGTTTGGGCTAGAAACAAGGGTCGAAATCTAACACAGAGTTCATTATTGATGAGATGCAGGAGATGCTTACCATGTTTCTTTATATAATGGATATGTTTTTGTTGTATTTAATATTACGTGATGTTTTCTCAACACGTATTATGGTGTGAACTTATATGTTAGGTTAAACTTTATTCATTAAAATGAAATGTAATTAATGACATATGACAGGTCTTCAGTGTTGTGGCCTTGAGAGTTGATCACAGTGATACCAACTGTGGGAAACACTAACTTGAAACTTGTGATAGTAGTGCCAACTGCCTGGCCAGAAACTTCCTAAAACAGCAAAATCCGAATTCTTCAGTAGTCCGAACAAGCATTTTTAATACATTGAGTACTCTATAATCCGAATTTCATAGTTTTTTTTTTTTTTTATCGCTTGGAGCGCACGAGAGGGAAATTGTGAGTGAAATGTTCAGGGATTCCCCTAATTGTTCTTTTGTTAGTTCCCCGCTGGGATTCACATTACGCAAGGAAGAAAATACTATTCTGTTAAATGATATTCTTGTACTTCAAAGATTGAAAGAAATGGCCTTTATAAATAATCAAAGATGTGTTAAGCAAACAAAAATTACAAATTACTTTAGAAACTAGTATTATATTCTTACTTTTATGCATATTTTAGTGTAACTTTTTCGTATTTATGTTTTTTTTGCATTTCCTAATAAAAAAATTGAAAAAAAAAAAAACTGCTTCGGTAATCCGAATTTTTTTGGTGATCCGAATCGCCTTGGTTTTTATTAGTTCGGATTATCGAGTCTGCACTGTAACTACAAAAAAACAAATGTGCATCAAATTAACAAAATATTTTAATTTTTGTGTAGATGGAACATTCACAATTCACATTCTTTTAGGCATCAGCAATTGTAACTTCAACTTCTACACCAGGCTCAATATTGATAGAAGTAATCTGCTTAACGATTTCTGAAGGCGAATGCAAATCAATGACCCTCTTGTGAATTCTCATCTGGAACCTGTCCCAGGTCTTGGAACCTTCACCACAAGGTGTTTTTCTTGTGGTAATGCGTAGAATTTTCGTCGGCATACGTACTGGCCCCTTTACTTTCAACTTTTTATTTTTCGCTGCATTGATAAGGTCTGAACATACCTTTTCTAGGGAGCGAACAATGCGCGAAGTTAGGGTTATTCTGATGTGGTGGACTGGAGCAGATTCTTGTCCAGGTTTTTCAAGGTTAGCTTCCTTTTCTGATGACTGAAATTCGGGAATTGTTGAAATTTCTATAGAGTTCATAATATAAATTTCATGTACTCACCATTTTCTACGTATTAGTTAAGAATTCAGCCAACTCAGCCTTTTTTTGATCGGAAAAATTCTAACCTAAAAATGCATACACACTACAACGTGCATAAACTAAGAAAGAAACAGGATAAGGGAAAGGGAAGGGAGAAGGAGAATCTTAAAAATGGATGCTTTGCTTTGTGCTTGGAACTTGAAACTTGAAACATCGGAACTTCACGGAATGAGATAATTTTGGCTTAGGGTTTTTTGTATTTCAAGGGTGGTGGCAATGGTGGTGGCGGGAAACACAGTGGGAAACAAATTTCGCGGTGATAAATAATGTAAATGTAAGATGTAAGCGGTTGCGAATATAATACAAAAAAAATCAAATTAGAATTATCTATTTTCCTAGTCATTGCAGAGAAAGTAATGTTGTTTTCTTCATGACCCATTTATTATTCTATAATAATTCAAAATTTTTATCATTTATATATAGTTCGCTGTTATAGTAGCTCTAGCCATAAAAATTCAGGAGAACAGAAACGAGTTGATTTAAATAATAAAATTCGATTCATGTTAACAATAATATCACAAGATAGGTGTGACACCATCGTTTTATTTATATGCGTGACGTAATTCAAATACTTAAAGAGCAATCCCCATGTTGAATTTCTGTGTTTTCACCAATACCAACAATACCAGAGTCAGTTCAGTGGTAACCAAAATGTTGTCACCTCAGTTTGTTTTCTTTATTTTCATGTCATATAACATCTACTAAAACCTAATATATGAAAGTATCACTTTAGGAACAAGGGTAGAAATCATTATTTTCAATAAAGTCACGAATTAACATTCAAAACAAATGAAAAAGGAAGTTTGAAATTTCTGTTTGACATCGTAGCAACTTCGTAGCTAGTCGTATGTTCTCCGACGATTGAGTCGATTGTCGATTGACATGATGGAATTCAGTAGTTAGTTGTTCGTTTGTTGTTTATGGTGGCCCATCCCAGTTCGCTGTGAATGTGTGTGCCGTTTCCATAAAAGCAGATAAAATTTATGGATAACATTTGTTTTTGATAAGGTATGTGATTAGATTCTAGAGTTCTTTATTTTACACAGATAAGGGTGAAACTGGGCTAGGTATAACCTTAAAACTCGAATTGACAAACAAAAACATTTTGATTTGTAGATGCGTTCGTTACCTCATTTGTATTTTGTATTGGTGTCAGGTAGTCAAGACACAGAATTGTATTAATTCACAGCTTGTTTAAAAGACAGCGCGTACCTAGATATAACGGTTTGATAAAACGCAAAAATATGTGGACATAATTTTGTATAGTTTTTTAATAAGCATCTACAGGTGTGCCCTTAGGACGTTTTTGACACAGGTACAACTCTGCATACACTATACAGTATACAGGGAGTCCATCTCACGTAATTAGTGATAATTATATCCAAAACTCATTTCTAGAAATCTGTTGGTTCGATTTTGATATTATTATCCTTGGTTTTACAACTAGGTCAAATCCATCAAAATACAGGGTGATGCAGTTATGAATAATTGACGTCAAATTTTTATTGATTCTGTACTGATATAATTTCCAAAGCAACGTGTTTCTTGTGAATTTTATATCAGTCTACCTGCCAGGATGTCTACCTACCTAAACTATTCTTGTTGTTTACTAACCAAATGTCCAAGGTATGCTGAATCTGATGCTAAATCTATTTGTAAAAGGCCTATTGATTAAAATCTATAACCGAGTATACCTACCCTATTTATTTAATGAAACAGATTAACTTCTGATGAATGCTTCATTAATTGAAGTTATGAAGAATGTGTCATTTGTTCATTAGTCATTATTCATTCTCACAATAAAAAATGATGATTGAGGTAGGTGGGGTTTATACAATAAATGATATTGGTAACAGAATAAAATGCTGTCCACCTAACATATATTGTCACAAACAGATTTAATTCACAATGTGATGCATTAGGTATAGTAATTTGTCTTGCTCTCTTCTATATTTAGGAACAAAATTGTCTATGATTATACATGAATTGTACAATTTACTGAATGGACCTATGACCTCATGTCATTTATTCATAATAAGGCACCCTATTATTCAAAGGATGTCATTTATTGATTTGATCTACCTTTAACTAGGTTTTGACATCCTGTCTACATTGAAAATTATTGATTTGTTTCCACTGATATAGAATTAATAAATGGAGTATACAGGTAGTAATTAATTAGTAGGTAATTGGTTTCCATTTTCTAATAAAAATTATCCATTTCTGTTGTTACTCTATTTATCCAACTACCTTCCACAGATAATGTGCTAGTACCTACCTAGCTACCTATTAGAATATATTTTATTGATATGAGGTAGGTACTTTTTTATCATTTGGAGCGCACAAAAGGAAATTCCTATATTGTTCGTGGAACAACTTTTTCTATTAGAACATCAATAAATGTCAAATGTCAATAGCATTCTCCCTAGTATCTCCGGATACATATTCCTAGCATCTCCTGGTACTAACTGAATACCCAGCTAGATACTAACTGATGATGATTGAGTTGTTCATGTTTTTGAATATTTATTTATGATAAATAGTTGATTGCTATATGAAACCATTGAATTATTGATTAGCCATGTAATTTGTATAAATCGAAATTTTATGTTTTAATAGGTATCAAAATTCATTCTTATTGAATCCAGCCGGAAGAGATATTCAATTTCGGGTTGGTGATTTCCGTTTTTTTTTTCTGTAATTTCCTTCCATTCAATCGCTATTTCTGTTTCAGGCCAGATTAGAATTGCACAAATTAGGAATGTGAGTCATATAGTTTTGTATAGCATTGAGTTGGTCAGTCATTTGATATTTTTAAACAGTGATTGAATTATAATTATCTAATCAGTAAGAGATATTGAATAACATTTGATCTGCAACACAAGAATCATTAAGAATGAGCAGATGATAGTTTTTTTAAATGTATGTATTATTTTGATCTCGATTTTTATATACAAATTTCCCAAAATTGCTGGGACTTATCTCTAGTCAAAAACGGTCCAAAATAAGTTGATTGGACCAAACTTATTCAGGTATATAAAAAAATGTACCATTTGTCTGTATGTCATGACGAGCTTAGACTATCTAGAATCAGTCGGCAGAAATCCATGAAAATATGCATTCTCACAATCCAGAACCCTGTCTTCATTTAAAATAATTTCAGCAATGTAGTGTTGCCGCTTCTATCAAGAAGTAGCAACAACTATTTATTTCAAATGGAATACCCTGAATTTCATTGCATTTTCTCCCTGAAGAGTTGATTTCATCGATACATCGAACTTGGTGTTTATCGGAAATGATTACAGAGATATAGGGTGTTCAAAATCGAGATTTTTTCAACTTTAGGATTTGTTTGTGTCGAAACTATTCATTATCGGAGAAAACGGCTCACATGTCCCAATCTCAACTTTTGATTCACTATTTACTGATATTTAATCGGAACAGATACAGGGTGATCAGCATTCTGAATCTTGAACCACCCTGTATCTGTTCCGATTAAATATCAGTAGACAATGAATCGAAAGTTGAGATAGGGACATGCAAGCCGTTTCTCGAGCCGTTTTGACCGATAATGAATAGTTTTGACACAAAAAAATCCTAAAGTTGAATAATCTCGATTTTGAACACCCTGTAATGATTTTCGATCGACCTCAAGTGTGATTTATCGATGAAATCAGCTCTTCAGGAAAAATCTGAAAATGCGATGAAATACAGGGTGTTCCATTTTAAATATCAATGTTGCTACTACTTTCGAGTAGAAGCGGCAACACTGCATTGTCGAAAATATTTTAAATGAAAAGAGCGTGTTCTAAACTACAAGTATGCACATTTTCATGGATTTCTTTCGACTGATTCTCGATATAAAGATAGTGTAAGCTCTTCGTGATATACCCTGTAATCTGTATATCTAACTCCAACGGTTTCTGGAGTTATAAGGATTTCCTTCGGGATTTCTATAATTAATAAAACAACAATTCCAAGCAATATCAATCTGTCAAAAATTCACTCGGAAATTCATGAAATGTCAATATGCAGAACGAAAAGAATAATAATTATTGTTCTGATAGTTTTTTAAAGGGGTTTTTATAAAGATACCCTTATCACTCGAAAATCTTTTGAAGTTAGGTTATAGCTCATGTTATAGGAAACTTTATTCGATTGGTTTATATAAATGGCCTTGAAATTTGACCAATAGAAGTGGTTTCCGATTATAACTCTGATGACTAGTTGACATCTCTGTAGACACCGAGGTGGACACCAAAACCAGCGACCTCTAAAACTCGACTATAGTACAAATACCATATCCACCTTATAAACGAATGCAAATAAATGTGCAAATAAAAATGAAGTCTTGACTCAACCCATCGTCCTGTTATGGTTTTGTCGTAAAATTCTAGCATGCAACATTGCATGACTAGATAAAATCATATAGGGATCCCTTGTGGTAGCGATTTTTCTTTTGTTATCACAATTCATCAGACTATACTCTCTTGAATTGTATAATTTCCTAAATATACCTGTATATTTTCAAAATATGTCAATGAATTTTGTTGATTTGAAAATCCTGGTCTATTTGAAGTCATATTTGATTTTCAATAGTATAATTCTACATAAAATCCAAGAGGAATTGTGGGAATTCAGGAGGAATTGTGAAGGTTTGTGGGAATTCAATCTGGTATGCACGATGTTTTTCAAACATCATAGGAATTCCCTTTCGTGCACTCCAAGAGATGAAAAAAGTGTGGGGGCAGTCTTTGGGGACTGCCGATTAAAATGAAAACTAAGTAATTTGTGAATTGTATTGTCGAGCTATCAGAATATTATTTTTCTACTTCTTCTTGGTTCGTGTGAATCTACAACCCCAGGTACAGATTTTGAATAGAATCAGATCATAATTACAAAACTCGTCCGCCATATTCGATCCGCAATCTTGAATTTTCTAATTTTGACAATGGAATCAGAAACTTCGACTACGAAAACCGAGCCGAAAACCCTCAGATACAGATTTTGAATAGAATCGGATCATAATTACGAAACTCCTCCGCCTTCTTGAATTTCCACATTTTGGCGAAAGAATCATAATCTCTGACCCCGAAAACCCCCAGATACCGATTTTGAATAGAGGCGGATCGTAATTCCAATACTCGTCCGCCATATTGGATCCACCATCTTGAATTCCCTAATTTTCACGAAGGAATTATAATCTCCGACCCCGAAAACCCCCAGATACCAATTTTGAATAGAGTCGGATCATAATAACAATACTCGTCCGCCATATTGAAGCCGCCATCTTAAATATCCTAATTTTAACAAAGGAATCATAATCTTCGACCCCGAAAACCCCCAGATACCAATTTTGAACAGAGTTGGATCATAATTACAATACTCGTCCACCAAATTGGATCCGCCATATTGGATCCGCCACCTTAAATATCCAAATTTTAACGAAGGAATCATATTTTCCGACCCCTAAAACCTCCATGTACCAATTTTGAGTAGAGTCGGATCATAATTACAATACTCGTCCACCATATTGGATCCGCCATCTTGAATATCCGAATTTTAACGAAGGAATCATATTTTCCGACCCCGAAAACCCCCATATACCAATTTTGAATAGAATCTGCATGGGAGATACCCTTCAGATTGTTTGCTATTCAGTGACTTCGGTGACTTGACGAGGACGAGAAATCCAATGTTTTTCTTCACCCAAAAAAAGTGCTGAACGAACCTATCAGAAAAAATATTCGCGGAATTTCATTTGCTCGATTTCCGTTGCAGGTTGAAGGGCAAGAATGCCTGAGGATAAAAAAATGGCCGTTGACAATGACACTCTCCCTTCCAAGAAGTCTTCCACCATCATGAGGAGCAGTGGAAGTACTGTGGCACAGGTGACCATGCTGGATGGTTCCATCCTAGACGTGACTATTGAAGTAAGGACATAATATTTAGTCGCTTATAGAACAAATAACACACTGAGAAAGTTCATCAAAAATTGAAAAAAAACGATATGGATATTGTCCTAGGCTCTAGAGTATATGTTGGTCAGACTGGTAGAAAGTTTAACCACCGCTTTTATGAACATCTTGAGTTTTTCTAAAAAGTTAACCATATTTTCAGAAAAAAATAATAGTTTTCATGACAATTTTGGAAAAAAAATTAAAAAATACACCCAAAATACCACAATAATATTCATACATGCCCGGATATGCCCAAAATGAATTTTAACAATAGATGACTAGCTGCGTCTATGGTATTTTTCAGGATCCTCTAACTTATCTTTATTTTCCTTCAGTTCTACTGATGGCTAATTATTTCCTGTAAAGAGTATTTATGCTTTCTAACTAATATTGTGGTATTTGTGGAATATTTTTATATTGGATTGTATAGTTTGGTAATTGATGTTCCACTGCTTTTTTATTGTTAAGGAAGTATATCAATTAATTTCTAAATGAATCTTCACCATATATGGGGTTCCAATTTCAAGTATTTTAAAATAATTTGTATCAGAATTTCAGAATAGAAACTCATTAATTTTCATGTTATTAATTTTGGCTGATAACATTCTCCTTGTTTTTATGATCATGCCAGAATTGGTGTCTGGATACAGATTAATGCTAGGATTAATGGTATTCAATTATGAGAAAATCGATGTTTAGGAGACTGTGTTTGATTTATTTAGATTTATGTAAACTTCTAGTGCTCAAGCTATTGGCAACACCCCAAATAGATATTAGATATTGTATATTCCAATAAATCAATAGTAGATGTTTATTTTGTGAAGTATTTGCTATTATTGGATTTTCTTCTTTTCATCAGACTAAATACAAATTATTGGATGAGTTTATTTTCTGAATCAAATTTCTTCTCATATTTTTTTACAAGTTGCACATCACATAAGAAATTATATAAGTGCCACTAAATGACAAAACCATGTATATTATGTGGAAATAGATAGAAGTATTATCGTTTTTTTTTTATTTTCAGAGAAAAGCTAAAGGAAAAGAACTACTGGATAGAGTTTGTGAAGCTATCAATTTGATAGAGAAAGACTATTTTGGTCTTGTATATGCAGATAGACATGATCCTAGGAACTGGTTGGATCTAGAGAAAAGAATCAGTAAATTTATGAGAGGTAATATTTTTTTGAAAATTCCACACCGGTGATTTTTATACACTCAAATTTTGTTTTAAAATTATTTAATTTCCAAACACAATCTGGTGTGAATTTTCTAACCGAATACCAGACGAGGTCTAATTACTTTCCGGGAATTCTTTCTCGCTCTTAATCATATAATGTATAAAAAAGAGATTTTTATGCGAATACAGTTTGCACACCAATGTTCAGAAGGAAATATCCTGTCATTCAAAACTGAAAACGTCCAAATCGTACAAGTAATTTACATGTAATTCTGAATAACTGCAGGAAACCAACGCAGCGGAACTTGGAAGTGGGGGGGAGAAGCTGTCTAAGAACTATTACCAAAATAAGACACCCTGCAAATCCTCTTCACAACCCTTCCAACATTGTCCTCTACCAAAAAACTAAAATAGAACCTATCCTCACCCGTATCACAAGACTGACCAAGAAATTTGCAAACAAACAAGAAAATATCACCCTTATACAGCCCCTCATACAACAAACCAATCCCCTCATTCTCATCAAACGCAAATTTCCAGAATTCAGCCTATATGATTCACTCTCCAGAAAAAATGCCAACAGATTTTTTTCCATAATTTACTTTGTAAAATCACTACTCAAATAATGCTCTTGAAATACATAAAATGATTGTGTATATACTGGCAGGAAGACTTCGGTCGTTAGCCATTTGGCATAATGTATTTTTTATTTTATGTCCAATAAAGTTTATTTTCTTCTTCTTCTTCTACTTGTAAATAATTTATAATTTCGCAATTTCTTAACTTGGAGTGTTTTACAACCGAAATGGTAATTCTGGAACGAAAAAAAAAAAAACGAAAATCTCGATTTGCTCAGAACCGTGGCAGTTCAGCTTCGAGGTGAAATTCTATCCGCCCGACCCCGCCCAGCTGCAGGAGGACATCACCCGCTACCAGGTGTGCCTGCAGATCCGCAACGACGTTCTCACCAATCGGCTGCCCTGCTCGTTCGTCACCCACGCCCTTTTGGGCTCCTATCTGGTGCAGTCCGAGCTGGGGGACTACGAACCGGACACGATGGGCAAGAACTATCTGAAGGAGTTCCGGTTCGCGCCCAACCAGAGCCAGGATCTGGAGCAGAAGGTCGTCGAATTGCACAGGACGCACAAGTAAGAATTCGAGTTGGAATCTGCCAGTAGGCTGATTTTTTTTTTTCATTTCTCAAATTGAATCATCACTCAAATACCTAACAATTCCATATTTCTCAAGGATTTTTTTCTGTGACAGGGGTCAAACACCAGCGGAGGCTGAACTACACTACCTAGAAAACGCCAAAAAATTGGCAATGTACGGGGTGGACTTGCACCCGGCAAAAGACTCCGAAGGCGTCGACATCATGTTAGGTAATCGCCTTCCATAACCTCAAAATTTGCCCGTATCTAACAGTCATCTCTTTTGTTTTTTTCGCGACAGGCGTTTGCGCTTCTGGTCTGCTGGTCTACAGAGACCGGCTCAGAATAAACCGTTTCGCCTGGCCGAAAATACTGAAGATCAGCTACAAGCGACACAACTTCTATATCAAAATACGACCGGGAGAATTCGAACAGTTCGAGTCGACCATCGGATTCAAGCTGGCCAATCACAGGGCGGCCAAGAAACTCTGGAAGACTTGCGTGGAACATCACACATTCTTCAGGTACGAATTTAAACAGCGATGACATTTTTTTATCGTGATCGTATTTTCGGAAATGAAAAATTTTAACTTTGAGAGGAATACTTCATTTTGCTGGAATTCTAAAGCTTAGCCGCTCTACAAGATGATCTATATAAGGATATGAAGAATAAGTGTGTTGTCCCCACCAAAAGAAATTCAGATGATTCTATGGTCCTTCGAGCCGGTTCATGTAGTATTTTGTCTACAGAAATATGGAGCTGGTTCCCACTTGATACAGCTAGTGTAGCAGTTTAATAGAAGAATTTTTTTTTTGATATTTTAGTCTTTGAAGTTCTTTATTATATTCTAAATTGTATAATGAAACTCTAGTTTTCATGACAACATCACCAACTGTGTATATAAAGGGTGAAAAATAATAGTTATACAATTATAAACATTGTTTAAATACTGTCTGTAGGTTAATCGAGGAGGTGGTACATTCATTTTACTTGGTTCTTTGGGATTTTCTCTCCTCGTTTCTATAAAATAAAAGTATTCGTATTATTTCAATATATTTGTAGAGGGACAAATCAGATGATTTGCCCCAAAATGTCACTGCGTTTAACAAATTTTTCTATCAGGGAGTCTAAAAGAAAAATCCAGTAGCTTGTCAGTGACAATTTGTTTGAAAAAATTTTTGAAAGAAAGAAATATAGATATATTGAAAAAATATCGAATTTGTACTTATCTTTGAGAACGGGAGCAGAATCGGTCCCGAAACGTCCAAAAATAAGTACAAATTCGATATTTTTTCAATATATCTATATTTCTTTCCTTCAAAAATTTTTTCAAACAAATTGTCACTGACAAGCTACTGGATTTTTCTTTTAGACTCCCTGATAGAAAAATTTGTTAAACGCAGTGACATTTTGGGGCAAATCATCTGATTTGTCCCTCTACAAATATATTGAAATAATACGAATTTTTATTTTATAGAAACGAGGAGAGAAAATCCCAAAGAACCAAGTAAAATATAAACATTGTTTATTGAAAAGCGATCATGTAAGAATAAGTGTGTTGTCCCTACCAAAAGAAATTCTGATAATGCCATGGTCCTTCGAGCCGGTTCATGTAGGATTTTGCCTACAGAAATATGGAGCTGGTTCCCACGTGATACAGGTAATTGGAAAGCTGTCATATTGACAGTCAAGCTCCCTCAACCCACTCTCATTGCTCACTGGACTGGCACGCGGCTGTTGCAGGTGGCTCTGGCTAGCTAAACCCCCGCTATTTTTTTCATGGCACTTCAAATCAAATGATATTGAATTGGGAGTGAAATTTCAGATGTCGCTGTTTGTTTCAGGTTGATGTCTCCAGAAATAAATCAGAAGTCTTCGCTGTTCCCGAAACTGGGTTCAAAGTTCAGATATTCCGGTCGCACCCACTACGAGACCAGGAAGACTCCCATCGAACGTCCCGCGCCCCAATTCCAGCGTTCATTGACCGGAAAACGTCTCAGTTCTCGGAGCATGGACCGTAAGAAAATTCCCAAAATTCAGTTTTTTTTGTGTTTCACTATTTTTTTTTAGCATTGAGCGGGTTGAGGCCGGAAGACGAATATAACGAGACGAACAAGAGACACACGATGTCTCATCCGCCTGAGCACATTCCCGATATCGATACACAAAGTCCTGCCAAGAAGTCTCCTAAGGAGAAAAAAGAGAAGGATAAGGTGAGCTGAAAAGTGTGGTTATAATTCGTTCATGAGCAACGTACGTTTTTCCGGTGCGCAGCTGAAGGCTTACATCAGACGATGGAAATTACGAAATAATCAATAATTTACTTTTGAGCAAGTAATTACTATTATTTTTTCTATTATCCCAACATTCTGTGGCAATAAAATGGTTTCAAAATAATTTTCCACAGGGGTGACAGTAGTTTAGGATGCCGAGAAGAAAAAACTATGTGCCAAAGTTGATTGCTACAATGAGGCCTTTTCACGACCTTAATCAGAAAACTGGCAGGGTGTTTTGTTAAACTTCAACTGTGGACTGTAATGACTTCTCAAAAACTAAGTTTCATAACTTCAATTTCTATTTGCAAAATGTATGAAACAACATATTTCGTGTTGATATGACGATATCAGATCTACAAAATTCTCAGGTTTGTGGAAATTTACTGTTAGTTCTAGAAAATGTAGCATTTTCCAATTTCATTGGTGATTTTAGACGTGAAATATTGGTACTTTTCCAAATAGGAATTTTTAAAAAATCGACAGGAACAATATTTCGTTTTTTGAATGAAATCCTTATAATTGGATTAATTTTATTGCTCTAATAATCTATATGTGTCCACAATAATTTTTCATCACTAAAGAGACCTTGAAATTTTGTAACATCAATATTTTCAATAGATCTTTTGTTGAAAGTTCTTGTTTTATTAGAAATAATACACAATCTCTCCGAGATATAATACATAGATGAATATTTGGATAAATAAGGGTCAATGATTTTGCATCCAATATAATATGAATTTCAAATAACTTTTGATATATTACATTCAATATTGTCCAATTCATTAGATACATAAATCATTGTTCTATCATTAGCAGATAATTTCAACTTTCCTTCCAATTCCAGGGTTAAAATTGAATTTATATAAATAAAAAACGAAGTTGGTCCCAAAACTGATCCTTGTGGTACACCAAATGTGATTTCTTTTGAATGAGCCACAAGTGTCATCTACTTTGACTCACTGAATTCTATTTATCAAATGATTTGTGAACAAAACTTGAATTATTTCCTCTGGTAAATATTGAATGAATATCTTTACCATTTTGACTTAAATAGGTCTGTGATTTGAAGAAAAATTCTTCCAATTACGAACAATAGAGTGATTCCGGTAGATTTCTGGTGTAAGGCTTTTGTTGGCGCAGCAATATTTTGAAAAGTTGATATTTCTCCATGATGATTTTCAATCTTGGAATCAAACCGCATTAATGACCGATTGGCTTAGCTTGCTCGGAAACGCAGCTCTGGATCAGTAAAATCAGGAAGCTCGGCTAGCTCCATTGAAGGGGAATACGAAGCTGAGAAAGACGATGAGGTTATTCCATTTAAATTTTGCAGATGTCTGTCTTTTGTCAACTTTTTTGTCTTTTTCTCTGTAGATTGTTAGCTTCGAGCTTCATTTTTGTTGTGAAATATTTCGCGTAGGAGAGGCAAAAATATCTGCTGGATAGCTTATACGTCGAGACTGCTGTAGAGATTGATGAACTGTTTTCAATGCACAGAATTTAACTCTTTTTGACGACCTGTATTTTTTAAAGGAAATGAGCTATTTACTTGCGGCTGTACGCCATTTTTTCACATATAAGGAAGATTATTTGATGAAAAGGAATATTCTCAGATATATTATGAATATTGAAATAAAAATTGAATGACAGACAAACACTCTCCAAAGACTGCAAAGAGATATACTGATATTTAATGTAATTTTGGCGAAATTGAAAGAAAATTCGTAATGACAATGAATATTTTCATTTGTGGAGAATATTTTCTCGAATTACTTACTATTATTTCTGTTTCCAGGAAAAAATATATGAATCATAATAAAACATTTTTCCAACTTCAATTTATTAAATTTTTTGTTGACCTAAAGAGATCTTCCTGTAGAAGTTACAACGATGAAACTTCGTACCTAAGTATTCGATGTGTGTGTTCCTCCATTTAAGTCTACTTCACCAGTTATATCAACTCCGTTGATTTTGAAACAGGGTGAATCAAAAAATCGAAAATATCCAAATTTGACCTCTAATCGCAGATTCGCGATTGGGTTTTCTCAATTCAGAATTTCCTTTCCACGCCCTGTATGATGAATATCAATTTGTCATAATTCCAAACAAAGGTTATTTGATATTTTCAATATCTCAATCACGCTTTTCATCGACAAAAGCAAGTCCCCAAACAAGAACCTGTGAAATTTCTGGAAGGATATTTGTAACTAATATTTCTTTACAGAATTGACACTGCCCAACCATTTTTTTTTTTTTTTTTCAAAAAAAGACTGCTTTAGTTTCATAATACTAAATGAAATAACTCTTGGAGTTTATAATTATTGGTTTTCTCTCATTATATTTAAGTCTTTTAAGTCCATATCACATGTGATACAGAAAATCGCAGGTGAATCGATCTTTTCCTTCTGAACATACTGGTTGATGAAAAAGAGTCAAACTATTGGGTGTTGCCTCCTGTAGTGCGCAATTATGTAAATTATCTGAAGTGCTTTAGCAGTTGAAAATGTTATGCTTTAAGAAAACTTCTTGCTCTTTGCTTTACTTCCGAAAGATTGACATGGTGTACATAAAATACAAGATTATTCACTGTATTTTGATCCCTCCACAACTCTTTTTTTTGTGTAAAAAGTTGAATAAAAAATTATTTCATAATACAAAACAAGTTTTTAAACGTAATGCCGGAAACATTTGAGAACTTGCTAAAAAGTTGAATAAAAAATTATTTCATAATACAAAACAAGTTTTCAAACGTAATGCCGGAAACAATTGAGAACTTGCTTGTAATACATTTTTTTTATATTCTGAAAAATTAACTTGACCACACTTTCTCAAAATTTTTGGATTTTCGTCTTGAGTATAATATACGAGTGCCTAGTAGTTTTCAAATGACTTATGGAGACAACATTTTTCTGGTTCACTTCTAATGACAGATTATTCAGAAAAGGTTTTTCATTGCTGAGAATCTTAATATTCAATTATCATGGAAAATTACTGGGTAACAATTCTATGCAAATCTTTTTTGAAAATTCATTAGAAAAACAGCAATTCTGTATTGAAGGAAATACAGATGGGACTTTACAACTATTGTATTTGGTTTCATTTATATTTCTTCGACAGAAGACAGAAATAGGGGGGAGCAAAATAAATGAATTGTCCTCCGTACAGGCTGTCCATTTTATATCTCACTTATTTTCATAGAGGCATATAACCTCCAGAAATTTGAGAAGAACACCAATTCCTACCATATTTTCCTTGGTTCTCACGATGTTTTCTGAACATTACAGGATATCCGTTTTCGTGGGAACCAGAACATAAAAAAAACTTCAAACAAAATTTTCATAACTTGCTTTGTTCTTGAGATACAGGGTGAAATTGAAAAAAGTTGCATTTTGAGACCCCCCTTGTATCTCAAGCTTTCTTTCAACTTATCGAAAAAGTTAGAACTGTACTCTTACATTTTTTTACGTCGAACCCAGTGGCTTAATCAGATTTTCATCGATGGGCCTTGTAAATATGTTATATATTCATATTTACCATGTTGATGATACATTGTTTCATCATACACTAATATTAATTTCATCATATTTCATCAATATTCATCACTATTCATTGACTATAAAAGCTGTGGACCTAATTAGTAGGTGGCTATGAAAAAAAAAGCGAGTGCAGAATGTTTCATAATCTTTTGTAACCCACCGGTCAAATTTTCAAAATGTTCATACAACACCAAAAAATAATCCAGGATATCAAAGCCACGAAATTTTGGAAACCAACTTGTATCCTAACCTCTAATTTTTTGTAGTTTCCATATCCAGGATTAGTATTCACCATCATATGAAAAATTTATATATTCGACAGGTAGGTGACAAGGATTAAGAAACATTCTATACACTTCCTTTTGTTTTCATAGCCACCTACTAATAAGGTCCACAGCTTTTATAGTCAATAAATAGCGCTGAATATTTGTAAATAATGAATGTTGTTCAAATTGTAACTAGTGTGTGGTGAGAACTGGTGTCAACAACAAGATAAATATGGAAATTTATGATATGGACAATGTTGCCACATATTCAAAAGGCCCATTAATGAAAAATCCGCTAAAAAACTAGAAACTATCTACTTTCATGGCGTATACTCAGAAAATCATATGAGTGATATATATTTTTAGAAAGTACAAAGCATCATTGTTTCAAATATGACAAAATATACAGGGTGTTCCATTCAAAAAAACATAACTCTGCGTTATATCTGCATAATTATAGCTTGTTACGTGAAAAAATGTGTATAAGGCATTTTTTACTTTCTCGATAAGTTGGAAGATAACTGAGATACAGAAGGGGTCCATTTTTAATTCCGCCCTGTATCTCAAAAACAAAGTGTTCTATGACAATTTTGTTTGCGCTTTCAAGAGTTTCAAAAAAAAAATAGCCAACATTATCGAAAACCGCATATCTCTATCTTAGAAAATAAGTGAGATATCCCGTAAGGACATCAAAAATGGGCCAGAGCCTGTACACTGCTTGCATTTTTTTTTTAATTTCACGATATGTTTCGGAAGAAACAATTTTTTCTCATCTATAAAGAAAATCGATGAGTTGCTGTCCATTTCCCGTTCAATTGAAACAACTTTTATTCTTGTTAGAAGACAAAACCTGTGGGAGGGATAGCAGTTCTTCCCACTGGCGGCCTTTTCGGCAAAAAGGGGGACAAGGACAAAGAAAACCGTGACGTCAACGCTCCTGCCGAGCAAAACGGTTTTGAAGAGGCCCAATTGAACTCGAGCAATGAGCAAGAAAAATCTCCGCAAGAGAAGAAGGACAGATCAAAGGTTAGTTCTGTGATGATTTTTTTCTCTTTTTAGTCTGTATCATTCAGTTTTCCACATTTCTGCCTATGTGTTAGAGTATCGAGAAATTGTTATGCAACAAAGGGAATTTTGATGGCTCAAAGGCAATACCACGTATCATCAAATTTGGCAAAATCGTGATTCTTACGAATTTTTGTTCGTTATCATGCTTGGCAACATCGTGTGAAAACACGTGGTGCTTGGATCGACAGAAATGATTAATTTCACAAATATCATAGTAATACCACATATCGCCGAATATGATACGTGTTATTGGAGTTGGATAGATTTCGATATCCAAAATCCATAAACAATTTTGTTGTATCCTGAAAACTTGTAGAAACGTTGATACGTGTTATTGCCACTAAGCCATCGATTTGATGTTTTCATTTGCAACGTTGATTGTTTGATATTAAAAAAAAAAACGGATCCCTATAGTCAGAGTAGATTTTTCTACCGAAGCATGGGACATAAAATGTTGAATAAGATCCTGAAGAATCGATTTCTAGCGATAATTTTTCAGATACACCACCCTGTATGTTATGACATTTCAAAATTTTCCTGGATTAGATTATTCTGATGGAGTATTGAACGAAATTTGTAAAATGTTCGCTCTTTTAGACGTGAATACATTGAATGATCACCTAGATCACAAACTTGAACCAATGGGGTATTTCAAGAGCCACCGTGTTACTCTTCTGAACACAACTTCAACCGATTTTTCAACGCCTCGTGTCTTGTCGAAGGTTCAAGTCTTTGATATGTAAAGAAAAAGTGTTCTTAACTTTTGAGTATTGAATTGAAAATAATCAACCTGTAAAATGATCATCATCAAGAACTGGCAGGGCATTTTGAAACAATGACTAATGAAATAAATCCAAGATTTGCATTCACTCTCATGGTTTCAAAATTGTCATATCTGCTCGAAACGTATTTATAGCTGGATATCCTGAGTGTCTGCTTGATTTTGTGAATACCACGTATCAGAACCCCAATTTAGTTCCTCTACCCATACAACTGTACATTTTATTATTAGCCGTATCTAGTGCATGTAATAATTTGCATGTTTCCGCTTCGTTTCTTATCAGAGCCCGGCCTTCCTCTTCGGCTCTAAAAAAGAGAAATCCCCGAAGGAAAAACGCGAAAAAGAAAAGCTGGCCGCCACCCCGGAAGGGGGCCCTCCAGTCGGCTCCCCCCAACTGCCCGGCTACACCAGAGAGTACGACTACGAAACGCCAGAAGACCAAGTCACCCCTCGGCGCCCCTACGCCCAAGGCTTCAGCTACGAGAACCAGGGCGCGCCCTCGAGCCCCAAAACCGCCCAACAGTCTCCCGCGAACAAACGAGCCACCGCCACGGCTTTCAATTACGCCCCGGGGGACGTCGACAAGCTCATAAAGGTCCCCCGAGACCCCAAGTCCGATTCCGCCGCTTTCTTGGAGGGAGAAAGGTACCTCCATCACGCTCCTCCCGAAATCCCTGCTGTTCCACCTCCTATCGGCAAAAAAACTAGAGTTATAACGTTGTTCGTCGTCACCGGTACCCGGGACCCCAAAACCGGCTACATTGACGTAGCCACAGCCACCTCTGATAAAACTACGGGTTCCCAAAATATCGAAACCGGTCTCATCGATTGCAAATACGGCCTTATCGATCCCTCTAACGGTACAGTTATCGTTACGGATCCGCAGAACGGGCAAAAAGAGGTCGTCCAAGGCCACATCGATCCGATCACCAAGCAGATCGTGATCACCTCGGGGTCCGTAATTGATCCCAAGTCTGGCAAGAAGAGCTCGTCTCTAGGACAGATCATCAGTATATCCGAGCAGCGACCGAGGATGGCCAGTAAGCTAGTGGTGGTTCCCAAGAAGCGCATCATCAAGATCACCGTCATCACCGCCAAAAAGGACCCGAAGACCGGTCGCGTCGAAGCCGAGAAAGGCACTTCGGAGACCCTGGAAGCTCTACTCGACCCGGCCACAGGGAAAATCGAGTCGAAGCTAGGCGTCATCGACCCCTTCAACTCGAACATAACCTCCAAGGATGCCAAAACCGGCAAAACTGACGTCCACCGGGTGGAAATCGATCCCGACTTGGGCCACATCATAATCAAGCAGGGCGTGGTGGATCCTAGAACCGGTAAAATGGACGCCAGTCTAGGACAGCTTGTCAAGGTGTCGGACCGAGGTGATTCCATCATACCCGTCACCGCTGTGACGGCTAAACGAGATGAAAAAACTGGTCAGCTTGACCCTACGAACGCCCACAAGGAAACCACCAACGGGAAACTGGATCCGCAACGCAATCTTATTATGACCAAGTACGGCTCCGTGGATGTGAAGAACAGAAGGCTGATATCCCGCGAACCGAAGACCGGCAAAGTGGAAGAGCATCCCATACAGTTCGATGCCCAAGACAACGTGATCGTTCTAAACGGCGTGGTCGATCCTAGAACTGGAGTTAGAGACAACAGCTTGAGCCAGATCTTGCAGATCGACTCCGAGATAGAGCCCGAGGTGGTGGTGCTCTCGAAGTCCGGTAAAGTCGACAAGAAGGGTCTCGATCCCAAGACCATTTCTGTTCCGGAGAAGTCCACCGGTATGTTCGATCCGGATACCAACAGAGTGTACACCAAGTATGGCGTCATTCATCTCATCAACGAAACCCTGAGCTTCACGGATCCAAAAACCGGTAAAACTGAGCTCAAGCAAGGCCAGAGAGACGCCACAACCGGCGAGCTAGTTTTCAAGGGATTGGTCAATCCCAAAACCGGAAAAGTCGATAATAGTTTCGGCAGGATCATAAAGATTGAGGTCAACAGTCCCCTGTCAGATCCAGCGGTTAGCGCTTCTCCTACAGCTGTCAAAGAAGCCAAACCGGTATCGCCTGTCAAAGTACCGAGTCCTATTTCCACTCCCAGGGACAGAAGAGTGGTAAAACTCTTGGTCATCACCGCTAAGAGAGACCCGAAAACTAATCACCTCGACCTGGAGAATGGTCATGTGGACCAGTCGGCTGGAATCCTAACCCCTTCAGGAGAAATTGAGTCTAAATACGGTCTGATCAACCCCAAAAAGGGCACAGTTACCATCACTGACCCTGCCACAGGCAAGCAAGAAACTGTTCAAGGTCAAATTGATCCATCCACTGGCCAAATACAAATTGCCAGCGGACCAATCATTGATCCTAGGACCGGAAAGAAAGATACCAACTCTGGACAAGTTATCAGTATTGCTTCATATGAAGCTAAAGATTCCGCTCCTGTCAAAAATTTGCTACCGTCTCACCCGATACCCAAGAAGAGGGTCATCAAGGTATTGGTCATCACCAGCAAAAAAGATCCGGCTACAGGTAGAATTGACACAGAGAAAGGTACTGTCGAGAAATTGACAGCTACAGTAGACCCAGTCAGCGGCATCATCGAGTCCAAATATGGCAAGATCGACCCACACAACAAGAAAGTCATCACCAAAGACAGATCTGGCAAACTAGCTGTCACACCCATCAAAGTAGACGAAAACACCGGTCAAATTTATATAAACGATAATATAGTCGACCACAAAACCGGCAAGGTCGATCCCAACCTATCACAAGTCATCAATGTCGTGGATCCACAACACCCCGCGGTTGTCATCACCACGATCACCGCCCCACGAGACCCTAAAACTGGAGTTATCGACTTGGCCAATGGCAGAACCGAGGTGGCAAACGGCAAGATCATTCCCGAAACAGGAGAGATAGTCACCAAACAAGGCACCATCAACCTCAGACTAATGAGAATCATGACTAGGGATCCCAAGACCGGTATCATGCACGAGAGGCCGGTTCAAGTCGATAAAGACGAGAATATCATCGTATCTTCTGGAGTCGTTGATCCTAGAACTGGATCACCCGCAGCCAATCTCGTGCAGCTGATCCAAGTGGGTCAAGAAGTCGATCCGGAAATCCAAGTACACACCTACGTTGGCAAGTTCGATTCCAAGAAGAACACAATCGATTCGAAGAACGCTCAACCTGACACCACCCCTGGACTGTACGATCCGGATAGAAACAAAATATACACCAAGTACGGTCATTTGGATCCAGTAGCAGAAACCCTGACCGTTATAGACCACAAAACTGGCAAGCCTGACACCAGACAAGGTCACATCGAACCGAACACCGGGGAACTTCTGTTCAAGGGCGGCTTCGTCAACCCCAAGACTGGCAAGGTGGAAAAAGATTTCGGAAGGGCTTTGACAGTTCACATCACCGAACCGCCGATCGATCCGGTCGCTTCTCAGCAGCCCTCAGAACGAGAGCTACAAAGAGTGACGCCCGTCAAGACCGTGTCGCCACCAAAGCAGGTGACTCCCTCCAAACCTGTTGAAGTGAGTCCTGTCAAAGCTGCTGCTCCGGTAACGCCGATCAAAGACGTAGTGCAAGGTATCTTGCATCCAATTGCTAAGCACCGGATCGTCAAGATCATGGTTATAACTGCTAGAAAAGATCCGAAAACTGGTGCTGTGGATACGGAGAACGGTCACGTAGAACACTTGACTGGTATAGTTGACCCCAATACTGGTTTTATCGATACCAAATATGGTCAGATCGACCCAGTTACTGGAGCACTCATCGCTAAAGACCCGGCAACAGGTAAAAATCAAATTATCCAGGGAAACGTCGAGCCTACGACTAGCCAAGTGGTTATAAACGGAGGCCCAGTAGTTGATCCGAATACTGGCAAGCTGGACCCTACTCTAGGACAAGTGTTCTCTATTGTTGGTCTCAAACAAGCACAAGATCCTGTTGCTGCGCCTATACCCAAAAAAAGGGTCATCAAGATCACTGTTATAACTACCAAGATTGATCCCAAGACTGGTAGGATGGATCCAGAGAAGGGGCAGGTGGAGCAGTCCACAGCTCTGCTGAACCCAGAAACCGGGCTGATAGAGTCCAAGTATGGTCTCATCGACCCCAAAAATGGCAAGCTCATTATCAATGATCCCAAATCGGGCAAAGTCGATGCCAAGTCGGCGCAGGTGAATGAGAACAACGGTCAAATTATCATCGCCAGTGGAGTAGCTGACCCTAAAACCGGAAAAATCGATAGCTCTCTGGGACAGATCATCAGCATTGCTGGTCAAAATGACCCTATTCTGGAAATCACCACCATCACTGCTAAGAGAGATCCTAAAACTGGATCGATCGACTTAAACAACGGTCACATGGAGAATTCCAAAGCACAAAAGATCTCTGCAACAGGTGAAATCCGAACCAAGTACGGTACTGTCGATGTGAAGAATCTAACGCTCACCACTACTAATCCAAAAACTGGAAAAGCAGAGTCCCGGCCCATAGAGGTAGATGCCGAAGGTGCTATCATAGTCCCGACCGGGGTCAAGGACCCTAAAACCGATATAGTCAACCCTGAACTTTGCCAGGTAATCAGACTAGGTGCAGAAGTCGAACCAGAAGTCCAAGTAATTTCGTTCGTCGGAAAGCTGGATCCTAAGAAGAACACCATCGACACCAAGTCTCTCGTACCAGAACTCTCAAACGGTCTTTACAACCCCTCGACTCACAAAGTCGACACCAAGTACGGTCAGATCGACCCGGTGAAAGGCACCTTGACCCGCACAGACCCTAAAACCGGCAGGGCGGACGTCAAACAAGGTACAGTTGATCCAGCTACAGGCCAGCTGATCTTCAAGGGAGGCTACGTGAATCCCAAGACAGGGAAGGTCGATCCCACGTTCGCTAGGTTGGTAGCCATATTGATAACCGACCCGCAGATCAACGAGACGGGAGAATTGGTACCAAGGAGTGATAAGAATGTTAGGATAGATCCTAAAACTAATCAAGTTTGGGTGTTCGACCATCATGATCCTGTGTCAAAGGAAGATGTTTATTCTACCGGTCACGTAGATCCTATAACAGGCTATGTAATAACTGTTTACGGTTATTTGGATCCTAAATCTGGGAGTATTTCTAAGGTGGTCAAGGTTGATCCTAATAATGCTAAAGTGGACCAAGAAACCAACCAGGTGTTCACGAAAACAGCTCAAAGAGACGAGAGCGGTGCTCCGTTGTACTCTGCCTCCGAGATCGACCCTACCACCGGTCAAATATACACCAAGTACGGCAAGATCGACCCCAAAACCGGCAAACTAGTGATCGTCAGGATCTACCTGATCACGCAGAACGATCCTTCCGGCAGAGTGAAGGAAATAGACCCCAAGGACTGTCAGTTCGACGAGACAACCGGTCGCATCGTCAACGTCACAACTCAGACCGTGTATATCTACAGCATGGTGGACCCTAAAACCGGCAAAATCGTCCAAGTGGATCCTAACGATCCCTTGGTGAAGAGCGCCAACACCAAAGTGACCCAAGTACTGACGCTCTCCGGCGAAATAGACCCGGTGACAGGCAAGATCCACACGGAGTGGGGCCACATCGACCCGCAGACCGGCGATATAGATCCGGGCACCGCCAGAACGGATCCGGTGACCGGCGAGCTGATCCTCAACTACGCCCAAATCGATCCCAGCCATTTCGCCGATCTCAAGGACACCAAGGTCAAGGTCAGGACGTACGCGGAGGGGGGTAGTGCTTCGGGAGAGAGCAGCGACGACGATTTGAACGAGTACGCGGCCGATGATTTGCAGGACGTGGCGAATTTGAGGATTCCGAGGGGGGGCAAGGGGTTCAGCACCCCCGTGATTGTGAAGACGACTACTAAGCAGATCGTGACGAAGGACAAGGACGGGGTGAGGAGGAATATCGAGGAGAAGGTGGAGGACGGTAGGACGGGGGAGGTCACCTATTCCAAGCAGTTCAATAAGGTATGTGACCGTTGGATTAGTCATGATTTTTTTTTCTCGTCGTGTATGATTTTCGATGGGTCGATTTTGCAGCATTTTCGTAGTTTTGCTGCTCTGATTGGAGAAGTTCGGTACAGAAATTAGGTTTCAATAAAAAATGGGATCATTCTTTTTCTTTCTCATGATACGATTTGCCTCCATATTTCTGATTGTTTTTGAGAATAGTTATTTGTTTTACTACGCTCGGCTATGAACTATCAGCCCCGGCAGTCAATCTACATTTGCTGCCGTATGAAACATAGAATTTTTTCTCCAAATGATATATAACCAATTTTGTGTAATTTTCTTATCGAAAACTATCATTTTGTGTTCATCCAATGTCAGTGTCAATTTTGATTACTAATTTCATTAGAATTTCTTGGAACGTTGCATAGTAACAAACTTGTTCTGCCTAGGCGGTAAAAGTACACCTTTTCTGCCTGTTAAGCGGCAGAAAAAAGCCACTATCTCTGCCGCTTGGAGAAATATGTTATTTTTGTAACGAAATTTCTAGAACTGTCAAATATGGGTTGACGTCACTTTGGTTGTCTCAACTGGAAAGTTGAAGGTCGATTGATTCATAAAAAATATAAGATATGTTCCTGTTTGGAATAATACTGAATTTTAGCTATAGCTAGATGGTTGAATGATTGTGGTTTTGAACTAAATCGCAAGTGTGTCAATTACTCTTTAAAACCGGTTATTGATCTGCCATAATATACTGCAAGCAACGCCCTTATGTTTCAAAAATCCAACTCAATTTAATTTTTCATTGATTATTGCTTTTTTTTGCAGTTCTGTACAATTGCATTTATACTTTTTATACTTTCAATTTGCTTATCATTTTGTTATCAATAATTTACATTTTAAAGACTTTCTGTTACCACTCATTTACACCGGGTGTAAACGAAGTCCTACTTTAGAATCTCAATCTTTTATTATTCCAGATTTTTTGGGATTTTGTCTCCTCGTCTCTATAAAATAAAAATATGATTCCCAACGTCACCAATTGTCACTGAGAAATGAAAAGTTTCAAGACAGATACGACTTTGCTATTAAAATAACCATTTTTTATGTTGAAAACGGGAGCAGATTCGGTCCCGAAACGTCCAAAGATAAGTGATAATCTGATATTTTTTCCATATACCTATATTTCTCTTCCCCAAACCTTTTTCAATAGAAATTGTCACTGACAAGCTAGTGAATTTTTCTTTTAGGCTCTCTGATAGGAAAATTCTTTAAACGCAGTGACATATTTTGGGGCAAATCATCTGATTTGTCCTTACTATAGGTATATTGAGGCTGTGTCAAGTCTGTGGTTTGACCGGGCAAATACGTTGAGTTTGAAGTCTGACCATCAGTCTGACCAACCAACTGTTTGGGAATATCGGTCACGTTTCAAACCTGCCCACAAAGTTGCCACGTTAACTTCTGATGGAAGTCGAGTCAAACATTGACCAGTCTGTTATCACCACTGTGGTTGAACGATATTCATATTTTAATATTATAGAAACGAGGAGAGAATATCACAAAAAATTTGGAATAATGAATGTACCACCTCCTGGATTAACCTACGGACAGTATTCAACGAAATAAACTGAATTTATTTAGCCAAGGGCCCATAATTTTTTGGTTTCATTCCCCCATTTTCACTGTTATACTTTTTCTTTGGAATCGCCCACTCCACCATATAATTTTCTTCACTTTTATTTATTTATTTTTCGTTTCCGCCCCCCTCCTCTCCCCTTTACCTCCGCCAGGCCGACGCCCCCGCACCGGAAGACGGCAAATCGTCGCCGTTCGTGACGGCGCGCGCCGTCACTACGCGAACGGCGACGACGCACGAAGATTTGGGGTCGAACGCGCGTACGCAGCAGCTCGAGGAGAAGACGGTGGCGCACTCGATGACGTCGAGTGCCACCAGGCAGGAGCAGCGGGTGGTCACTCAAGAGGTGAAGACTACCAGTACGGTGGTTAGCGGCGATCAGGTTAAAAGTTTTTTTTTTTTTTACTTTTTTTTATGATTTGGACTGTACTAACTCTATAAGAAATCATAATTGAATAGTGGAAGTAACAAAGGTGCTAAGTGACAAAAATAAAGTTTCGAGATATTTAAGAAAAAAGTAATAAATACTGTCACAACAAAATGGTTGGCGAGGGGTAATATTTAAATAGGCACTAATAGTTTAGAGGTATCTGGAAGTATGAGATTATATTCAAAGATAACAATATTTATTGAAGCATGAAACATTATGGGTGAAGTGATTATAAATATGAATAAACAACAATGAATATAAAGACCTAATAACAACTTACATTATAGATACCATAACGACGAGCTCTTGTCAAGTCAAGAGTAGCCTCAGACCAGACTAACTTCGGAAACCTCACATCCAATATTTATATACAACATTTTATTAGATATGCACGTTTCTCATGAGAGTTCCTTGGTCAGTTTTTATAATGGGTAAGACCACTGAGAGAAGAAATCCGTGCAAACCTCTTTGAATCGACGAATCATGATTTACGTTTGATGTACAATCAATATTATGAGTATAAGTTGAAGGGAATCGAATCTATATCGTTTTGAAATCAGCATATTTCATTCGATATTTCAAACAGCCAAATACGATGGTGGAGTCGTGACGTATTAGTCCCGAACTGTGGCTATCTCTCTCTGATACCTCGTCATTCTGCAGTGTTGCAGTGTGATTGGCCAGTTCAAGGACAATAGGCGTGTTGGGAATAAGACGTCGCACCAGTCACACCAATGAACTGACAAAATTTCAAATGGCACAAGAATTGTGTGTTTTGAAATGGACATATTCTAATTTATTATTTTCATCGTCTTAGCATGAATGACGAAATTCAAAATTAATTCGCTGGTAGTTTTTCAGTATAGAGTTCACGATAATGTCAATTTCAAAAATCAGTGGTCTCCCCCATTCAATGTCAACGGATGATTTGATTTACTTTATGTTTATAAAACCCTCATGGTTCGAAATCACTGATATACCGTATGTTCTACTCATGACAATACGTCAATATTTGTTTTTTTCGTTCGTTAGCATCAAAAATCGTAAAAAAGGTCAATGGAAAACCAATTGTAACTAACCGATTTTGCACTGGGCAGTTAGAACAGATTGACTCTAGCATGGGTATTGACTCTAGCATGGGTACCAGCACATACAGGGTACGAGGGCAATGAAGAGGCAGACTCACTTGGCCGAGCAGGAGCAAACAAAGCTCTGAATGACCCAGAACCCTTCTGTGGTATTGCGAAAGCTATACAAAAGACTAGTATCAAATCATGGATGCAAACCAAATCTCACGAATGGTGGAACAACTCGCCAGGAATGAGACAGGCATAAGAGTATATTGAAAAACCATCGCCAACATTCACAGAATATCTACTGAGCCAGAAAAGAAGTTCAACTAGAATACTAGTGGGACTTCTCACAGGGCATTGTAGGCTCAACAAACACATGATTACGATAGGTCTGACTGAAGAACTGCTGTGCAGGTTCTGTCAAGAAGAGGAAAAAACAGCAGTACACATACTTTGCCACTGTGAGGGCTTGTCAAGACTAAGGTTCCTTACGCTGAGTGAGGAAAAACCAGGAGCCCAGAGATACACAGGAGATCTGAAAGCTAGCCTATGGAGTCTCATAGAGAAGGCGGGGCTAGCCGAAGAACTCTAATCGATTTTGAGGGCAGACACAATAGATCTGAAAAGGTCGCAGTGTGGAGGCAGATAGCGCGAAAGCCCCATTCCAAATCTAATCTAATCTAACAGCGATATCTGTTATGAATGTTATGAAACACAGCTGAAAATAAAAAACTATTTCTTAAAAAAAAATAGAAACCGAGGCAAGTGCCACATTTTTTTCAACAAAATAGGATCAGAAAGTATTGGTGATATAGGCAATAGTCAAACTGATATTGATCTCAATAATAACAAAAATGACAAAAGAACGAGGTGTCTGATGATTCGACAATACATCAATTCACTCTGGTACTTGCCCCCTTTGATGGCAAATAACCGTTGTCGCTTACCGCTGGCTCCATCTAATTGTTGTTGTTGAAAGGATAATATTACTCATGGCACTTACAACTTTTTTCAGCTCATAAAGCATGTCGTTCAACACCGTTCTACGGCAATATCTCAATTCATGAAATTATGGCACTTAGCACCTTTGTTACTTCCACTCTTCTATTATGCTTGTTTAGGCGACTGGATTGTTTATTTTTCATTTATATACAGGGCGAGTCATGAGGAACTGTACATACTTCCCTGAGGGGAATTCCGAATGTCCATCAGAAAGTGTCTTCTACACTTCTTTTCCAATATACAAGGTGGGTCACGGTGGATGGCCTATTAGAAGTATCTGGAGAACAAAAAAACATAACATTCTGAAGATTGGGATGCTTTGATAATTGAACATTCTCTATCCGCGTCTGAAATGTTTTCATCATTACAGTGTTGCCACTTCTAGCAGAAACAACTAGCAACTTCGTTATTTTAAATGGAGCACCCTGTATTTTATTGCATTTTCAGATTCTTCCTAAAGAGCTAGAGAGAGATATAGGGTGTTCAAAATCGAGATTTTTCAATTTTGGGATTATTTTGTGTTGAAACTATTCATTAGTCACCCTATATATCGGTGAAGAAGAGTAGAAGACACTTTCTGATGGTCATCAGGTATTCTCCTTAAGGGCCTTTATTCGTGGTAGGAGTATGTACAGTTCCTCATGACTCATCCTGTATATTATTGCGGATAAATTTTGAAACTGTTTTTTTTGGCTAAATCTTGTTCCGAAGACAACCCTGTATTCAATAATTATTAAACCTTCTTCGCCTTTTCCAGTTGAATCTCAAAATTAGTCACTTGTATTTTCAAAATCAACAATTCTATTTCAGAAAAATCGATACAATCTCAAAAAGCGTCAGTTGTTTTTCAGAATAGTCACTTGTATTTTAGAAAGCATTAATTGAATTTCACAATTAGTCTTTTTTATTTCAGGAAACGTCATTGGTATTTCAGAACAGTCACTTATATTTCAAAATAGTCACTTGTATTTAAATATAGTCACTTGCATTTCCAAATAGTCACATAATATATTCCAGGATAGTCACTAAAATTTCGGAATAGTCTCTTATAAAATAGTCTTATATTTCAGAATGATCAATTCAGTTCCAGAAATATTCAATTGTATTTCAAAATAATCACTTATATTTCAGAAAAGCTAATTTAATTTCTGAAAGCGTCAACTATGTTCCTGAATAGTCACTCATATTTCAGAAACCGTTATTTGTATTTCAGAATAGTCACTTGTATTTCAAAATAGTCTTATATTTCAGAATAATTAATTCAGTTTCAGGAATAGTCAATTGATTTTCAAAATAGTCACTTTTATTTCAGAAAAGCTAATATAATATTGATGTGTGTATCGGAAAGCATCAATCGTATTTCAGAATAATCAATTCAATTTCTGAAAGCGTCAACTTGTTCCAGAATAGTCCCTCATATTTCAATATAGTCACTTATATTTCAAAATAGTCCATTCATTTTAAGAAATCGTTAATTTTATTTGAAAATAGTCACTTATCTTTCAGAATAGCCAATTTAATAGTCATGTTTTTTCCGAAAGCATCAATTGGATTTCAGAATTCGACGTTTTAATTTCATAATAGTCACTTATATTTCAGAAACGATCAATTAATTGTATTTCAGAATAGTCACTTGAGATTCAATTGATTCTTTCTGAAATATGATTGATTCTTTCTGAAAGTCTAGTCATTATTCTGAATTCTGAAATACAATTGGAATAGGTGGGGTGACATTTCACATGCTCATTATGATGATACTATCATGTTCTTGAAATGTCCTCTCAAATTGAATTTTATATACAGTGTCATTCATAAAGTCGGCATCATATGGGAAAAACTTTTATTAATGACTTATTTTGGAATTCCAGTTGGACGTTAAGTTTTGCTTCAAAAAATATGAAAAATGGCCTACTCAATCGGGGTCACGTGACTTTCGCTACATGTCAAAAGTGAAATTTCTTCAAATTAATCGCTGAAAGTAGGCTCATTTGTTCGAATATCGAAAAAGTTTACTTGAAAAATTTGTTTAAATTTCAATTTTATACATGCTTCTCGAATTTGATCTTTCTATTGCAGTTTTTAGATTTTGATTTTTTTTTAATTTTTCGAAATTTCTGTAATATTTGAAGAATTGTTGATTCCACGAAACTACTTCATACCAGTAGCTTTTCCATGCTACTAACTTTCAATTACTTACTATCACTGATTATGAACAGAAATATGATTTTCTTCAGAAAATGATAATACCCGCTTCCAATTTCTGTTATGTTTGATGCAAAATTGATATATCGTCAAGCATTTAATTTAGAAACGAAATTCATTTAAACTGATCATTTCAGTACTGAAAAAATGAATTTGGATGAGTTTCCAAATGCTTGACTCAAACATAACAGAATTTTGATGTTATGTTTGCATCAAACATAACAGAATTTTGAAGCGGATATTATCATTTTCCGAAGGAAATCATATTTTTGTCGATAATTAGTGATAATTAGTAATTGAAAGTTAGTAGCATGATGAAACTACTAGTATGCTGTTATGTTTGAGTCAAGCATTTAGAAACGAAATTTATTTGAATTTATTTTTTCAGTACTGAAAAGATCAGTTTGAATGAATTTCGTTTCTAAATGCTTGACGATATATCAACTTTGCATCAAACATAACAGAATTTGGAAGCGGGTATTATCATTTTCTGAAGAAAATCATATTTTTGCCCATAATCAGTGATAATAAGTAATTGAAAGTGAGTAGCATAAAAAAGCTACTGGTATGAAGTAGTTTCGTGAAATAAACAATTCTTCAAATATAACAGAAATTTTGAAGAATTAAAAAAAAATGAAAATCTAAAAGTTGCAATAGAAAGATCAAATTCGGGAAGCATGTGTAAAATTGAAATAGAAACAACTTTTTCAAGTAAACTTTTTCGATATTCGAACAAATAAGCCTACTTTCAGCGTTTAATTTGGAAAAATGTCACTTTTGACATGTAGCGAAAGTCACCTGACCCCGATTGAGTAGGCCATTTTTCATCTTTTTCGAAGCAAAACTCAACGTCCAACTCGAATTTCAAAATAAGTCATTAATAAAAGTTTTTCCCATATGATGCCGACTTTATGAATGACACTGTATGTTTCAGTTTGAATAATAATCGCATTTTGAACAAAAATGCCAAACATTTTCTGAAAATGAGATAAAGTTATTAGGAGACAATAGCTTCGAATCGGTATTTCATATAGAGAATCAAGTTGCCATGGAGAATTGAGAACGTGATATCCAAACTGTCAAATGTTCACAAATTTCAGAAAAAAGTTCATTTGATGGTTTATGGTTTGCTCCATTTTTCCTACAATAATTTATTCGATCATTCTTGGACAAAAACTGATTCAAACATATTACAATGTTCTGAATCGAAAAAAAAAAACAGTGATATCGATAGGAAATATTGAGATTGGAATAAAATTCAGGAACATACAATTATTGTCAAATGAGACTACAATCACATCATTGTGGATTGATAAATTTCTTAGTTCAATCAAACAAAAATCAGTGTCCATTCCATTTTATCCATATCGTTCACTTTATTCATTTTTTTTTTTTTTTTTTCAAGTCATGATAATAAACTCGCCCATCCATATTCCAACGCCGATTCAGTGTTTCTAATTTCTAATAATCGCTCATATCGTTCGTTAACTTTAACCCCCATGCATGGCTTGTAGCTGGGCAGACGAGACAGCGTCAGTTCGACTAGCTCAGGTGATTCCGGCACCCCCATCGATCCTCCCGATGACCCCACTCACCCCTATTACAACAGCGCCATCTACCAGGTACAGTATCGCGTCATCGCTCATTCGAAAATTCTCTTTTCGGGGTCTCAAGTGTTAGTTTGGAGCTTAAACACCGCTCAACGCATTTAAATGGGCCAAAGGGAGCCCTAAAATAATTCCGAAGGGTGACAAGCAGACAGAAAGATTAGAAAATAATTCATTTGTGAGAAGTTTTTTTTTTTCTTGAACTCTGCTCACGGAACGCAATAGCTGTCAAGTGATGAATTTTTTTCATGTACAGTGTGTCCAGTTTTCGATGCTTTTACGTGATATCTCAGTCATCTTTGGAGATAGAACCTTGCGGTTTTCGCGGTCCTGTGCCACTTTTTTGTGAAACTCAAGATGCCCTGATCAGATTTTGCAGGACTGTTTCCGTTTATGAGATACAGGGCGATTTTGAAAATTTATACTTTTTGGACCCCCTCTATATCTACGACGTTTATCAGCGAAAATGTCAAATTGAAATCTTAACCCATAGAGAATTTAATGCAGAATTCAGTGGCGCACAAAAAATTTTTTTCGGGGTGTGGTTTTGAGTTCATTGAATTCCTTATTTTTTTTTCCTTCGAAATGATATATGATGTATGAATATAACATTTTCAAAAATGTTCAAAAATCACTAAGACATTGAATTTTAATAGTGGGCTATTGGTTTTTCGAGGGATTTTCATATAAAGAAATTGACGATTGAAGGAATATTTCCTTTCATTGTTCCATGAAGGGGGAAAAAACAATTTCAACACTAATTAACTTTCAATTCACAAGACTTAGATACCTGATATCCACAAATATATAGTAATAAAAAGTTTATAATGTAGAATAAGCACCTGATTGAATATTTACTAAAACAATTGAATTTCGAAATTATTCAGTGATTTATTCATTGAATTGTTCAAATTGATGTCCATTTTCCATCACAAACTTTCTCAATACATATTAGTCATTGAAAGATGTCTTTCTAATTCCTGGAAAACTGCCTCTGTTGTTGCACAAAGTTCTTCAAGTATGTTGGGCCACTCACTGTATTAAGAAGTATTAAGAAAGTTTGTCAACTGTATGTTAGGAAAAATGGATATCAATTTGAACATGTCAATGAATAAGTTACTGAATAATTCCGGAATTCAATTATTTTAGTAAATATTTAATCAGGTGCTTATTCTACATTATGAACTTTTTATTACTATTTATTTGTTGCTATCAGATTTCCAAGTTTAGTGTTTTGTTAATTAATAAGTGTTGATATTGGTTTTGACCCCTCCATGGAAAAATTTGAAGAAATATTTTTTCAATTGGAACGTTTTTTATAAGAAAAATCCATAACCAACTATCAAAATTCAATATTTTAGTGATTTTGAGCAATTTCAAAAATTTTATATTCATTCTTCATATATCATTTTGATACAAAAAAATAAGGAATTCAATGAGCTTATGAAATACAGAGTGTTCCATTTAAAAAATCATAAGTTTGAGTCGTATCTCCAAAACCATACCCCGAGAAAAAACATTAAGTGCGCCACTGGATTATGCGTGAAATTCTCTATGCGATAAGATTTTGATTTGACATTTTTGTTGAGAAACTTCGTGGATATAGAGGGGGTCCAAAAAGTATAAATTTTCAAAATCGCCCTGTATCTCATAAACGGAAACAGTCTTGCAAAATCTGATTAGGCCATCTTGAGTTTCACAAAAAAGTGGCACAGGACCGCGAAAACCGCAAGGTTTTATCTCCAAAGATAACTGAGATATCATGCAAAAGCATCGAAAATTGGACACACTGTACAATTAATTCAATACTGTATTGAAATTTGATAGCGATTATAGAAAAAAAAAAACATTTGCATCAGTCAAACACAGAACATAAAATGCAAAAAATAGACCTGAGATTGTCATGGAACATATTTTTCTGACGAATTTCAGTTAGTTGCCAAACTGTAGTACTGAAAAGTTATTTTTATCATCGACTCAAACAAATATACAGGGTTTCCCAAAAGAACCGGAACGGTCGAATATTTCAGCAACGACTTGACATAAAAATATGAAATTTGGTATACGGGGGTTATCAGTAGTGCCGGATCTGAAAATAATATTTGCGACGTTGCCAGATTTACAGTTTTTCCTATGACGCCCTCAACGTTATTTTTTCAAATGTAATGCTATATATATTTTCGGCGCATTCGATTTGTCTTGTTCGAATCACTATGACCCTATGATATCAGATTTCAATTCCCCTAATTTTTGTTAATATGGAAATTCAACATTTCGTTAAAAAATTTCAATATCTCGAGAAATCGTAGCATTTAAACTTCCTTTTTAAATTTTAGTTGATACCATAAATTTAGATACATTTTTTCAACTGAATACTGAAACAAACCAAACCCTATTGATTATGTTTGAATCTTGAATCGAATTTTAGTTCTGAAAATTCGTACGTTATGTAATTTCTTAACATGTATAAAGTGGCCTTTGGAAATAGCTAATCAACTTTCATTGTTATTGTTTTCAACCATCTGTTTATTATCAAGATGAAATAGTTTTTTTGTTGGGTGAAGAAGTTTGAATAAATACTTAGGAAGATTTCGTGAAAATAACATGTAAATTTGACACCGTTGTAAATGAAATTCTTCGATGAGAATTGCCAACAAATTTTTAATAAATCAATTTTCATTGTCATAACGATACGATTTCTCGAGATATTGAAATTTGTTGATATTTTTTAACGAAATGTTGAATTGCCATATTGACAAAAATTAGGCGAATTAAAATATGATATTATAGGGTCATAGTTATTTGAACATGACAAATCGAATGCGCTGAAAATATATATAGCATTACATTTGAAAAAATAGAGTTGAGGGATCCATAGGAAAAACTATAAACCTGGCAACGTTGCAAATATTATTTTCAGACCTGGCACTACTGATAACCCTCGTATACCGTTCTTTTGGGAAACCCTGTATAATATTCAATCAAAACTGCATTACATTCTCATAATTTGTCTTCTTCATCTCTTGGAGTGCACGAAAGGGAATTCCAATGTTTTTTCGTAATTTCCGATACCATGTAATTCGTACAGTTTTCGTTCCTGTATAACAATAATTGAACCATTCTAACCTGAATGGTGTATTTTCTCGGTTGTGGCTAACTAACATTTGGGGCTCCGATCGGATCAACCCTTATATTGGTCAAGTTTTTCAGCAAGATGAAAATATCAGTTCAATGATTTTTGTCTTCGTATTTAGTTTTATACATATCATATTATGGGTGAAAAATGAATTGTAAGTAGGCATGCGCGTTTTGCAGTTTGTGTTTAGATTAGTCTTTAGCTGCACGTTGTTTTTTATGCATTTTGTAATTTTTATAACATTCATGTTGATATTTTACTTCTTTCAGGAGGTTTTATTCTTTCATATCTACACTATTAACTTTCAGAAGGAAATTGACTAAAAGGAGTCTGAATGATTCATTCATACATATTTATCATTAAACATTTCCTTATTTCATTGCAACTAGTATCAGTGATAACCAATCTATTTGTGTCTCAACGTTCATCCATTTTACATAAATAAACTGAATACTGCTTCCTCATTATCGTTTGAACAACATTGTTGCCATATTTCGAGACATTCTCACCCGAAAATTCGTAGTTTCATTTTGGAGTGTGCTAATCCGTAATGATTAAAAAATCTCGTCAATATTCATAAACCTGAATAAAATTTATCGAATAATTAAAAATCCTTATACACAAGCAATAAGATTTTGAAATATCACCAAGGGCATATAATGTTGACATCAATGGTCGTCGAGATCAAGAAATTGATTTTTTGACATTTTAAAGGACAAATACAAAGTGATCGACATCAACATACGAAAATAATGACTCAACAAAAATCATATCTATTGAAGTGTACAAAAAAAATGCAGTATAACTAGTGAATCTGCAGTTCAATCAAGATACATCTCTTTATATTCTCGTTTCATTTGCAAAATGCCTCCTCCTCATCTTTTGAGAAGTTCAAACTTCAAATAGATTGTGAAACCATCATTTCTGTTATTTTGGCAACCAATTTCAACATCTCAATTTTGTTTTTTCGCTCAGGAGGGTACGCCTGAAGGTATAGTACAAACTGAGAGCATCGTGTACCGCGGCGATCCGACCGTCATCCAGAGTACCACCAGCGTACCGGTTGTCGCCACCGAGGCGCGCAAAGTCAACCTCACTTCCGACGACGGTTCGTACAGTGCCACCGGCGAGATAGTCAGCTCGCAGACTATCAGCTCCAAGACCAGGACTGTGGAAACCATAACTGTGAGTGGAAAATCGGAAATTTACTCTGTTACTAACACCTTGTTATATGAGATATGTTGGGCAGACGCGTAAAATCGGGAGTACACGATTTAAGGAGCATATTGCTCACTTGGGTTCAATCGCTGCTTGAACCTTTCACTTTATCAGAATAGGTGGAGAATTAATGGCAACTGTTAGGAATTCACTTGTGAACACCTGCAAAGTCAGTGATTCTTACATCTTTCGTTATTAGAACGGTTCGTACAGCGCCACCGGAGAGACAGAAAATAATAACTGAGTGGAAAATCGGAGATTTACTCTGTTACTAGCACCTTGTTATAGGAGATATGTTGGACAGACGGGTAAAATCGGGAGTGCACGATTTAAGGCACATACTGCTCACTTGTGTTAAATCGCTGCTTGAACCTTTCACTTTATCAGAATAGGTGGAAAATTAATGGCAACGGTTAGGAAGTCACTTGTGAACACCTGCAAAGTCAGTGATTCTTACATTTTTCGTTATTAAGATGGTTCTTACAGCGCCTCTGGAGAGATAGGAAACCATTTAACTGTGAGTGGAAAATCTGCAATTTTCTGTGCTACTAACACATTGGTGAGATATGTTGGGCACACGCGTAAAATCGGGAGTACACGATTTAAGGAACATATTGCTCACACTTGGGCTCAATCGCTGCTTGAACCTCTCACTTCATCAGAATAGGTGGAAAATTAATGGCAACGGTTAGAAATTCACTAGTGAACACCTGCTAAGTAAGTGATTCTTACATTTTTCGTTATTAAGAAGGTTCGTACAGCGCCACCGGAGAGTTAGGAAACCATCACTGTGAGTGGAAAATCGGCAATTTACTGTTACCGAACACCGTGATATATTAGATATGTTGGGCAGACGCGTAAAATCTGGAGTGCACGATTCAAGGAACATATTGCTCATTTCGGTTCAATAGCTGCTTGAACCCTTCACATCACAACAGTTGTAGAATTAAATGCAACGGTTAGGAATTCGCTTTTGAACAACTGCAAAGTCAGTGATTCTTACATTTTTCGGTATTAAGGCGATTCGACGGCGCCACCAGAGAGATAGGAACCTATGACTGTGAGTAAAAAATCCGGAAATTGACGACTGCAGACCTGAATCAGCACCTTTTCACATTAAATATATTGGCCAGACTCTTTAAAGGGGGTACAAGATTTAAGGAACATAGTGTCCGCTTCGTAAGTAATTGCAACGGTTGGAAATGTGATTCTTGCATTCTTCCTGTATAAAACGGCTCGTACAGCGCCACCGGCGAGATAGTCAGCTCGCAGACTATCAGCTCCAAGACCAGGACTGTGGAAACCATAACTGTGAGTGGGAAATCGGAAATTTACTATGTTACTAACACCTTGTTATATGAGATAAAATATGTTGGACAGACGCGTAAAATCGGGAGTACACGATTTAAGGAACATTTTGTTCGCTTTTGTTCAATCGGTTTGATAATTCACTGCTCAGAACATAATAGGTGTGAAAGGAATGGAAACGGTTGGGCATTCACTTGTGAATTTTACATTCTTCGTAATTAAATCGGCTCGTACAGCGCCACCGAAGACATCTCGCAGACCAACAGCTCCAAGAGATACGGGCAGACGCGTAAAATCGGAGGTGCACGATTCAAAGAACATATTGCTCACTTCGACTCTATCACTGCTTGAACCTTTCACTTCATCAGAATAGGTGGAAAATTAATGGTAACGCTGAAATATAAACCACGTGATATACTCTCGGAATCTACTTGAGTCCATCTATCTGCAAGTTGCTGAACTGTCTAGGAAATAAAAATATTTCAATCCGGCCCTGATGCGACATTCTGATGAAAACATCTAAAAATAAACTTCGAATATATTCTGCATTATCGATCTCTACCCTTCGCTACTCAACAAAAAGCAGTTCACATTATCGCTCATAGAACCGCTACCTACCGAAGATTTCCTGGCTCCATTGCTCTCATGAGGATGCTTCATCTTGTCAGAGTAGATAATCAAGGCTGCAACATATCTCAGAGATTGCATGTGCAATATTGCATTGAATAAATGCCAGAGATTGAAAATACATTTGTTAATATACCTCAATAATATTAATGGCATTGCAGCAACATTTCTAGATATCAATGTTTCTGCAATATTTGTGGAAAACTGCAAATGCCACTATAATATAACAATATTTGCTGAATATTTCGAGCTGTGTGGGTTTACTGAACTTTTCACCTTTCTAATATCTTCTTGAATGGTTGACTAGATCGCTTTTCTCATCTTTATTTAGTATAAAACTGAGAGAGATGGCGTGGTGGAAACTAGAGTGGAACAGAAAATTACCATACAATCTGACGGAGATCCGATAGACCACGATAGGGCATTGGCGGAAGCCATTCAAGAAGCCACAGCAATGAACCCTGACATGACGGTAGAAAAAATTGAAATTCAGCAGCAGCACACGGCACAACCATAAATATAACGTAAGTGATAAAAATCTCCTACAACAAACAAATCGCGAATTGTCTTTTGAGATGTATCAATTTTGTTATCGATTTTGTCATTGGTCTTTTTCAGGATTTTGACAACGTTTCAGAAATTTTAAGCTGTGCTTCATTCTTCGATGTCAATGTTTTTTCGATTTGATATTTCAAAGCTTTGTAAAAATCATCATTACCATTCTTTTGCGTCTTTTTCATCACTTTTCTGTCAGAAATTTTGTACATTTGAGCTTCAGGCAGATAGATATGGTTGATTTTATTTTTATATTTAATATATTTTTTGTGTCAAACACTTTTTTTACATATTTTATTTATGTATTATTAACATTCATAGTTTTATGTGTATTGTATTAAGTGTGTCTGAAATAATTACTTTGCTAAGATTTTTTCATCAATTTTCGTCAACAAACAGAGAACAATATTTTACATAAGGATTAATATGTGCATACTGCGATAAGGTGCTTTAGAATTTACGAATCTCAAAGAAAAAAAATACAGATGTGTTCAAAAAAATTAATAGAATATTTAAAATGTATATGTCTTAGCCACATTCCATATGTATATTGAAAGTAAATTCGTTTTATCTTAAACACAGCTATCTAGAAATCTGTTGATATTTGGAAATTTTATTTTCTGTGTGGTAGCTATATGAGCTATTAGATAAAAAATATATGATAGAATAAGGGACTTCAACCATAATGCTATGTTTCGACAATAATTTCCGATTGACTCTAATTTTGATATTAAGTAAAAGTGGTCTGTCAGAAAATCGTTTTAATTGATTTCAAAATCAAAAGCATCAGTGAAAGAAATTCATTATTACATCTGCAGAATATTAGTGTTTCTTTTCTTCTGAAAGGTTTAATGTTTTTTTTGATCAATATGTTCCCAGAATTTTGACTTGAAACTTCAATTATTTTGTCATGGTCTGAAGACTATTATTCAAATTGTTTTAAAATGGTCAGTTTCAAACCGAAATTTTGATAAAACAAATTGATGTAGATTGGTGTTGCATTGAATGGACCAAACTATTCATAGGGTTTTCTGTTTTCTTTAAATAGTGTGTCCCACTTACCATGCTCACCATGGGTATCTCTTTAACGGTGAGAGATACGAGGTCGGTTAAATGACACCAAATGTGGAGTTTTTCAAGGCCAACTATAATGTGCAAAAATATTTTGATAAAATCTATTCGTTTTTGTTTTATACGCAAAAAACAGATTTTGATTATTTTCATGTCTCCTCCGTAACTTCTTTATTTATGAAAATATTCAAATAGGAATTTCACATTCTCATGGCAGTTTTTCAGTCATTTCGAAAAAAATATGAAATTTATACCAACTCTTCTAGAATTTGAAATATCAGCACCAACTTTAGTTTTTCGAATGTAGGTCATAGCTCACTATGACTTATTTACAAATAACTTTTTTTTCTCTTACAGATGATGTGTGGCAGTAATAGTTTTGTGTTGATAACAACGGAGTTATCGTCATTTATACAAAAACAAAAAATTATTTGGAAGCCGCCATCTTGAATTTATAAATTTTAACAAAAAAAATCATGATTTCCGACCTCAAAAACCCCCACTTACCAATTTTGAATGGAATCGGACCAAATCTTGTCCGCCATCTTGGAGCAGCCATTTTTTTTTTAATTTCAACAAAAATTCTATAATGTATTGTCACCGGATTTACGAACATCTCCCACTTCTGGTCGTCCGATTAACTTGAAATTTGGCAGGTGTTCATGCTTTCGGTGACAATACATTATGGAATTTTTGTTGAAATTAAAAAAAATGGCTGCTCCAAGATGGCGGACAAGATTTGGTCCGATTCCATTCAAAATTGGTAAGTGGGGGTTTTTGAGGTCGGAGATCATGATTTTTCCGTTAAAATTCATAAATTCAAGATGGCGACTTCCGAATGATTTTTTGTTTTTGTATAAATGACGATAACTCCGTTGTTATCAACACAAAACTATTACTGTGACATATCATCTGTGAGAGAAAAAAAAGTTATTTGTAACTAAGTCATAGTGAGCTATGACCTACATTTGAGTTGGTGCCTATATCTCAAATTCTAGGAGAGTTGGTATAAATTTCATATTTTTTTCGAAATCACTTTGAAAAACTGCCATGAGAATGTGAAATTTCTATTTGAATATTTTCATAAATAAAGAAGTTACGGAGGAGACATGAAAATGATCAAAATCTGTTTTTTGTGTATAAAACAAAAACGAATAGATTTTATCAAAATATTTTTTCACATTATAGTTGGCCTTGACAAACTCCACATTTGGTGTCATTTAACCGACCTCGTATCTCTCACCGTTAAAAAGATACCCATGGTGAGCATGGTAAGTGGGACACGCATACTAGGATCGCGCTTTCCATGACAAAATCCATGATAATTAGCAAAAAATGTGTTGTCCCTTGTCTAACTCCGTCGCACTTTGATTATTAAAATTTAAGGGCTTGTACACTCAGTACCGAGGTAGTTTAGATTTAGTTTTTTTACACGTGTAGCATTATTTATCTTTTGTGGTATATGATTTTTTTGGAGTAGCTTATCATCGCTGATTCATGGTTCTCGCAGTTCTACAGAGTTATAGGGAAGTGCTGAAATCTTGGGTCATCGAATGTGTTGCTTTCTTATTTGTAGCTGTTTATAGATATATGTCACATTTGTTTTCATTTTTAATTTTATTTGAATAATAAATATGTTTCAATAACGGCATTTGATTTATCATATAGACTGGTCGTTAGTGATAGGTTCTTTTTGCAACGTTCAACTTTGAAGTAATGCTTTTCTTGGGGTTTCAACATGGTCTAGACAATTATCATTTTATGCCTTCATGCAGCGGCGTCACCAATCAAATTTTTGAACAATGGGGAAGTTTCTTATACTGGAATCTTATCTCACTGTGAAGTTTGTAAAAAATTGATGTATATGTATTTTTTCTTTCTTTCGTAAGATCAAATTTCACTTCAGAAAAAAATAAATAGAAGAGGAACTTGGCTCCTCCACCATTCCTAGGACGTACTATCTGAAAATCCACATTCACGCAGAGTTTAAAAATACGATTCCCTGTCCCAGTACGTCGTTACCGACATCATCAATATGTCTAGCTTTCCGGAAATTGTTCTTTGAATGCATAATAACTATATCATAACAGCATTGGGATATAAAAGGTTCTTCAGTCCTACTTTGCCAAGTATTATGAATAACTCCCATAAATTTCTCATTGGCTGAATGAAGTTGATTACTAATAAAGATACATTATGATATTTTGCGATAGTATCCATAATTTTTCACTATCGTTATATTACAATTTGTTATTCATAACTTGTCATTCATTTTTTTGCTAACGAATTCGTTCCTTGATAAAACGGATCTATTTCCTAGGAAAATTGCAGATTATATCTTGCAACTGCGCCTAATACTTCGAGTCCGTCCACACCACTCAAAATACTGACAGGCACAACAAGAGGAAGGAGCCATAGGTGTCGGCTTCATTCTGTTCTGACCGATGACAGTAAATTAGGAAGGATAGTATCATTGCCGATAGTGATTCATTGATTCAATGATATTTTTGTTATGGATCGAGCTCTATTCGAGATATTTCAATGCATAAATAACAAAACCATAACCTGTCAGAATGAAGCCAACTACCCTCTGCATTCCTGCTCCGAGTGCATTTGTGGTTATGTATGTTTTTGTTCACCAGCTTTACTTCTTCTATTTTTTTCAATCGTTTTTCTTTCGTTAGCTATTCGCTAGCATTATTCTTCACCATCAGCTATTTTCAGACTAGATTCAGAATGTACGTCACAGTTTGCCGCCCCGAAAAATAGAAATTGCTTTAATTTGAAAATGAAAACGACTTGGGCTTTATCGGTCGCCATTCTGTACAGCGTGGACATAAAACTGGAGAGTTCCAAACTTATTTTATGACAATTCATCTGAAAGAAACTTCTCCATTACTCAACGTATGCTTTATGACAGACTTATTTTTGGTGTTACTTGTATCACGATGAACAACTTTTCATACAATTGTAGCATGAACATGCGCTGTAGCAATTTTTTAAACATGCACTGTTTTGTAATCACAATAAAAGTGGATTTCAAATTTGATTGGTGACGCCGCTGCATGCGATCACAAATTGATCAAATTGTCTAGGACATGTTGAAAACCCATGAAAATCATTACTTGAAAGTTGCATACATTAGAAAAACGTTGCAAGAAATCCGTCACTATTGGCCAGTCTTGTAGGTGACAAGAAACAGTCGATTGACCATATATTACTTGTAAAGGGTTAGATGTTTTGTGCTATATGTTGGCAGCATTTACTGTCAAATCGATTGTCATTATGTGGAATGCATTTTTTTGGCATTCATAATTACTTTCATTATATTTCGACAACTTTGTTGGCAACCTAGCAATGAATTTCAGAATCTCTTCAAAATCATCAATCCGAAAAGAAAAAAATTATGACTTCAGCGGTGTTTCTTATTTTAATTTATTCGGAGGATAACAAGTATAAATATGGCATTCCAAAAATTTCTACATCACAATCCAAACAAAAATGAAATAATGGGATTTTAGAAGCGCTCCCAACTTTTTTAGAAGCTCTGAATCAATAGAGAATCAAAATCGTAACCTCAGGGGCGTACCTATAATTTTTTTCTGGGTGTATCCATTTTTTTTCAGAAGATAGTCCGTCTTGTGGAACTTTCGGAATTTTACAAGGTAGGTTAGTAGATGATAGATGACAGACAGATAAACTGAAAGTAAGTACGAGTTCTGAAGTTTATTATTTGTTTATTAAATTACCAACAATATAATATGTAAATACTCTTTGTACTATAACAATGATAAATTGATCTAGATGAAAATTTTAAATATAAAAAGTGTCACAATATCCAAATTATAAAATCATTCAGACTCTGAGGTTCAGATGTCAGGTCACGACTTAAAATGGCGAATAAAAATTGGTTATTTTATTAAGGACGATTAGACTTTGTTTCACTATTTTTGTCAGTCCTAACTGAAAACTTCCAGAAACAAATAGGCAGTGTTGAAAATGTCAATTCATCATAAATATTCACCATTTTAATCTTACTACAGATTCGATACGAAACGAGTAAAAATATCGTTATCTGAATGTAACAACGGTACTGCCGATGGCCTGCGGGTCCTGTATGTGATTGACAGCGACATCTATGTCCTGGGGCTGATATATTTTATCGACTACCGTTTGTAAGTAACCATCTTCGACATACTGAGTCAGTCTATCCAATGTTACATAACATAAGTGCGTCTCGTCGAAATCGTTCGTTGGCAATCCAAACATGTTCTGAAAACGGATAAAGTTACATCAAATGTTTGAAATTGAATATTAGAAATAATTAAACTGGGCGTCAATTATTGAAACGTTGATAGTGAAATTTGGCAAGTTTGACTTCTCGTAATTTCTAAAATATTGAACGAATTTTGAATTTCCGCCCAGATTCTGAATGCCTTTTTCATCGTCTTTCGAACCATTCCTTACAGCTTCTTCTAAATTGATCAGGGCCCGTGATACAGAGTGAAACAAAGTTTCGTGCATTTTGAAAAAAATTTCTCCGCTCCCCCATTTTGTCGGAAGACCACGATGCTTATATTTTATTCGGGCATTTCATAAATAGCAACCATACCTCGGGACGTTTTCGAGTTTTTGCCAAAAACTACTGTGGTTTCCGAAAAAAATTTTTTTTTGCATTTTTTTCAAATGGACTGGTCACCTGTATCCTCAAAACAATGAATCAGTCTCTTTATTGTCATGACTGACTTATCGAAAATGGTACTTAAATGAGTTTGGGTATATCCTCATCGTCGTAACCTGAAATAATAATTATCTGTACTGAATTATAGTTTATATCACTATAGTATATTTTCCATTTCGACCCGATTTGAACGAGGCATCTTTAAATTTTTTAGGACCCGAATTACACTGACGTTTTCATGAAAATTGGCAATTGATACTATGCATACCTACATTGTTTCAACAATACGTTGTTATAGAAACAAGGTATCGTTGTTTGTTTTTGTTGATGAGATGTGTTGATTTACTGCTCAGTAAGGTAGAAAACTTTTATCATAGACTGCGAAATAATAAATTATTGATTGTTTTTGAGTAACCTGGTATACATATCTGCTCCAACGCTTTCCTGAAATGCATAAAAGCATCCATTTAAAAGAAATACAAAAAAAATTTTTTTCCCGGAAACCACAGTAGTTTTTGGCAAAAACTCGAAAACGTCCCGAGGTATGGTTGCTATTTATGAAATGCCTGAATAAAATATGAGCATCGTGGTCTTCCGACAAAATGGGGGGGCGGAGAATTTTTTTTCAAAATGCACGAAACTTTGTTTCACCCTGTATCACGGGTCCTGATCAATTTAGAAGAAGCTGTAAGGAACGGTTCGAAAGACGATCAAAAAGGCATTCAGAATCTAGGCGGCAATTCAAAATTCGTTCAATATTTTAGAAATTACGAGAAGTCAAACTTGATGCCAAATTTCACTATTAACGTTTCAATTGACGCCCAGTTTATATTATTATTGCAGGGTTATCATTTCCAGATATGGGGACAATTTTAAGTTAAAGTTTTTATGACTACCTAACCAGAGATTTTGATTCTGGAATGACTACCTACATAAGAAAGTATTTTATGTGAAAAGCGGAATATTCATGACCAAGAACCGGAATGAGTAACCTTCCTGCTTCTACATAATACTTATTTCAGTTTTAATAGTTTTAACCATTCTTCTGGCATGATTTTCCTCAATGTTACATACATATAATTCGTCCCAATGGATCAGTTATTCGTAAAACATTGATTTGGTTCTACTCATTACTCATAGTTTTTTGTTTCTCAGTTGACTATTTTAATGGCAAAGTTATCAACAATAAAAAAGAAAAGATTTGATTAAATAGGCACCGAAACCACTGGATCGATTTGGCTGGAAATTGGTGGGGAAGTAGCTTAGAACCAGGAGAAGGTTAAAGGATACTTTTTATCCCGGTACCATTAGGAAATTCAAGATGGCGGATCAAATATATCGGACGAGATCTGGGGGTTTTCGGGGTCGGTGATTATGATTCTTTTGTCAGAATCCAAATATTCGGACGGAATTTGGAAATTCAAGATGGCGGAACCAATATGGTGGACGAGTTTTATTATTATAATCCGATTCTTTTCAAAATTGGTACCTAGGGGTTTTCGTGATCTAGCATTATGATTCCTTCGTCAAAATTAAGAAATTCAAGATGGCTGATCCAAAATGGCTGATTTTTAATTAGGATCCGATTTTATTCAGATTTGGTATCTGGTGGTTCTCGGGGTCGGAGATTATTTTTCTTTCGTCAAAAATAGGAAATTTAAGATGGCGGACCCAATATGGCGGACGAGTATTGTAATTATGATACGGCTCTCTTCAAAATTGTTATCTGAGTGTTTTCGGGGTCGGAGATTATGATTCTCTCCTCAAAATTGGGAAATTCAAGTGAACTAAAAAGAAGTAGAAAATAAAGTAATTATAGTGTCTTGATGAATATTGAACTGAAAAAATATTTTATAGAAATAAATGTATATAGCAAAACAACATTTGCGAGGTCGGGAATGTATATAGCAAAACAACATTTGCGAGGTCGGCTAATCAACAATACAAAGACAATTATAAAAAGTTTCACCATGAGAAGTTTTTTCTTTACAATCTTCATAGGACGGTGAATCTTGACAGGCATACCAAAAATTCCTAAGGTTAGGATTTGAAATCGAGGTCACTGGCTTGCTAAATATCGTCGATAAGTGCGATTTTTGCATATCTTTTCTAATCAACAGACAAATCAAAAATATTTTTGATTGGTTGTCGTTTAATGGATATTTATTATGTGAATATTTCGGAAATGACAATTTGACATAACCTATACCTTCCTAAGATATGTTTGACTCATCTGCAGTGGCGTATCGTGCCGTCCACGGGAGTTAGGGAAGAACAGCCTATTCCAATCTTCCACTTCCACTCAGGTTGTCAAGTCACCAATTATAATCAAGTTATCAAAAAGATGTTTGCGTCCTTGAATAAAACAATGATAATAATAGGACTTTTTTGAGCAACCAGCAAGTCCAAATATTTCTCATTCTCCATAACAAAATATCATGTGAATGTTGGAGACTTGGCAACATTGTGCTGAATGCTGAGAACTGACAAGGCAACGCTCACAAGTCGTGCGCGGGGTTGTCACGTTCACCGATTCAAACGTCCTGTAGTGTGAATAAATATAATTATTTACACAAATTTTCTTGGAGAAGTGTAAATTGAAACTCATATTTCGAGGAATATTTGATATTTTCGTAAATCCCTAGTGGAATTAGCAAATGAATTTTCGACGTTCTAACCTGCAACTTGTACTTCAAATTGACATAAACCGCCAGCATACACCGCCCGAAGAACCCGTAACCATCCGAAGTAAGCAGAGGCGGCAGCGTCGATATTATGGTCCCGTCCACCTTCAAAAACTCCCTAAGCTCCTCCATCTTCAAATCCCCCTCCAATCCAGTTTTCACAATAGCATCGTAAACCTCTCCTCTAGTTTCCAATTCTTTCAAGAAAGCCTTATTCTGATCGCGTTTGTCGCCGTCTGAAACGGATTTAACGTCGTTTAGCACTATTATGCTGCAGGCGCCTAGCGCTGTTACCACCGGTACTGCTCTCTTGTAGCAAGTGGCTGTCACGATGGCGTTCCAGTGTTTCAGGAGTTGGATGAGAACGCAGCCCACTGGGGTGCAGCCTCCCAGAACCAGGACTCTGAAAACGGTAGGGAAGTTGTTTTTTTCTATGCTATGGAAGTTTTTTTTAATCCTTTGGAGCACACTAATATGCGGTATGCTTGGAATATGTATATTTTTTATTTGCAATAGAGCAGTTCAGCTAGCGTTGAGAGAGAAAAAAATTTCTTTCCCATCTGTCCTTGTCTTCAGTGGGTACGGATAGAATAGCTCCTTTCTCTTTCAATCATTTAGAGACCTTGGTTTCCTGTTTTGGCGTCCCTGACATGACATTGCTGTCACGTCACATTCATAGGCGTTAAAAGAGATCTTACAAAATTTTAATTTCATACTTGATCTTCATACGACATTATTCAATTCTGTTTTGGAAGGATGGTAAAATGTGCTGCGTTATGAATTTAGAACATGGAAAGTGAAGTGACCGAATGGGGAAAATTGGTAAATACATCAGCAAAATATTCAAGGTAAAACTAATACGAAATCACATATTATACTTTTTGATTGTGCCTATAATTATCCACTCCACAAGTTTTTGAATGCATTTCAGTAGAAACAGTTTTGATTAAAACGGAGGATTAAAAGAAGAGGCATATGCCCTAACATTAAAAAAATTATACCTACATTCAGGAAATATTGAGTGTTCTTGAAAAACTGCAAAAATGCAAAATGATTCCCAACATAAAATTTTTCACCATTTCTCATAGGTACTGCCCAAAACAGTGTCATTTGGTAAAACGTATTAAACTTTCAGAAAAATTTGCTCACTGCCTCACAAAGATTATGCTGGAGATGAAAAATCAAAAACTCGAAAATTATCATCATCATTTGGATATAATATGTAGAGTTGAATGAGAAATTACATGTGGAAATTACGTATGATACGCCAATGTCCTCAATATAACCTAAAAAACAACAAATGTCAGAAATCTAGTGTTTATCGCCAGAAATGAATAAAGATGGAACTATATAACTGATTCACAAACACTTGAGAGTGAGAGGAGACGAAGATCTGTCCGTACCCTGTTAAAATGACAAATTCGTCAATTTACATCGAGGGACCCTATCTTCAGTGTTCCAATGTAAAATAATGGAAATTTTATATTGTTAACATTGGAAATGCGAAAAAGTAAAGATCATATTAACCTCAGTATAAAAAAAGTTAGAATGGTCTTCGTCATTTCTTCTCATTTCCAGTGTTGCCAATATAAAATTTACATTATTTTATGTTGGAAAACTGAAGACAAGGACAGATCTCTTTCAAAGCTAGCAGAACTGCTCTTTTGATTCAGAACTAATCAACTTTCAGGCGATGTAGAATCTACAGGGTGTTCCGAAATACCATAGAAATATTTCAACCACAGATTCTTGAAACAAAAATAGTTGAAAAAGTTCATACAGTGTGACCCACTTCTAATGGAACCACCCCTGTATCTTACGTAATCGTTGGGTTAGGATCCTGAAATTTGTTGGAGCGAGAGATATACCAAAAATGCACTCTATGTCTATGACCAAGTGGGGTCATCTTCAGTGATATACACTGCTCGCCAACAGCCATGAAACTACCCCAATTTCCGGAAAATTATATTAGGAGTCATAATAGGTCGAATATCACTTCAGATTTGGAATCAGGACGCCCAATTTACTAACTAAGTATCCAAATTTTTCCTGGAAAATATTCAGTTCGGAAAAATGAAATTTTGTCGCATTTTCTATGGAAGCACCCCCGTATCTCACATAATTGACTCTATCTTTGGACTTTCACTTCCTCCGGCAAATTTCAGAACCCTACCTCAATAATTACGTGAGATACGGGGGTTCTTCCATGAGAAGTGAGACAACATTTAATTTTTCTGAACTGGAAATCTTCTAGGAAAACTTTGAATAGTTAGTAACTTGGGCGTCCTGATTCCGAATCCGACATGATTTTCAACCTATTTTGACTCCTAATATCATTTTCCGGAAATTGGGGTGGTTTCATGGCTGTTGGCGAGCAGTGTATATCACTGAAGATGACCCCACTTGGTCATAGACTGGGGAGTTTACCACTCTGAAAGAGGCCCGAGATGATGTTTCTTTATAAATAGTTCCGAAATCCTCTGTGATGAGATAAGGAAATTTTGGAAATGTTAGGAAATTTTCCGAAATGTTGATCTTGGGCGTGGGAAGTAGGCGGGGGGCTAGGGGCATTTCTTTCCCCAATTTTTTTATGCAATTTTCAGCAGTTTGAAAAAGAGAATTTCTTTGACTGAAGGTTTTTTTCAATCACCAATGAAAGTAAATAGGTGCAAAATTTTGCATGTTGAGAGCAATCATACTACTATTCCCACTACAAATTACATCCAAAAAACACTTTTGTGTGTGTGTGTTGTGAGTTAAGTGTTCATGCTTATACCTCTTGTCATTTTCATTAGTACTATACCCCACATTAATTTGTCATCAAATGGTTCACCTTTTTTCCCTAGCATTCATATATTCAATTCTTGCCTCTCCTAGTGCAGACAGTGCCAGGCTGCCAGAGTATGGAAGACTGCAGGCCCCCTCAAAAGCACTATTTTTTGGCTTCCTAGACACTCTCTTTTCATTAACCAACACAGATTGGCACAAAGTGCCTTGGCACCAAAAAGGGACTGTTAACCACACTTCATCCCCTACTTCCAGCCTGCTAACTTTCTGCCCTATGTCTGTGATAATTCCTGCACATTCTCTTCCCAAAATAACAGGCAATCTGGAGGAAGAGTGCTGAAAAAGCTAGTTTAGTCCATGTTCATTGAAACACTGCTGCAAATTCATTACAGAATACATCCTTTGAAGAATCCCTCTCAAAGTCTTTCCATATCCACTACAAATCTGCACATCAATCATTTGTATGGAAGCAGCTTTAACATTAACAAGTACATCAAATTCAGAGCATTCATAGGGGGCAAGAGCATCTTCTGCAACAGTTATAGACTAGAAATAAGACAGAAGTAAATAGATGCATTCCAGAAATTGGAGATAACACCTCAGGTCCAAAATAGTTGGTGCACTGGATGGCTTGCATGTATCTTAAGAGGGGTTCTCTTTTTCTAATTGTTAAACCTATGGTTAGACCTATAAGGCCTCCCACAATCAGTCCTGAGCATGCCAAGTAAACATCTCTAGTGGTCCCTGGAGACAGATATACTAGAATTTATAATTGTTGGCAAAAAGCAGACAAGAAATTCTGGTTACATTAAATTCTTGTAAATTGTTATGGGATGACTCACACTTTTTTCCAAAGATGTTCAGAAAGGCTATGTACATATGTTTGGGGTTGGCATAAGAAATAATGAGGCTTTTCATTTCTTTGGTGGAAGCTATGAAAGTAGTTAGTTTTTCACTGAAATTCAATCTGGCATGTTCCAGTGCTGGATTACTCCATAGTTCTAGTAAAATCAACTTTCCTTGGGCTATGTATAAAATTAGTTCATCTCTGATTTTTGAAGCTGTTATTTGACTTTTGACCTGAAAATATTGCTTACAATTTTGGTATAGTTGCTGATGAAAATTTATACCTGCAAATGTTCGATTTTTTGAGTACTTCTGAAGAGCAGTTCATCCATTTTCATTCTTTCTTAAAATTATATAATCATTTGGCTTGTGCTACGACTTTAATTGATAAACGTTGATTCATCGCTTACTACCCTTTTTTCCACTTAATAAAGTATCTAAAAATAAGTCAAAATATCCGAAATCCAAATCATTCTGTAAACAAAAAAATATTACATAAAAATTTCTAGATTATGGTTATGTTCAAGCTTCAGGGCCTTCCGCCTTCAGTTCCTCGGATTCTTAGGGAGAGGACAACAACAGAGAAGAACCTGGGTAAATTGTTGTTATTACAATATTAAAGGTTACTCATTTCTCGTATCACTCTGTATAAGGCAGAGAAGGCCTGAAGAAAGAATGAGTAATAAATGTCGGTTGTTTTATGTTGTTATGGTGTTGCTAAAACAAGAAAATAATAATGTAACAAAACTTTCATATTGTATGTATTCTCGTATTTTCACGGAGATTAAAAATCAGTTTCTTAAAGTCTTTCAATTACTGTGTCCACTGTTAGCCCTCTACCACTGGCACCTGGATAAAATCAACAGGTTATGGGCCCAGGAAGCGTAAGCAAGAAATTGTGAATTCAAAGAGGAGCAGTGAAGCAAACGAAAATTGAATGCTGATTGTTCGTTAAGGTTGAAGCCATGGCGAATAGTGAAACAAACTCCGGAGTAAGCATGTCGATCGAAAAACTCAAAGGTCGGGAGAATTATTCGGACTGGAAATTCCAGATGAGTGCCTTGTTGAAGCTAGACGGACTTTGGTACTGCGTGTCTGGTGATGCCCCTGAAAATGTGGATGCTGCTACAAGAGCACGCCATGCAGAAAAGGCATTGTCCAAAATAATCCTTTCCTTGGACAAGTCAACATACCCTCATGTGATGCAATCAAAAACTCCTTCTGAAGCCTGGAATGCACTCGAAAAGGCATTTGAGGACAAAGGACTCCATCGAAGATTGCGATTGTTGCGGAATTTGTGTTCCATCAAACTTGAACGCTTCAATAACATGGAGGATTATGTGAATGAAATTTTGGCTTTGTCACAACAACTTATGTCGATTGGTAAGCCCCTGGATGATGAATTTCTTGGTGTTATCATGCTACAAGGACTCACAGAAGAATACGAACCAATGGTGATGGCTCTTGAAAATTCTGGTGTGGATATTGCATCAGATTTCGTCAAAACGAAATTATTGCAGGACAAGAAATGGCAAAATTTCAAATCTGGTGGTGATTCTGCATTGGCTGTACATAAATTCAAGAAGTCCCCATGGTGTTGGAATTGTCGTACAAGAGGACATTATAAAAATCAGTGCCCTCAGAAAAAGGTTGAAAATTCTGACAACAAACGTCATCCAAATAATTTTGGCAAGAAGAATGAAGTTTCAAACAGAAATAATGCTTTATTTGTTGCTGCTTTGGGTGTCGATATGAATAAAGATCATTGGTATATTGACAGTGGTGCATCATCACACATGACAGGCAATAAAGAGCTGCTAACCAGTTTATCCAGCGAAAATTCCGGACAAGAAATCACAGTAGCTAACAACTCGAAGCTGTGTGTAGCAGGAACTGGTACTAGCTCAGTTAAACTCAAACCAAGTGGTGAGGAGAAGAGTATTTCTGACATCAAGTTTGTGCCAAACCTTTCAGTAAACTTATTGTCTGTGAACTCTATGGTCTCCAAAGGATATATTGTTTTATTCGATGCTGATAATTGCAAAATCCTGGACCAAGAAACGTGTCAGATTAAGGGAGAACCTACAGCAACTGCAACAAATGTGGATGGCCTGTACAAATTGGATATATTTCAAGAAAAAGCCAACATTGCCAGAATATCAAGTTCTCAGATGCTGTGGCACAAACGACTGGGTCACCTGAACCATCATAGTATGAATCTTCTCAAAAATGGTCTCGCAACTGGTATGTCATATGAAGATAATGAAAATCCAGATTATTGTGAGAGTTGTATCAAGGGAAAACAAGCAAGGAAGCCCTTTCCTTACAATCCTAGCAAAAAAGTAGCTAAAGGTAAGCTTGACTTGATACATTCAGACATTTTAGGCCCACTAGAAGTTGAATCTTGGAGTGGTTGTAAATATATATTCACATTGATTGATGACAATAGCAGAAAAATATTCTGTTACTTCTTGAAGTCCAAAGATGAGGTGCCTGCGATATTCGAAGAGTTCTGCAAATTAGTAGAAAATCAGACTGAAAGAAAAATAAAAGTCTTGAGAACTGATAATGGGGGTGAGTATTGCAACAAACATTTAGATAAATTCCTCAAAGCTAAAGGAATAAAGCATGAACTCACTGTACCTTACACTCCACAACAAAATGGTGTGGCTGAAAGGTATAATCGCTCCATTATGGAAAAAGTTCGTTCAATGCTGGTAGACTCTAAATCGCCAAAACAAATGTGGGCAGAAGCAGCCAACACTGCTGTTTATCTTCTGAACCGTTCTCCAACAAAAAAGTTGAGTGGTGCCACACCAGAGGAGAAATGGACAGGATGTAAAGTAGATCTGAGTCATCTGAGAGTATTCGGATGTAAAGCTTATGTTCATATTCCTGATGTTAAAAGAAGAAAACTTGATGAAAAAAGCAGAGAGTACATTTTTGTAGGATATTCTGAGACTACCGTTGGATACAGGCTACTGGACCCTGACAATCATAGGCTGAAGATTGCTCGTGATGTCGTCTTCCTAGAAGATAAGCTGCACAATACGAAAAACGTTGAGCAATTGCAAGCTGTTGTTCCAATTGAGCTGGAGAATGATGCCATGGAAGCCAATGAGGTATTGAACGGGGCTACCTCTACGGAATCTCAATCCCACTTAGAAGAGGAACGTGGAATTGAGGAAGCAGATAGTACAGATGGAGGTGCTTTATTAGAAAATAGTGTAAGTGCTAGTGGAAATGAAAATGTTGAAGACAGAAGATATCCTAAAAGAAATTCATATAAGCCAAAAATGTACAATGACTATTTATTATATGATGATGATGATTTTGATAATGATCCAGATTTTGCTATGCTTGCTATATCTCATGATCTAGAACCAATGACTGTTTCTGAAGCATTATCTAGTGCCCGAAGCCTTGAATGGAGATCAGCTATCAAAAAAGAGTTGAATGCTTTCAGGGCAAATAATGCTTGGGAATTAGTTGATAAACCCAATGATAAGAATATTGTTAAAAATAAATGGGTATTCAAAATTAAAAAAGATCAGAATGGAGATATAGCAACATACAGGGCGAGACTTGTCGCAAAAGGATTCACTCAACAATATGGAGTAGATTATTCAGAAACGTATTCTCCAGTTATTCGTTTTAGTAATCTTAGACTTTTGCTGGCAATGACTGCTGAATTGAATCTCGAAACCGTACATTTAGATGTGGAGACTGCCTTTCTGAATGGCGACATGGATGAGATTGTTTATATGGCACAACCAGAAGGTTTTGAGGAACCAGGCTCTGAAAATAAAGTCTGTTTGCTCAAAAAGGCCATATTATTATATGGTCTCAAACAATCATCAAGATTGTGGTATCAGAAAGCACATAATGTACTATTGAGTTTGAAGTTCAAACAATCCGAAATAGAACCCTGTATATTTTTCAAAGTTAATCAAAACTCGATAGTCATTGTGGCGCTTTATGTAGATGATTTCTTCATATTTTATAATAATCCCGAAGAAGTTGAATTGTTGAAAATTGAATTAGATAAACATTTTCATATAAAGGATTTAGGGCCAATTTCAAATTGCTTGGGTATGAAAGTTGAACGAGATAGATCTAAAAATGAATTGAAATTGAGTCAAGAACAATATATAGATAAAGTTCTCCAGAGATTTCAAATGATTGACTGCAACATTGTTAGTACACCTTTAGAGCAAAATGCTAAATTATCATATGATGGAAAGTTTTATGATTGTCCTTATCAAAAATTAATTGGTTCGATAATGTATTTAGCAGTTTGCACAAGGCCTGATATTGCATTCTCGGTTTCATACTTAAGTCAATTCAACATTAATCATACTAAAGATCACTGGCTTGCTGCCAAGCGTGTACTTAAATATTTAAAAGGTACAAAAACTATGGGAATCATTTTAAAAAAATCAAATTCCCCAATAACTGGTTTTGTTGATTCAGATTGGGCCAATGATATTTCTGATCGAAAATCATTTTATGGATTCATATTTTCATTGGCTAATGGACCTATATCTTGGGAATGTCAAAAACAAAAAACCTTAGCTTTGAGTTCAACTGAAGCAGAATATATTGGTATATCTGAGGCAACAAAAGAGTCAATGTATCTGAAATATTTGTGTTCTGAAATCTTTGACAGAAATAAAAATTGTGAATTTCTATTCATAAATATTCCAATGATAATCTACAATGATAACCAAAGTGCTATAAGATTATCAGAAAATCAAATATTTCATAAGCGTACTAAACATATACATGTTAAGTATCATTTCATACGTGAAAAAATTAGAAATAATGAGATTCAGTTGAGATATATGCCAACGGCTGAAATGTTAGCAGACATGCTAACTAAATCCCTAGGTAGTAGGAAACATAAGTATATCTGTGAAAAATTGAATATGAAATCGTCATAAGTACTTGTGTTTCACCTATCATTTTATTTTTATTATTCCACCTTTAATATTGAGGGAGAATGTTGTTATTACAATATTAAAGGTTACTCATTTCTCGTATCACTCTGTATAAGGCAGAGAAGGCCTGAAGAAAGAATGAGTAATAAATGTCGGTTGTTTTATGTTGTTATGGTGTTGCTAAAACAAGAAAATAATAATGTAACAAAACTTTCATATTGTATGTATTCTCGTATTTTCACGGAGATTAAAAATCAGTTTCTTAAAGTCTTTCAATTACTGTGTCCACTGTTAGCCCTCTACCACTGGCACCTGGATAAAATCAACATAAATAACCGAAAAAGTTACCATATCAAAGAAGGAAGAGACGAGATGGTTATATTGTTAGGTTAACGAGTCAAATGACAGAAGTCACAGAACTAAAACTTTCATAATTTCAGTTTTGCCAACTACATTAAACACTAATTGAATTTTCGTTTGACGTCTGTCATGTGACATGTGTTATTATTTTTCGGACGGAGTAACGAAAAATATTTTGGTAAGAAAACCATGACATTACTTTATTTATTTCAATTTTACATTTATCATTGTACGTATAATTCATATTTCATAGCTTCCAACTATAATTGATGTACTTCGGGACCTTCGGATAGTAAAGCGATTTCATTTTGTGTACAGGTAACAAGACAGGATGACCGATATCAGCGATGAGAAATCTCAAGAACGGGTATATGGAGGCTGCGAAGGCCCCGATGCTATGTACGTTAAGCTGATCTCGTCTGATGGTCATGAATTTATTGTCAAGAGAGAACATGCTTTGACTTCAGGAACAATAAAGGCTATGCTGAGTGGACCTGGTCAGTTTGCAGAAAATGAAGCCAATGAAGTCAACTTCAGGGAAATTCCGTGAGTAGTAGCAGGTGCTGGATTGAAAGTGGTTTGGACTCTATATAAGGTTCAATTTGTACAAACCTTTGTGTACCTATACCTATGATCTTAATATTACTTCCACAATGTTCATTTTTGTGATGGGAATAGAAAGTTGCTCTTTTCAAACTCAGAAACTGATAAATTTCATTACAGAATTATTTTTGATCTAGAATGAGTTTGTAGCAATAGTATAAAACAAAAAAGTACTGCATATAACAACTTATCAACTTATGCAAATTTGTTGTAATATTGTATTTATTTCATTTCAGGTCTCATGTGCTGCAGAAAGTATGCATGTATTTTACTTACAAAGTTCGTTACACCAATAGTTCTACTGAAATACCAGAATTCCCAATTGCTCCAGAGATTGCATTAGAGTTGTTGATGGCTGCAAACTTCTTGGATTGTTAGGCATTTCATATTTGAATTTACATCTACCAATTTATTTATTATCAATTTGACTACTTAGATAGGGATAGAGTGGATCTGATAAAGGCTTTGTTTTGGAAATCTGATGCATCATGTAGTCATTTAATTTTGATTTTTGATATTTGAGAGTTCTGCTGTTACCGAATATGACTAAGGATTATAGGATAATTGCATATTTAAGTTCTAATTGTGATTGCAATAAAAAGTTTTATACTAGTACTATGTGTTTTAGTCACTCCAAATTACCTAGCAATTTGAGAAGAATATTTCTTAATGTCAGAGAACTAGAGAGCATTTATCTGACCGGGTTTACTCTGCAATATGCCTTGCATTTGAATATGCACATATGCCTTGAATCACTTGATGGTGTCCCAAAGTTGACCTGGTCAGACATTCATGCAAAGAAATCACAAAAAAATTGGTAGGAAAGACGGTCAAAAACAATCTTCTCTTCAATTTTGGGACTAGAGAGCTGGACTTCTAGTATGCACTAGAGGATGCCTAAAAGGCGTTAAATGCCAAATTTGAACGCTCTAGGACAACGTTGATTTTTTAGTCTGAAAAATAAACACAAGTTACCCCTTTCAAAAATTTTAAGAGCTTTCAGATAGGCCTCAGAATGGGCTGAAAACTTGTTATTCTTATCATGCTAAACAGGAATATCAAATCGGCTTTTCCTTATCTCTAATAGTTTTGAAGTAGGAGCAATTTTATTAAAAATAAATGAGGCTCAAAATCGCTAGACACTGCTATGAACTCGATTTCGCATTCATTTCAGCGGTGTTGAGTGCATAAAAAAATCGGTCCGAAACAGGGTCAAAAATTACGTTTTTTTCAAATTTCGGGACTAGAGAGCTGTGATTCTAGCCCGCATCAGAGGATGTCTAAAGGACCCTAAATACCAAATTTAAACGCTCATGGATGAAATTGATTTTTGGGTCTGAAAAAGAAACAAGGTTAACCCCTTTGAACTTTTTTCGATTCCAGACGGGCATCAGAATGGGCTGAAAACTTGTATACAGGGTGTTCTCGTCGTGCTAAACACTAATCTGAAATCGGTTTGTCTTTATCTCAAATAGTTTTCGAAATATCAGCAATTTTGTGAAATCTAATTGTGGCTGAAAATCGCTGAAAACTTCTCCAACACATCAAAATTCATCTCCAGAATACTGCTATGAACTCGATTTTGCATTATTTCAGCGGTGTTGAGTGCATAAAAAATTCGGTCCGGAACGAGGTCAAAATATACCTTTTTGTCAATTCTGGGACTAGAAAGCTGTGCTTCTAGTCCGCACTAGAGGATGCCAAAAGGGCCCTAAATACCAAATTTCAACGTTCTAGGACAGAGTTGATTTTTGGGTCTGAAAATGAAAGAAGGTTAACCCCTTTGAACTTTTTTCGATTCTAGACGGGCATCAGAATGGGCTGAAAACTTGTATACAGGGTGTTCTCGTCGTGCTAAACACTAATCTGAAATCGGTTTCTCTTTATCTCTAATAGTTTTCGAAATATAAACAATTTTGTGAAAAATAATTGTGACTGAAAATCGCTGAAAACTTCTTCAACACATCCCAATTCGTCTCCAAAATACTGCTATGAACTCGATTTTGCATTCATTACAGAGGTGATGTGTGCATAAAAAAAACGGTCCGAAACGGGGTCAAAAATTACCCTTTTTATAATTTTGGCACTAGAAAACTGTGCTTCTAGAACGCACTAGAGGATGCCAAAAGGGCCCTAAATACCAAATTTGATCGCTCTAGGACAAAGTTAATTTTTGGGTCTGAAAATGAAAGAAGGTTAACCCCTTTGAACTTTTTTCGATTCCAGACGGGCATCAGAATGGGCTGATAACTTGTATACAGGGTGTTCTCGTCGTGCTTAACTCTAATCTGAAATCGGTTCTACTTTATCTCTAATAGTTCTCGAAATATTAGCAATTTTGTGAAAAATAATTGTGACTGAAAATCGCTGAAAACTTCTCCAACACATCCCAATTCGTCTCCAGAATACTGCTTTGAACTCGATTTTGCATTAATTTCAGCGGTGTTGAGTGCGGAACATGGTCAACAATTACGTTTTTTTAAATTTCGGGACTAGAGAGCTCTGCTTCTATCCCGCATCATAGGATGAAAGGACCCTAACCAAATTTGAACGCTCTCGGATAAAATTGATTTTTGGGTCTGAAAAATAAACTTTTTTCGATCTTCAACATCAGGTCTCAGAATGGGCTGAAAACTTGTATACAGGGTGTTCTCGACGTGCAGAACCCAATTATGAAACCGGTTTTTCTTCATCTCTAACAGTTTTCGAAATTTTAGCAATTTTGTGAAAAATGAATAAGGCTGAAAACCGCTGAAAACTTCTCCAACACATCCCAATTCGTCCCCAAAATATTGCTATGAACTCGATTTTTTTTCTATTATCGACAGGTCTCAGAATGGACTTAAAATTTGTATACAGGGTGTTATCAGCTCGTTCAACAATTACCTGAAGTTTGTTGCCCTTTATCTTCATTAAATTGCGAGATTTATGCAATTTAAGGCAATTAAAAATGAAATTCCAAATCGTTGAGAACTCCTCAATACAGTCCAATTCACCAGCAAAATTCAATGAGAGAGGGTGATATTTTGTAGTTCATGATGAATGGAATCTAGGATATGGAAAGATGAATAAAAAAACGCCTGTTATTATAGAATTTTATTCAGTTTGTCATGCTAGAAACAGTGTTTACATTAAAGTTACTAAAATTTCATTATCACAGAATAAGTGAACACCACTTTCACTTGCTAAACTAAAACACCCGTAAAATAAAAATTAACAGTTCAAAATTTAAATTCGATTTTAGTCCATATACACGAATCAAATGAAACGATATTCATTCAGTTATGGAAGCATTAAATACATAATACTATAACAAATAAAAAGTATAAAATCCACCATCGTATTTCATCACAGCTATTTTACATAACAAATCCAATCAGCCCTTTCCAATTATTACTAAGACATAGAAAAAATCCAAGCATTCCAATGAAGAAATCCGATTATTGGTCCTAGCCGAGGTATAATAACCTTTCTCAACAACCAACGATGAAAGAGTTAAAAACTTTGGAAAAAAACAAGAAAAAACATCGATTCCTCCGCTTCAACTTCTGTTACCGAAAAGAATTGATGACATTCGTTAATTGGTCAATGGTCATCTGCAGATTCTTGTTCTCGCGATCGGTCTTGAAGAGGAACGAGTGCATAGTCCGTTGCTTCCTCTCTAGGAACTTCACCAGGTTTTGCATCTTCAAATTGTCGTCGGCCAGAATGAAGCGTTGCTTGCGCAGCTCTGAGATCTCCAGACTCTTCTCTGGAAAACAAGAAATCACGACGTTAATCGTTTGGTTGGTTCCCGACGTTTTGCGATAGAAGCGGACCGAGAGCGACTGATGAGGCCTGGTGAGCCGAAACAGCACTGCCTTGCTCTATGATAGGATTAATATGATACAGTCTGAGGAATATTCCCATGATATCAGATTTTTTTTCAATTCTTCTAATTAACGAAAAATTCCATCTCAAAAATTGAACAAAATACGAGAAAAAAATCGAGTACGCCACTTTGAAACAATTTAAATGATTGTGCCTACCGCATGAAAATTTGAACAGAGGTGACGTCAGATTTGCTAAAGTGTAGAACTTTGGATGGGAAAAAGGGTCTAACCTCAAATTTTATTTAGATCCCTAAATTTTTTTTGTCAGTGCCATTCGATAGTACACGTCGAGCTTCCTCAGTGTTTGAAATATTTGCACTTATTTCAATGCCACCTTGTATATGTGAGCTCAAACGTAAAAAAAGCGTTTTGCATATAGTATACAGTATAAACATTGGCAAAGAATCTATATTTCATTATGGAATCATTTTATACAAATCATTACTGAATGCATTGAAAAATATACATGATGTAAGCAAATTTAAAGTCAATCTCAAACAATACCTGGTCAGGACAATTTTTTTTTTTATCAAAATAAAAATCAGTTTTGTAATCTCTCATTAGTTGCTACCAAAAACAACCTCATGACTTCCCCTCGTCAGGTCCCGGATTGAAAAATATTTGGCATTGATTACTCAGAATTGAAATGTTATAACTTTCATCTGAAGAAAAAGTATGAATTTGTTCCCACTGGGTGGAATTCATTAGTTGACCTTTTATTATTATTATTATCATTATTTTAATATGTGTTCATGTATCCCTATTAGAAAAAGATATGTTCCTTGAGGTAATAAAAACAATCAATCAAAAAGTATGGAGGGTATCCTTATGTATATATTTTGATGTTGAAAAACGATACATGAAAGAATCCTCCTGGGTTCTTCATGCATTAAAGCATGTATACAAGGTTTAGGTTTACTTGGACATGCGCAAACGGTATTTTTTTCCGTAGCATATGTAAGGCAGCCTGTTTGAAAACGTGAAAAAATGATTTGAATGGATGACCGAAAAAATCTAGAAAAATGTGGAATTGAAAGGTATTTGAGTTATGACTCTATTTAAGAAATAAAAAGAAATTAGTCCACTCGCCTATACTAACCTTTTTCAAAATGTTAAATGAAGAAGTCCCAAAAAGTGAATATTTAAATGCAATTGTTAAAAGAATTCAAAACAAAGACCTTTCAGAGTCATTTCAGAATGACTCCTGAATATTTCCATGAGTTAAATGCACATTTTTCCTCTTTTTTGGCTCATTTTTCCTACCTATTCAGTATCTACTATTCTTTCTCAAAATTAATATGATAAGACCAAATGGTCAGTGGCACCAGGATGATAAGAAAATCCACATAATCTATACTAATAATATAAAGAGGAAAGATTTGATTGTTTGTATGTATTAAATAGGCCCCAAAACTACTGGATCGATTTAACATAACCAGGAGGAGGTTGTAGGATACTTTTTATCCCGATACCATCAAGATGGCGGATCTAATATATCGGACGACTTTTGTAATTATGGTCCGATTCTATTCAAAATTGGTATCTGGGGGTTTTCGGAATCGGAGATCATGATTTTTTTGGCAGAATTTGAAAATTTGGGCAGAATTTGGGAGTTCAAGATGGCGGAACCAATATGGCGGACGAGTTTTGTAATTATAATCCGATTCTTTCCAAAATTGGTACCTAGGGGTATACGTGATCGGGAATTATGATTCCTTCGTCAGAATTGAAAAATTCAAGATGGCGGATCCAAAATGGCGGACGAGTATTGTAATTATGATCCGACTCTCTTCATAATTATTGTTATCTGGGTGTTTTCGGGGTCGGAGATTATGATTCTTTTGTCAAAATTCGGAAATGGCGGGATTTGGAAATTCAAGACTGTGGAACCAATATACCGGACGAGTTTCGTTATTATATACCGATTCTATTCAAAATTCGTAAGTGGGCGTTTTCGGGAGAAAAAATTATGATTCCTTCGTAAAAATTAGGGAATTCGAGACTGTAGATCCAATATTGCGGACTAGTTTTGTAATTATGTTCCGATTCTATTCAAAATTAGTATCTAGGGGTTTTCGCAATCGGAGATCATGATTTTTTTGGCAGAATTTGAAAATTTGGACAGAGTTTGGGAGTTCAAGATGGCGGAATCAATATGGCGGACGAGTTTTGTAATTATAATCCGATTCTTTCCAAAATTGGTACCTCGGGGTTTACGTGATCGGGAATTATGATTCCTTCGTCAGAATTAAAAAATTCAACATGGCGGATCCAAAATGGCGGATTTTGTAATTTGGATCCGATTTTATTCAAATTTGGTATCTGGTGGTTCTAGGGGAGGTTATGATTCTTTAGTCAAATTTAGGAAATTCAAGATGGCGGACCCAATATGGCGGACGAGTATTGTAATTATGATCCGACTCTCTTCAAAATTGTTATCTGGGTGTTTTCGGGGTAGGAGATAATGATTCTTTTGTCAAAATTCGGAAATGGCGGGATTTGGAAATTCAAGACTGTGGAACCAATATACCGGACGAGTTTCGTAATTATATACCGATTCTATTCAAAATTCATAAGTGGGCGTTTTCGGGATAAAAAATTATGATTCCTTCGTAAAAATTAGGGAATTCGAGACTGTAGATCCAATATTGCGGACTAGTTTTGTAATTATGTTCCGATTCTATTCAAAATTGGTATCTAGGGGTTTTCGCAATCGGAGATCATGATTTTTTTGGCAGAATTTGAAAATTTGGACAGAATTTGGGAGTTCAAGATGGCGGAACCAATATGGCGGACGAGTTTTGTAATTATAATCCGATTCTTTCCAAAATTGGTACCTCGGGGTTTACGTGATCGGGAATTATGATTCCTTCGTCAGAATTAAAAAATTTAAGATGGCGGATCCAAAATGGCGGATTTTGTAATTTGGATCCGATTTTATTCAGATTTGGTATCTGGTGGTTCTAGGGGTCGGAGATTATGATTCTTTAGTCAAAATTAGGAAATTCAAGATGGCGGACCCAATATGGCGGACGAGTATTGTAATTATGATCCGACTCTCTTCAAAATTGTTATCTGGGTGTTTTCGGGGTCGAAGATTATGATTCTTTTGTCAAAATTCGGAAATGGCGGGATTTGGAAATTCAGGACTGTGGAACCAATACAGTGTGTCCCACTTACAATGCTCACCATGGATATCTTTTTAACGGTGAGAGATACGAGGTCGGTTAAATGACACCAAATGTGGAGTTTGTCAAGGCCAACTATAATGTGAAAAAATATTTCGATAAAATCTATTCGTTCTTGTTTTATACGCAAAAAACAGATTTTGATCATTTTCATGTCTCCTCCGTAACTTCTTTATTTATAAAAATATTCAAATAGGAATTCCACATTCTAATGGCAGTTTTTCAAAGTGATTTCGAAAAAAATATGAAATTCATACCAACTCTTCTAGAATTAGAGATATCAGCACCAACTTTCAAATGTAGGTCATAGCTCACTATGACTTAGTTACAAATAACTTTTCTTTCTCTTTCAGATGATATGTCGCACTAATAGTTTTGTGTTGATAACAACAAAGTTATCGTCATTTATACAAAAACAAAAAATTATTCGGAAGCCGCCATCTTGAATTTATAAATTTTAACAAAAAAATCATGATCTCCGACCTCGCAAACCCCCACTTACCAATCTTGATTGAAATCGGACCAAATCTTGTCTGCCATCTTGGAGCAGCCATTTTTTAAAATTTCAACAGAAATTCCATAATGTATTGTCACCAAAATAATGAACACCTGCAAAATTTCAAGTTAATCGGTGTTATGGAATTTTTGTTGAAATTTAAAAAAAATGGCTGCTCCAAGATGGCGGACAAGATTTGGTCCGATTCCATTCAAAATTGGTAAGTGGAGGTTTTTGAGGTCCGAGGTCATGATTTTTTGTTAAAATTCATAAATTTAAGATGGCGGCTTCCGAATAATTTTTTGTTTTTGTATAAATGACGATAACTCCGTTGTTATCAACACAAAACTATCACTGCTACATATCATCTGAAAGAGAAAAAAAAGTTATTTGTAACTAAGTCATAGTGAGCTATGACCTACATTTGAAAAACTAAAGTTGGTGCTGATATCTCTAATTCTAGAAGAGTTGGTATGAATTTCATATTTTTTTCGATATCACTTTGAAAAACTGCCATGAGAATGTTAAATTCCTATTTGAATATTTTCATAAATAAAGAAGTTACGGAGGAGACATGAAAATGATCAAAATCTGTTTTTTGCGTATAAAACTAAAACGACTAGACTTTATCAAAATATTTTTTCACATTATAGTTGGCCTTGACAAACTCCACATTTGGTGTCATTTAACTGACCTCGTATATCTCACCGTTAAAAAGATACCCATGGTGAGCATGGTAAGTGGGACACACTGTATACCGGACGAGTTTTGTAATTATATACCGATTCTATTCAAAATTTGTAAGTGGGCGTTTTCGGGAGAAAAAATTATGATTCCTTCGTAAAAATTAGGGAATTCGAGACTGTAGATCCAATATTGCGGACTAGTTTTGTAATTATGTTCCGATTCTATTCAAAATTTTCATCTGGGGTTTTCGGAGTCGGATATTATGATTCTTTCGTCAAAATTGGGAAATTCAAGTGAACTAAAAATAAGTTGAAATAAATGGTAGTTTGAAGAACTAAAAAAAACGACACTAGCAATGTGAATAAAACGCAACTATTACCTTTTGAATACCTGACGTAGGCCTCCCTGATCTCCAACAGCCCCGGCCATTTGAACTTGTGCTCTCTAACGACCCGCAAATTCTCTTTGGAATTCTCCGGATCGGACGATCCTCTGTCACCATTCCCAACGCTCTGATTCCGATCGTTCGCCAAGATCCTCCTCAAAGGCAGACAATTCGACATCTTCGGTTTGACCTCTTCCAATTTAATTTCCGGTGACGTTTCTTCGGTTTTGATAAAGGGGGTGGGAAAACGTAGGATGCTTTCCATCGCAGCCTGGGGGAAGATTTTCTGATAGTGGGGGTTGAGGAGCAAGGACAAAAAGTCGTGTTTTCGGGAAGAATCTTCTGTTTTCGCGGGTAAGGCTTTGTCAGGTTCGCTATTATTGGAAATGCTTCTCTTGTACTGGTGCACGATCGGCAGCATTGAAGACACGTTCGTTTTTTGATTCGGTTCGGCTGCACATGATTTCTGGTAGTATTTGGTGAGAGGGGTTTCGCAGTGTCTTCTCAGACGCTCTGCGACGACTGCTTTCCAAGCCTGTTCCATTTCTGAAAGAAAGCATAGAAACACCAACCTCACTACAGTTCTCAACACACTAAATGGACCACTCATAATTTGACTCTTTTTTGACGACCTGTATTTCAAGAAGAAATTGATCGATTTTCATGCGGTTTTTTGATTTAGAAGCTAGAGCACTGTGAAAAAGTCCGTAGAACGAAACTTACACAGGGTGTAAAGTGGATGCTGCCGAAACTCAAGGAATTTCTTTCAGGTTGAACGTCAGTCATATTATGATATACAGGGTTTCCCAAAAGAACCGGAACGGCCGAATATTTCAGCAACGGCTTGACATAAAATTATGAAATTTGGTATACGGGGGTAATCAGTTGTGCCGGATCTAAAAATAATATTAGCAACGTTGCCAGTTTTACAGTTTTTCCCATAGAGCCCTCAACTTTATTTTTTTAAATATAATGCTATGTTTATTTTTAGCGCATTCGATTTGTCGTCTCAAAACTACTATGACTCTATAATATCAAATTTGTATTCCCTTCAATTTTGTTGATATGACAAATGAACATTTCGTCAAAAAATATCACAAAATTTCAATATTTCGTGAAATCGTGGCGATATGACAATGAAAATTAATTTATAAGGAAGTTTTCAGCAAGTCTGATCTAAAAATACGATTCACAACGTTGCCAAATCTACATGTTGTTTATACGAAATCTTCCTAAGTATTTAGTCAAACTGCCTTTTCAATAGATCGGCAAACTCGAGATTTTTTTATTTGTTTCTCGGGAAACTAATTCATAAACTTCTTGATAGCTTCTCATGATCAATAGGGTTTGATTTGTTTAGGTTACAAGAATGTAACTTCATGGCATCAAATAAAACGCTCAATATTTAAAAAGGCAGTTTAAATAAATACTTATGAAGATTTAGTATAAACAACATGTAGATTTGGCAACGTTGTAAATTGTATTTTTAGATCAGACTTCCTTATAAATTATTTTTTATTGTCATATCGCCACGATTTCTCGAAATATTAAAATTTTGTGATATTTTTTGACGAAATGTTCATTTGTCATATAAACAAAAATGAAGGGAATACAAATTTGATATTAAAGGGTCATAGTAGTTTTGAGACGACAAATCGAATGCGCTAAAAATAAACATAGCATTACATTTAAAAAAATAAAGTTGAGGGCTCTATAGGAAAAACTGTAAAACTGGCAACGTTGCAAATATTATTTTTAGATCCGGCACAACTGATTACCCCCGTATACCAAATTTCATAATTTTATGTCTAGCCGTTGCTGAAATATTCGGCCGTTCTGGTTCTTTTGGGAAACCCTATGTAAAAACTTCACAAACGATAAAATTTCCACAAAATTCTTAAACACACAACATGTCATCAAGTAACGGCCGAGTCAATTCAAAATATTATGATATATTGGGACTTCATCTCGGGATGTTTACGTGATTTCTCCTCAATTCGCCATTGAAACAAAAATAATAAATTCTGGAGAACAAAATCCAGAAATAAGAGTTTTGAAAAAAATCGTTATTTTTGTTCAAATGGCGAATTAAGGAGAAATCACTAGGACCATAGTGTAATGGTTCCACATTACATCCTGTGTGTTTGCAACTCTGACGTGTGTCCAAGAAAATTTGCAGAAGTGGCCGTGGACCAGTCACCATATGCTCGGACAGCAAAGCTGCTATTATGGCATTGAGATCCAATAGGATCACAACTAAATTGGTGTCCGAGTGTAGAAGTGCCTTAGAAAATATGGCAAAAACTAGGAAAGTCAACCTCATGTGGGTTCCAGGACACTCTGGTATCCCGGGGAACGAGGAGGCAGACAGACTAGCCAAGATCGGTTCAGGAACGACACCCATTGGCCCATAACCGATATTGGGAATACCCAATAGTACGGCTATGTCCTTCATGAAGGAAATGCTACAGAGGCAGTTCCTTGAAACATGGCGGGATACACCAGGAATGAGACAATCAAAGCTCCATATTATAAAGGAACCTTCAAAAAGGCTCACGAGAGAGATCCTGTCACTCAATAGAATGGATCTCAAGATGGTAGTTGGGCTCTTAACTGGGCACAACCACCTCAACAGGCACCTAGAACTCATAGACATCAAAGATGATCCCATCTGCAGATGGTGCTTGGAGGATGATGAAACATCATCACACATACTCACTGAATGCCCCGCGCTGGTGCATCAGAGGAAAGCTGCCTTTGGGAGCATTGTACTGCACCCAAAGGATGTGAAAGCGAATCAGCTGAGGAAGCTGCTGATTTTCCTCAAAGAAATCGGCATGCCCAGCTGATTCACAGGACAAGTGGACGCACAATGGGCCCGACTGAAGAGGCCTGAGTGCAGGGGTCTACGCACCAGTGGCGGCTCCTGACTTTCATGACAGAGGAGGCTGAATGATATGAGATTTATTGTGAAAAACAACTCTCTACTCACCCAAATCAATAGCTCAAATGACAATCTTTTAACCAGTTAACCTGAACTTAATACTTGAAGAGATGTGTTCCTGTGATTTGCAGTGTCTATCCAATCCGCGAGGCAAATTTTTCAAATCATTATATCCTAATCGCCCCCAACATGATGACTTATCGGTTGAAAATAATACGCTGTACCAACAAAATAGCTTATTCCTTACCTCAGATCCCGTCAACCAGATATATTTTTTATAATTATCAGAATTGAACGAACGATTTTGTTTGTTACCTGTTACAATCAGATTTTTTAATTCCGGTGTCGGACGTTTGTTTTTCACAATCAATTTATCTTCATAAGACAAAGCACTGAATGGGTCCACCAAAAAGTATTCCACTAAATCGCAATCGTTTAAAACACTCATTTTTCAGAAATTTATAGAGCCCCTAACCATTAACCTAACATAAACATAAACAACGCACTCGCGTTTGTCCGCAATTCGCGAAGCGACACGACAAACACGTGCTATTTCAGGCGTATTCGGGCATTTGCATTGCGCGCGTAGGATGCGCAATGTGAAGGAGTCTAGCCTCCTATAGATGTTGCCAAGTTGAATATTTTACGCGTGATTTGCAGACTTCAACGTGTGATGCGTGGGCAAGCACTGTTGCCAATTCAAAAATATTCAACTAAAAACAGGAAATAAAATCAAAATCTATGTATTTTGGTGTCCTTTCAATGAGAAAGTATAGATAATATTAGTTTGAGGAAAATCTCTGAGGAGGCTCAGCCTCCGTTGCCTTCTCTGAGGAGCCGCCACTGATACGCACCCGCCCACCTGTGCAGAGAAGAAGAAGTCTTTCGTTTTTCACAGTGTTCTAGCTTTCTATGAAGTCGATGAAATATCACATGAAAATCGGTGAATTTCTTCAAAAATTACAGGTCTTGGAAAAAGAGTCAAATTATGAGTGGTCCATTTAGTGTGTTGAGAACTGTGTTTGAGTTTGTAAGTTGAATGGACAAATAAGTAGAATTTACCCTGTTTATTTTTGGTGGGAACGGTCGTCAGGCCGAGGAATTGCAGGAAGTTGCGTTTGTGTTTGTGATTTAGCATCAAGTTTGTGCCCGATGATGATTTTGAAGGCACTGGTAGGTCGAGGGGTTGAATTCGTTGGGGTTCTGTTTCTTCTACGATGTCGGGTACGAGCCACTTTCTTCTCATTAGTTTTTGTAATTCAATACCTATTGAAAAAAAAAATGTATCAAGAAGACATCAATTGACGAAAAAAAAAAGAGATCGTCATGTAGAGTTTATAAATTTGTATCAATTCCACGAAAATTTTACTCTTCAAATTGCAATATTATTATGATGGACCTTCTTTTGTTTCATAGGCCACTGAAAACTGTCAGTGCAGTGTGGTACATAAAATACAACTATACTTAGGGACCAAGGTAATCAAGGTATATTGCGTAAATTTTTGGAATTGATAATTCAAAAAATCATTAGCGGTTTATGGGAAATAATTTCATGAAAAAATAATTCTGCTATAATTTTCTGTATTCATCTTGAATGTATCAAAGGAAGGGCAACAGAACTTTCTTCTCATTTTGACCAAAGGAATCTATCCTAAATGAATTCAGTATAATTTTGAAACATCCTGTTTTAGGAAATTCCAAAGTAGATATTCTAAATTATATTTTTTTCTTAGAAAAGTATCTGAAACTTCTTTCAAATTTTCAGACACTGAATGAATATATTGGAATAACATATTTGGACTTTCTCAGCACCATTAAAAGATAGAAAAACAATCAAAAAGTCTGAAGAGGTTCTCATTTTTTCTAATACCTTATTTTTCGGAGATATACAGTGTTTTTGAAATTTTAGCAGTACATGAAATAAATAATAGACACAAAAACAAGATGAAAGAATGTTTTTGTTGCAGCTTGCTTGGGAATTTTAGAAATCCTTAATCAAAGGTTGAAAACTCATCCCAAGCATTTGTTTACGATGAAATCAGAAGCACCGTTAGTATAACTGACTTTTGCAATGTTGCCAGACGTGCAATAAAAGATACAAAATGCGGTATGGGTCTCATTAAAAAAAAACAGAACAACCAGTATTTTCGCTTATTTCAAAAAATCTCATCTTGACTGATTGATTGATTGATTGTCTTCATTACCCCAAGAAACATTTCTGTTTATGATAGGGATACATGAATACATATAAAGAAATAATAATAAAGGGTTAACTAATGAATTCCAATCAGTGGAAACGAATTAATATTGTTTCTTGAGATAAAAGTTATATTTAATTTCTAAGTAATCAAATCATGCCACATATTTTCCATTCAAATTGTCCTGAGCAAGTATTTTTTAATATTGATTTTAAACCTTCTTGCATCATGTATATTTTTCAACTCATTCGGTAATGAATTGTATAAAATTATTCCATTGTTTGATTGTTTGCCAATTTGACTTAAATGTATTTGCTATCAAGTAATTCAATTGTCTAGTCCATAATTATGGACTGTATTGACTTCATTAAAAGCTAAATTTGATATTTTCAATTTATTCCTGGCAAAATGAATAAAGCAACATATTTCAAGTTTATATAACGAAATCAGGTTCAGAAAATGTTTAGGATTGTATAAATTTATCATTGGTTCTAGAAAATGTAGATGAAAAATGCACTTAGTTGATTTGTTTTGTAATTTCATTAGTGGTTTCAGACGTGAAATATTTGTACTCCCCCAAATAGAAATTAAATATTGCAAATTTGAATAATTGAGGCAAAAGTAAATACATTTCAAGTAGTTTATGGGAATAATATTTCGGATTTTGAATAAAATGCCTATGATCGGATTCATTTTAAGAAGACTTTGGAAACAATTGGCAAGTCGAAAAAAAATTAGTGTGTCAATGATGGCCAGATTTTTGATAAAAATACAAATAATTTCCACAGTAAAAACTAATTTTTCCTCTCCGCCTTCTCACACAAGTTTCCCCTTCAAAAAAATATCAAATGATGGCAACATACTAAATACCAAAAGGAGGTAAAGAAACACTCACAATTTTTCGAAGTGTGCGTGACCAAATCGACCCGCTCCAAAAACTCCCCCTTCCCCCCAGCCAAATCCAGCCGGCAAGGGGGCCCCGACCTGATGCACAAATCCACCTCCTCCTCATCACTATCCACGGAACCGCTGCAACTGCCCTCCTGAGAGCCGAACCTCCCCATCCTGGAACGTCTCCTCAAAACGGCCGAATCGATCTTGCTCAACTTCATTCGCTTCGCAGGCGCCCCATTGACAGGCACAGGAATATTCAGCACCGTGAATTGGAGAATTGGAGGAGTATCTTTTCTTCTCGTTCGCGATATCCTGAATCTCTTCATCTCGTTCAGTCTTCTCGTCTCTGCTAGGTGGACTAACTCATTTTGACTAGATTTGAATTCTTCCTCTGCGGATTGTTCTGGTAATTGGGGACTAGTGGACGACGGCGGGCTTTTATCACAAGGCGCGAGGCCTTCGAGGTTAAGTACATCGTCCGGTAAGTGGTTTTTCGTGTTCCTCGCCCACAACATCCTGCGACGCTTCTTGACCGGTCGGTCATTCGTACCGGTTGGTAGTTCACTTTTACCAGCTGGTAGTTCACTCACACCGACCGGTCGTTCGTTCTTACTGGCCGATACTTCGATTGTCCTAGCCGGTAGTTCATTTGTACCAGCCAGTAGTTCACTTTCATCAGCCGGTGCTTCACTCATACCGACCGGAAGTTCATTTTTACCGGCCGATACTTCACTTGTACTGTCCGGTATGTCATCTATACCGGCTGGTAGTTTACTTTTACCAGCCAGTAGTTCACTCATTCCGACCGGTCGTTCATTTTTTCCGGCCGATACTTCACTTGTACTGGCCGGTAGTTCGTTTTTGGTGTCCATTATGGAGGCGATATTGAAAGTAGTGAACTTTTTGGCGTCTTCTGGATCGATGGTGGCGGGGAGGTTTGTGGGATTAGGGGTGATAGGGTCAGGGTGGGTTTTAGTGTGTTTAGTTTCCGAAACGGGCGGTTGGTTTATTCGGGCGTCTGTCGGAATAGTTGAATTTTTTTCAGTCGGGATCTTGAGTGATTTCCTGGCTGGAATAGAAAAAACTGGCGTTACCAGGCGGATATATAGCAAATAACTTGCGTATCGACCGTATGTCGTTCAAGGCTTTTCGTAATCCCACTGAAAAACTAAATTTTGATTCCGAGGAAAGAACGAGAAAAATCCCAACATCCTGATTTCATAGAACAGCTTAACAATATCACAATTTTTTTGATAATAATTTGAAATTCTATTCAATTTTAATGAAATTGCACAACTGTTTCATATGTCATATTCTTCTTATTTCACAGTTCCAACTGGAAATGGGGAGAAGATTATGAAAAAAGAAAGACAGTAATCAATTATGAAAGAGAAAAAAGGATTTATATAAATCGATTCATCCAGTGTTCAAAAGATGACAAAGTCATCAATTATAATATTATCAAACTACCACTCGTATATAACCAGAGTCTAGGACATTTTTGTCGAAGTTACAATATTTTTAGTATAACAGAACTTCGTAGAAAATGAGAAATATCAAAAAGTAAAATTTGCAGTATAACAATATCACAATTTTTTTGATAATAATTTGAAATTCTATTCAATTTTAATGAAATTGCACAACTGTTTCATATGTCATATTCTTCTTATTTCACAGTTCCAACTGGAAATGGGGAGAAGATTATGAAAAAAGAAAGACAGTAATCAATTATGAAAGAGAAAAAAGGATTTATATAAATCGATTCATCCAGTGTTCAAAAGATGACAAAGTCATCAATTATAATATTATCAAACTACCACTCGTATATAACCAGAGTCTAGGACATTTTTGTCGAAGTTACAATATTTTTAGTATAACAGAACTTCGTAGAAAATGAGAAATATCAAAAAGTAAAATTTGCAGTATAACAATATCACAATTTTTTTGATAATAATTTGAAATTCTATTCAATTTTAATGAAATTGCACAACTGTTTCATATGTCATATTCTTCTTATTTCACAGTTCCAACTGGAAATGGGGAGAAGATTATGAAAAAAGAAAGACAGTAATCAATTATGAAAGGGAAAAAAGTATTTATATAAATCGATTCATCCAGTGTTCAAAAGATGACAAAGTCATCAATTATAATATTATCAAACTACCACTCGTATATAACCAGAGTCTAGGACAGTTTTGTCGAAGTTACAATATTTTTAGTATAACAGAACTTCGTAGAAAATGAGAAATATCAAAAAGTAAAATTTGCAGTAGAAGGTCAAAATTTAACAAACATGTATAAAATCAAAATAAAAATAATTGTTCTTATAAAACGTTATTGAAATAGAAACAAACGACTATTTTCAGCGATTAATTGAAAAAAAAAATGATAGTTTTGGAGTGTAGCGAGTCACTGACCTCGACCAAGTAGGCCATTTTTCATCTTTTTATTATTTATCAGCTGAGTGACAGAAAAGAGCACTTACTTTAACTGATTTCAACGAACATTTTATGACAGTTTTCGAGAAAAACATTTATTACCACACTTTTTCCTCATCAACAGTTGCAACTGTAGAATTCACTATTCATAACCGATTCACTAAATGCAGGTAAAATCATCAAAACTTAGATTTTCGAATAATAAAACCATTCCTTACCGAAACACGAAGCATCTTCACACCCAGCAGATGGTCAGGCCTCGCCTACTTCCCGATTCTCCTCACCAACCGCCTTCCCAACCACGCCCACCCCCTCCTTACCCCCACCACTATTCATCTCCACCGCGCCACCCGCTCCCATCGCGTTATTCGGGTGGACGGCGCCCGTCGCCGAGTGGGCAGGGCCAAGCGTCGAGTGGGAGGGACCAAGCGTCGAGTGGGCGGGACCAAGTGCCGCGTGGGCGGGACTTCGCGCTTTGGGCGGCGGCTTGGGGGAGGAGCGCGGCGTCGTATTGGGGTGGGGAGACGAGCGGGGCGTGTGGTTTGGCGTGGGCGGGGCGAGGCTGATGAGCGGGCCGGACGGCTGGATGATGGGGCTGTGGCGTTGACTGAGGTTGAGCGTGTAGCTGGAGTTGATGGGGATGCTGGGCGAGTGCCTTTGCAAGGAGGGGCTCGACCTGGCGATTCGATGGAGAAAATATTATTTGTTTGGCCCCATTGTCGAGCTAAATAGAAATCTAATAGGCGAGATATAATAGTAGCGGCGGTTCATGTGGTACTGGAATGAGGTTTGCAATATAACATCTTGTCGTTTAACTGGTAATATTCATGGAAAATTATTGAAAAAAATTCATAAAATATCAAGCTAGAGCTGACATAAATAACCATACAACTATGTAGACTTTCTTCCTTCATCTTTCATATTCCACATTCCAATGGTTATTCAATGTTTGACTATCGAGGTGAAAGTGACACTGGTAGTTGAGGTCAATAAATGACAAATTGAGATTTTCCAGGAGAATGGCTGATAGTTTGGCAAACAATTAATTTCTTCATTACCTTACTAAGGCACTGTCTATTTTCGATTCCTATAAGAAGTTATCAATTTTGTTCAAATAATTTTGAGCAGCTATTTGGCATATATTTCCTGGATATAACGTTCATATATTTCCTTATCATGATTTCTTTCACTTATAGTTTTTCGTTTCTCACTTGACAAACTACCTATGTATGTGTGATTTTTAGAGAGAAAGCAAAGCCAGAATAAACAGTTGCTACCTTTCTATTCTCAACTTGCATACCATCAGTTCAATCAAGTGCAAACAGTAGTATTTTATCACAGCACTGAAGAATTTACCGTTCCTACTTAAATTCAAATAGCATTGCATGCATAAATGAAGGTTATAATATATTATTGAGGCGAGCCGTTCACACTACTCAAAATGAAATTCCGTAAATAAGGCTCCATAGTCCAGTTCCCAGAGGATTTCATCTTACAAAAGGTGGGGTAGAAGATTTTATTTTTTTATTTCGTTTTAATGAGTATAAAGGGTACAATATAAAAAATGTGACTAAATCTGGACTCGGCACAACTTTTGGTGCCGAAAAACCTCGAAGTTTTCGGACATTTTTCGATTTTTTCGCAATATGTCGAAAAGGAGTGGTTCTAGCGAAAAATAGTCACTATACAAAGTTGTAGAGCATTAAATTCATACATAACTTTTCTTCTAAGACCAATAGGGAGCGAGCTACAGCATCTCAAAGATGGACCATTTTTCTCAAAATGGTAAAAAAGCCAAGTAACGTAGCCAAGTAAGTAGAATGATCTATAACTGGGAACTGGACTACCACCACACAAGTGAACCGTCAGAGGTGAAAAAACGAGCAACTAACAACTTCTTCTTCTTCCCGTCACTCACCTAGGTATGGGATAGCTGTTCGAAGGCGCGACGAACGCCGACCCCAACGGCGACTGCCGCATCTGATTAGGCGGCAGCATCGGGCTCGCGTAGGGATGTGCGTGCGCATGCGCGTGATGCGGCGACAGCCGGTGGTGCAGCGGCGACCGGCGCGACATCTTCTCTCGCTCTCGCTCGCGCGCCTGTCGCTCCTTGTCGCGCTCTCTGGCCAGCTGCAGGTCGCGCTCCATCATCTCGCGCTCGACGTAGTCGTCCTTGCGAGAGGCGGCCGCTGCGGCTAGCCGACGGTGCTCTTCTTCCAGTTTCAGCCTGGGTGAGGAGAGAGTAGGGGTAGATGGAATCAAGTAGATGGTGCACGTACTCGAGCATTTTTACGTATTGAAAACTTGAGAAACATCACTCGACCGCCTACTATGATATCTCTACACATCGAGCGAGACATTAAATCTACTTTTTCCGCTAGATGGTGCTGCTGCTATTGCTGCTGTGACGAGTGAAAATAAAATGTCAAATGGAATTTTAGGTACGCGGAACATATGTAAAAGTGGATTTATTTCACTCTAAATTCGAATAATCTGCGGCAATTTAAAAATTGACAGATGTCATAATTGTGCAACGTTGCCATGTATCCGAAAACGGCTGAAAACATTGTTCTCGGGAGGTCGAGAGTTTCTGAAACAAAAGCGCATCAGCAAATACACCATCTACTTATTTTCATCATTGGTTCATCGATCGATCGATCAAAATACTGGGTGACTGACAAAAAAACGACCCAAGCCATAGCGCCGCTATTAACTATCCGATTTTGAACAAAAACCTAAATGGAATGATTCATCAGATACTACAAGGTGACAATTTCTTTTTTCAATTTCAACTGTAATGACAGCGATTGTCAACTCTTTTTTTTTAAATGGCATTGTATTTTTATTTTCTGATAGAGATCAGGGACGAACCGAACTTGAATTTTTGGAGGGGAGCAGTAGAAGAATTTTCCCAACTCATTTTTAAATTTTCTAATTTTCATTTCTTTCTTTCTCATCAGTAACGAATTTCTAAATTCCGATTTTGAACTGGGAATAATGGGATATAATGTCTTTTTTGGCGGAACGGAATCAACCTTCAATAACTCAATAAATAATTTGATTAAAAGATCAATTTCTTGTCGACGGAGCATACATTTTTTCAACTAATTTTGCGAAAAATCAACTTGTCATACATTATTGTTTCAGAAAAAAATCTCTCGGAATTCCGCCAAATGTGATTATAATGTTATCAAATCCAAAATGGTTGCTTATATAACTGTACCAAATTTCATAAAAATTCGTTTACAAATGCAGAAGTTACAAGGGTGACCAGATACCCTGTGTCACCAGGTATGGTATAAGATATATTAATTTGTCAACATGAGAACGAGTTGTACTTTTAATAACAATCTTTATTTCATAAATAACCATACAAATACAGTCCACTATATCGATGAAGCATCGAACATATTGGTCCTTCGAGCCAGATCAAATCAAACTTTCAAGACTGCCAAGTTCTTTACAAAGGAGACACAGCAGCACTCAAGACTACCTGGAGTAAAAGTGAATGCCAAACAGCTGGAGCTTTCACATGTAGCAACAAGCAGTTCAAGCAAACAAAAAATCTCATTGATGAAGATATACAGTGAGCACGTAAAGGATTAAAAAAATTCGTTGAAAGTTTGATATGATTTCTAATCAAATTTTATGCTCTTTAGATGATGGTTTATATGAAACCCTAGACCCAACTTCACACAGGTATCGTGCTCGCTTGAGAATAAAAATTACAATCAATTTATTTTGGCTACAGTCCTACAGTTGCCCAAGGAACGTATTCCAGCAGTTCCATTCTTCATTCCTCTCACCTCTCATGTTCCAAAATGGAGATATAGGTAATCTCATCGTTTCCGTATGAGTAATTTAAGAATATTTTGTAAACAGCTTTTATTCGTGGCACCAAAACAGAATATTATTGCTGATGTTGGCTACAGATTTTCATAGGATTTACCTCCATTTATCTGTCAAAATTTTACCTTTCGTGCATGTAGAGCGGCATAGCAGCCCCGGGCAGCATGTAGGGCAAATAGGGGTTCCCGATCGGTGTCCAAGATGGCCTCAGGATGCCCATGCGTTCGTAGTAGATTTGCTCCTCCATCAAAGGCATCGGATAACCCGGATAGGCGGCGTAGTTCGGCAGATCCAAGCTACCCAACGACGGGTGCGGTATTCTGGTCAGAATAATAACGATCGAAATGGCTGTTTATACAGAGTGTCTCGTAAATAGTACGAAAAATGGCTCCTAAGGATGCTACACATGGTTTTTTCACTATTATTTCTGAAACTATTTGTTTCCTATGATGAATGGAAAAATGTTAACAAAATTTGGAATACGTACTTTTTAGGAGGGTATTAAACAGGGTCGGCCTAATGCATTTTAGTCATTCACTTATATGTTTTGGCTCAAAAATTGTTATAACATGAACTATTCACAAAAATTGAAATCGATTTGGTATTTTGATAGCGCTCATTCTTTATATGGAATTATTGGTTTTGGTTTATACTGATGCGGCAAATATTTCTTCAATGTTATGAATGATTCATGATGTATAAGTTCATGTTCACATTTCGAGCAGTTGGGGAGAAAAGTGAGCCCTAAAAATAAACAACAATTAAAACCATTTTTAGGGGCGTCCATTCAAGAGGTCGTTGCTTCCTTAAGAGCAATTTTTCGAAAGACGTTCATATGAACTACTTCTTCCAATTTTTTTGTCGTAGAAGTCGCTGGTGAACTTTGGCAGACTAATTATGGGACATAATGTATTAAAAGTTGTATTGGTCGTCAAGACAAATGTTAAGAATATAAACTAAACAGGAAAATTGTAACTGTAACATACAGGGAATATTATCTCGGAACTCGATAGTAGAAAATTGTAATTTTGGGGTTGTTAATTAAAGCAATTGGTGCAGCTTCTTTCAATAGTATGTTACCCGATGAGCTTTATGTTTGTTGTGTTCCAAATTATTCAAGGGACCATCTCTATATATTTTAGCATTCCTAAATTTTCTTCCGATGACACGATTCCAAAATCCAAGACACTTGTGGTCTTTAACGATTAATTTTTGAAGTACAGGTACTTCAATATCTTCAACTGATGAATATTGTACCAAAAATTCATCACATAAGGTTTCAATATAATATAATAATGATAACATTTATTTCATTCTTTGTTATTAACATTACATTGTATCTTATATAAATATAAATATATTTTATTTTAAGATTTACAATGAAATAGCATGAGTAATCAGACAGATTCATATCTGGTATGAGATTATTCATGAGTTATTAAATCTAAGTTATTGAAATAAACAACACATACAAAAATAATAATAATAAAAAACAAAAATCTCATAAAAAGTACATTATGCCATGATGAAATAAATTAGTGAATGAGAAATAATTTGCTCAGGTTTGATTTTCTCTCTGCAAGAGGATATGTTTCTTGAGATTAATTTTGAATTGGGTGATATTTGTGCAACTGTTGATACCATCAGGTAATTTATTGAATTTTGAGATAGCTTCATGAGTACACTTTTTTTGGCCAAGTGTAGAATTAGCAGCATCAAGATGAAACAAGTCATATTGTCTAGTATGATGTTCATGGATTTGAGAATTCTGTACCAATATGAAGTTAAATTTGAGGTGTTTGTTGATAATATCAAAGGAAATTTTGATAGTATTGATCAGATAGTAGAATAATTACAAAAAATATAAAAAATAACAGCTTCACACGAATTTTTCCGCATTCCTCAAGAAAAAATGTCTTACCTATCATCGGGTCGATAGGGTTGAAAACCAGTCCTGTTCAGTTCGGCCAATGAGCTCGCCGGATACCTATCCACGTGATTAGTAGGCAACCTGGGTTCGTACGAGCGCATATTGGTAGGCCCCACGCCCATGTACGAAGGCATCTCGGAGTTGTTGACTTTCGGTTTTTCTGCCACAGACATAGCAGCTGAAATGGAAATTTCGAACCATATGAGTTCCCTAGTCACTTTATTGTGTTCTTAAAATCATCTGGATAATATCTACTCATACAGATAATACACAGATTGTTTGCCCAATCATTACACAAGAGTCTCGAGATCATACCCGTGTGTTCACCGAACACGCTCGATCGTTACCTAAGCGGTGGGGAGACCGAGACGTAAGCAGGCAGTCATGATACAATGAGTGGGCAGGCAGCTTCTCTCATGCTGTCTTTGTTTTTGTAGTACGGGGTGGGCCACCAACAGTTTTCTTGAATCACATTTCAACATTTTTTTTTTCCAATAAATAAGAAACATTTGATAGGCATCAAGTGATCTACTGCGACCTATCAGATAATGAAAGCGATGATTTGATTTGCAATAATTCGCTATGTCACGACGAGTCCTACATGTAAATAGCGAACCACTCATCGAAAATCATGAAACTATATGTACATATTATATGCTTATGTTTTGTTGGCGAGGACGCTCGTTTTTATTCAAATTATTTTCGATAATGTTCATCTGCTTCACTAGAAATTATTATTAGTAGTTATGTAGTACTTAGTAGTATAGTAGTAGCAGCTTTGTTATTCAAAATGGAACACCTTATATTTTATTACATTTTTCGATTCTTCTAATTGAGCTATGATTTCGTTGATCAAGCTCAAGGTATACCTATTCGTAGAATGTGAAAAATCGAGATTTTTTTTGTATCGAAACTATACAATACCTATATTGATTTGTCAAAATGGCTTACATGTGCCCCTCTCCTAACATTCTATTTACTATCTACTGATGCCATTTAATTGAAACAAATACAGGGTGGATCAGATTTCAGAATTATATAAAAGAAGTACTAGTATGCCTACTAAAAAAATATATATATTTGAACTAAACAAAACAAATATATCACATAAAAAACACACTCTATATAATATTCAACATAAAATGAAATTCAATCCCACTGGATGTATTTAAAAATATAAACAGTGTGCATGTCACTTCTAATGGAATCAACCCGTATATCTAACGTAACTGTTCAATTTTAAGGAGCGATAGATATATATACCAACTATGACCAAAGTGAGGTAATCTTCAGTGACAAACACTGCTCTGGTCATGGACCCACCAACATTTCCGGAAAATGATATTAGGAGGCAAGATAGGTTGAAAATCACTTCGGATTCGAAATCAGGACGTAACCCTGTACCTCGAAAACGAAGCAAGTTTAGGACACATGTTTATATGACCTTTATTCATCATATTATATCAGAAGGAATCATCCCTTGAATTATTTCGGTGTTATTTGGATACACCCTGTATAGATCATTCTTCATCCCAATATAGTTATTCAACATTTTTCCCATAGCGAAGTTCAGCAAATACCGATGGCGAGAGCACTATGTTTATTGATTTGATGTCTACCTATAATATATGTAAAACAAGAAGGCACACATGTTTATATGACCTTTATTCATCATATTATATCAGAAGGAATCATCCCTTGAATTATTTCGGTGTTATTTGGATACACCCTGTATAGATCATTCTTCATCCCAATATAGTTATTCAACATTTTTCCCATAGCGAAGTTCAGCAAATACCGATGGCGAAAGCACTATGTTTATTGATTTGATGTCTACCTATAATATATGTAAAACAAGAAGGCACAACTACTAGTGTTCCGTTGCGAAGTACATTAAATTGACAAATTTGACTCCAAAATAATTCAGGCACGCGCCAACGCCAATATTCATAACGTAGTTACTGCTGCCCGTTTACGTTTCCCCACCGCTTAGGGAACGATCGGGCGTGTTCGGTGAACACACGGGTATGATCTCGAGACTCTAGTAATCATTACACACAGGCAACATAGCAAGAGATTAAAGGAAAAATACAAAAATCCAAAGTCCACGTTGGACAAACATCACATAAATGAGCAAAATAGAAAGCCAATAAACAAAGCTAATTCCTGATTTGAAAGTAAAAAACTACTGAAACAAGCACCGCCTACTCACCAGGCTCCCTCCTGGCGGTCTCGCCGCCTCCCTGCGGATGCTCCGCCGCGCCGGGGCCGGTCTGCTGCGCCAAATTGCGCAGGGCGGCGGCGAAGGAGTGGTTCGTCGCCGCCCCGGGGGCCGCAGACACGGCGTGGCCTCCCGCCGAATTTCGCGGTTTCGTCGTGGTGGTGCCACTGCTGTTGTTGCTCGACGTGCACAGTTTGGGGCTGTTCGGGATGCCTGGAACAATTCATTGAAATGACAGGTTGAAATTACGCCAGTCGGGCAATCAGTCACTCCCATTTCGCACCGATATGGGAATTTCAGTTTTGGAGTGTTTCTTTCCTTGTACTTTAGATGGCGTTACACCAATGTTGTCTTAGGCTCGATAGATACTACTTTACACTAGAGTCAGTCGATGGTATTAGTTAGGGTCCCTTGCAAACTGACGTATTTGTCATCTGAAAGGGTACGGACAGATCATACCTCCTTTCTCTTTTAATCATCTAGTGACTTTGATTTCGTGTATTGGCGTCCCTGACATGACATTGCTGTCACATCACATTCATAGGCGTTAAGAGAGATCTTACAATATTTTAATTTCATACTTGATCTTAATACGACATTATTCAATTCTGTTTTGGAAGGATGGTAAAATGTGCTGCGTTAGGCTGTGTCAATCAGTTGGATGGCAAATTTGAATTTGTCAGCTTTCCATCAAATGCAAATGAACTTAGAACATGGAAGGTGAAGTGACCGAATGGGAAAAATTCGTAAATACATCAGCAAAATATTCGAGGTTAAACTAATACGAAATCCACTCCCCAAGTTTTTGAATGCATTTTGGTAGAAACAGTTTTGATTGTTGTTCTTATCCATCATTCGGTTGTCCCCTTACGAGCAACCCTCAGAAGTCTTCAAGAGACTTGTGCGAGCAAGGAATGACGGGGGTCTCACCTTTCCGAAATTTCCGAAATTTACTGGTTATCCCCAGAAATTAAAAAGATGAAACTATATAACTGTTTCGCAAACACTTTAGAGTGAGAGGAGACGAGGATCTGTCCGTACCCTGTTAAGATGACAAATACGTCAATTTACATCACGGGACAATAGCAGTATTAGTTAATAATATTCAATTACATGTTTCCGAATCTGATGGTGTGAATGCTACCTCGCGACTCGTGAGAATGTGAATTCAGTGAAAAATTACATTCTTACTCATTCAAAATTGTTGCCAATATAGTTTTTCTAGATTATTCCTAATTTTCCAGTAGTATTCAATAGAAAATATCTGAAAATTCAAATAGACTAAACTTTTTTTATGACTCAAAAAAATATTCTCATTCCAAATCAATTCCAATTTTGGGTCAAAATACTCCTACTTGATTCTAATTTTTTTCTCACTAAGAACAATGTACTTTGAAATATGAAATGGAAGTAATCAGAATTGTCATAGCAATTCAGACTCCAAACAATATGCAGACATAAGGTAAACAAATAGAGCAACAAGGAAATTCCAACAGATAACATCTCGGATAACATACTTAGATAACTTACTTATCGACAATTTTCTTTGGGAAAAGTGAATCCCCCAGTCAACACTTTTATCAACAATAATACGTCCGTCATTTAATAGAGTACTTTCGCCAAAATAGTTTCATGTGTCTTGAAGTCAGTGAAGAATCAAGTGAACCAAGAATCTTAAGAGTGAGTCATTCAAATTTCAATTGCTTCAATAATAATAATAATGAACTTCTTTATTTTGATAAATAATTACAATACACTGCATGTAGAGCAACCATTGAACAAAATAGGGTCAATCTCGGAAACAACTAGATACCATAAAATTCTTCCATTGTATGAGCTTCCAAGCTTATTAACAAATTATATAGTTCTTTTTTATATGCAGTGAAGTAATTGATAGCTTTGATATGTTCTGGCAATTTGTTGAAACATTTGATTTCATGGAACTCTCCTCTTAATAAAAATATTCAAATTTCATTAAAAACATGTTTTATGACCTCCAGATTGATCTGTGATATATGAATTAGATCAGATCGAAGAAGTTAACAAAACAGAAACACCAAAAGAGGTGACCTACGAGGTTCTGTGTATGAGTGACCCATAAACAATCCATGTTCCTTGTATATTTTCTGCTGGAAAATAAAAGGGGCCTAGGATGATGAAGAGACGTCGTATATTTCACATTCATCGCGGAACGTCGATAAACCACGATGAAACCTTTCAAGTCTTCATTATGAAATTTATGAACAAGAAAAAAATTTACGAAATCCTCAACATTCCATCCAAACAAACAAAAAACACACAAACCCATTAAGAAATTACCCAAAAGCGTACCTTCCGCAAATAAAAGACTGCCAATAAAGTTTTCCTAATTTTTATCATATCATACATAGTATTTGGGTCCATTCAGAATGGTTTTCCTTGAATTATTATTTTTACTGATTCTTCAGGTCTGCCCAGAAGAAAAAATCTAGAAATTCTGAAACGACATTTTTCCCCAAATATTCCTACTTGATTCTAATTTTTTCCTCACTGAGAACAATTATACAGGGTGATTCAGGTTTTAGAGCACAAACTGAAATGGGAGGTAGATCTCGTTCAGTAGCGGAGCTACAGGGGGTCAAAGTCAACATGTTAATTTTGCCTATGTTTCGCTTAAATTTCATTTAACTGAAAAAAAAAACTCGACTTTCTACTCTCCGTATTCCCGTAACTGATCCTAATTGGACTAGTGATTGCAATTTTAGTGAGTACATTTCATTGAATTCTCAACGAATTTTGTATAAGAATAAAATTTATGCGAAACATAGGCAAAATTAACATGTCTTAGAACGTGCTCATTCATTTAAAAAACGGTTAGTTTTCTCGAAAAGAATTAGGAAGCAAAGAAGCCTCTAAATTGAACGATCCACACAATTTGATCAGTGAAAGATGCCAGAGGCGTACGACGAAAAATTTGGGGGGATAAAGAAGCCTCTACCCACAAAACCGTATCACCCTGTAGATTTTGAAAATCATCAAATAGCTTGAAATGATGATCTTCTAGGAAGTATTGACCACACCAAATTTAAAAATAAAATCTCAAGAAGTAAGCGAGATATTTCAATTAATAGAACAAAATTATTGAACTTTGACCCCCTGTAGCTCCGCTTCTGGACGAGATCGGACTAATGTTCATATGAACTTATCCGATTGAAATGATGAGATCTATCTCCCATTACAGTTTGAGCCTCAAAACCTGAATCACTCTGTATATAAAATCAAAGTTATCAAAATTAATATTTAAATTCACTCAAAACAATGATATGTAGACATGGGTAAACGAATATAGCAACAAGGAAATTCCAACTGATTCCATTGTTTCATACATAGATTAAGTACTCATTTAATGACAATTTTTTATGGAAAAAGTGAATCCCTTAGTCAACACTTTTATCAACAATAATACGTCCGTCATTTAATTGAGTACTCCAGCCAAAATAGTTTCATGTGACCTCAAATCAGTGAAGAATACAGTTAACCAAGAATCTGTAAAGTGAGTCATTGAATTTTACTCTCCTATCATGAAACATGTTTTATTGAAGGCTCTCCTATTACAAAACACAAAGACCTGACTAATAATATGCATATTTCATAAAAAAAACTGCAGATCTTAACTGTAATTCAGAAATTAGATCAGATCAAGAAGGTTAATAAAATAGACAAGTGAGTGACCCATGAACAATCCATGATGTTGACAAACCTTGTATATTTTCTGTAGGGAAATAATACGGCCTAGGGTGATGAAGCGACGACGTATATTTCACATCCATCACGAAACCTCGATAAACCACAACAAGAAACTTCAAGTCTTCATTTTCTCCATCCAAACAAACCACTCCAACGTCAAACAAAACCACAAAACCCACTGAAAAAACTATCCGAAAGCGTACCTCCCGCAAACAAAAGACTGTACGACGCGAGTCAATACAAACACCAGCCACCTTAGCGAAACAAAAAAAAACCTACTCGCTGATCTCTCAACGGACGACTTGATTTAACGACCCTAATTGGGGCGTCGAGCGATACCGAAATAGGGGGACGCGTCGCTTTATCGACGGCGATGTCGACGTGCGATTGTTTCCAGATACCGCCTACTACTCGGATGCGGAAACAGGAAGTGAGGGGAGGTTTCGGGGGGAAGGGGGTGGTCTCAGACGCGAGGGTGTGAAAACAGAAGGCGATCGCGGTAGCTAGGCGACGGTCTCCCGTGTTTACACGGGATTCAGACGGATTTGGATATCATGAATGAGTCATGAGGACGGAACGGTCGGGGTGTTTTTTTTCCCACCCTTGGAGTTTTTGCAACGTTTATTCGTTTGTGGTCGTTTCTGTTGACTTACGAGGCAACTCCGAAATAATATTTCCATAATGTGGTACTTGAAAATGAATGAAAACAATACAGCTATTTCTTGTTATTTCAGGGATGAGAAATAATCTGTGATGAAAACGCTGAAACTCTAGAATGCTCTCATTTCGGTAAAATTAGCAGAGAAAATAATATCGGTTTAGGAAAGTTTCCTGTTTTTTGATCTCATGCAGAAAATTACCAACCTTGCCAAAATTTCAGGAGTATAAGATATTTTAATTTCATAACAGAGTCGTTCCTTTTGATTATTATGTGAAATTAGTTAGGAAATCAAAGATAAAAACATGATATAGAAAATCGTTAAAAGTATTGTATCGTCTCCCATTTGATACACCAACCAATCAATTGTATGAAATAACAAATACGTATTCTTTAGATGAAATATATAGAATTGAAACTCTCAAAATATCATATAATATCATAAATAAAAAATTGAAGTCGAATATTATTTTGATACGGAATTCTGAAATTCATAATCATGAAACTAGACAATATAACTTGTTCCATCTTGACGCCGCTAGCTCCCTAATCGGACAAAAAAGATTCACTCATTCAGCCTTAACTGAATTCAATAAACTACCTGATAATATAAAACATTGCAGAAATATAGGTATATTCAAAAATGAAGTAAAAAAACTGATTATTTCTCAGCGGACTGGATAAAATTAATCATGCCATTTTTTTTTTTTTTTTTACAAATATTATTCTTTGTTTGCCAATTTACAGTTGTTGATATATTTTGAATGATGCTATGTTTACCTATAGGTATATAATTATGTACTTCCTTATACCAGAGCCTAGTCTGTCTGGAAGTTATTTGTTCAATAAATAAAATAAATAAAATAAATAAATCTTCTTCCATTTGAAAAAAAAAGTTTTCTGTTTTTCAACTCACACAGAAAATAGACCACCTCGACAAAATGTCAGTAGTGCAAGATAGTTTCATTAATCACCTAATACTTTTTAATATCATGTGAAATCTACGAACATTTTAGGGATTGCCTTTTGTGCGCTCCAAGTCTTAAAAAAATGGAAACATACATTTTTTTGAGATCTAGAGATAAAATATCGTAATTTGTAATTCACAATGTGCTTTTGCAATTGACGGAACCTCAAATTGTTTTTGACATTTTTGTTACATTTATACAGAATTGTTAAGTAAATAAAAATATTATTGTGTTCAAATCAAAAAAATTTTTTGGAAGCAATTATAATCCTTCAGAAAGAGTAAATGGTAAATTAGTTTTACTACTCACATAACTAAAATGGCATTTAGCGATCGATTAATCACCGATTGATGATCTGTGATTTATTCAAAAAATTAAACACGTTACCATGGCAACACATTACCATGGCAACACATTACCATGGCAACAGAGTTTTTATACACACCTTCAGTGATCGGTCGTTCGAGTCCTGTCCGGCCTGTCAGTTGGAGGAACTGTCAACTGTCATTTTTAAATTTTGTTGCAATCAGAATTATTTGAACAATTCCGTTTAGATATCAGAATTCTTCATTAAAAATGTATGCGAAATGTGGACGAAAGTGCAATCAAAGAGAATGTTTTTGGTAGTCCAAGAACTCTTGGTAAAAACGAAGCATGTGATCAAAATTATGCAATAGGAATTGGATATAAACCTGAGAAATCAAAAACTTTGACACCTCAGCAAATCAAAGAGTTTTCATCTCCGCTTTGCTGCGCTCGTGCTTAGAATACTCGTTACTAAAATGACGTTTATAACACTTGTTACATAATATACTATTCTTGTACGAATTTTTCACTGTGTTAGCGCAACATCGTCGTGTATGTGGAAATTTAGTGAAATTTTTCACAATTAAAATCTATAAGAAATGAAACACATATAAACAAATATGCTTACCAGGTCTGGGTTCAGTCTTCACAGAAACTTTCTTCTCAATGATTTTTGGAGAGTTATTTCTCTTATTTGGTTTAGCTATGAAAGTAGGTGGTACCTGAAATAACAAAGAACATGGATAAATATTCTGTTAGCATCATTTGTTACATATCAAAAAGTGACTAATTATGTTCTCTCTCGTGAAACGATAGTAAATAGAAGACAACAACTAGAATTACAAATCTATAGTTTTCAGGTGAGTTTATCCCACTTCTGACACCAACTAATGGATACAAAAACTCAAAACTTAACATGGATTAAACACCACAATTAGTGATAAAATCAAACATTATTCGCGATACTTATGCTTCCATTTGTGTAGATACGTTTTTCGTTAATCTTTTTCAAAATTGTGGGGCGCTGATACCAGGTAATCAGTAATGATCCATACCAACACCAACGATGCGATGTTCCCCTTTAATTTAGCACCGATTCGACCTACTTGTACATGAAAAAATACAAGTAGGAGATACCATAGTGCAAAACTCAGCAGAATATTACTTGTCATGATAGCATGAAAGAAAATTGCTCACATTTTACAAGAGAATCAAAGAAATCTTCAATAAGAGGCGGTATGAAGTTTTCAGGTGAGTTTATCCCACTTCTGACACCAAAAAAATTATCTAGAAAACCTTACACATTCATGACATTTTGGATCTAAAATTTTTAATAAAATCCCATCAAAAATAAAAAGTCTAAATATTATAACTTAATTTGAATAAAACATCAACCAGAAATCAACTATCTAACGAATTATGCAATGTAATTTTTCAGTACCACGAATTTACAGGTAGGGAGGTAGTATTGAGTTATCCAACTAATCATACCTGTCAAGTTGATTGTGCATTTTATTGGCTCCCGCGAGAAGGTGAGGGCGTTACCAATTCAAATTGCTCTTGTATTGACGTCACAAGTTTCACGACCATCATCTTGGCGTTTTCAATAATTTTTTATACGAAGAATTGAATCTAGGTTACACCGTCAAAATCACGCTCGATAGAAAAAACCGAATTGAAAGACAGCTGGAATTGCTAGAGTTCCTAAATGATAATTGATAAATTAACGAATGATATGGCAACAATACCAGCTGATTTCAGTTAGGATAAATAATAAAAGGTTCTCCAAGACATACGGAAGTAGGTATAAATGGACTTCAGCGCTCGACTCACTATATATCGCCGTTTACATTGCTAAAGGGGATTGTTGGTTTGAACCCGGTTGATACCTAACATAAATGGTGCACTTAAGCGTTCTTGTTATGTGCTCTGATAGTATCTTGCTGGTATCTTAGTATCCAAGAAGTGGTTCAAAATCCACTATGAGCTCAGTTTATAAATTGTGGGTTCGGCTCTATCTCTCAATACGATCCTAATCTTCAACATCAAATCTTCCGTTCTCAAGTGTACCTGATACCTTGAAAAATGTTCTAGATCCTCCCAAGAAATTTGAATACTTCGCAAATTTTGTGGCCTGAAGCTATATTCCATGCCGGCCGCATCATATTCTGTTTCCATTTTTGTAGAATTACGTTATCCTATGGAAATTCGAATAGAGTGAATTGATTTCCCGTGTTCTCACAGTTGGAAACTGCACAAACTTGCATATTTCTCCTAATTCTCTCAAATTGTCAAACCTCTGAAATTCATGTCATGTATGTCCGTGTACTGTCAGTTGCCGTTTATTCCATCAATTTATTTGTGGTTATGTCTGTTTGTCAGTGCTTGTCATAGTGTCCGTACTCTTATACAAAAAACGTCAAAACAGCAGTGTCAAGTACATTTAGGAACTCTAGTATTGCTAGTGATTGGTCAAATTATAAGAAAATCCCACTTCTGCCACCAAAATAGTATCAAAGAAATCCTCTTCATTCACGAGTTTCTCATGATTTATACATGGAAAACGCAATGCACTTGGTAATAAAACTAAACATATCTTCATGTCAATAACTTTAAGGTACAAAATAGTATACCCCACTTCTGCCACCAAAAAATATCCCAAAGAAATGAGCGCTCAAACTGCAACGTACCGCTTTGTCGCTCCGCTGGCCGCTCGGCAACCGCGCCACCGCCGCCTCCGGGCTGTCCTCCGGCGGCGGCGGCTGCGTGATCCAGTTGTACTGCCGCTTGTCCAAAGGCAGGCCCCACCGCTCGTACTCCAGGCTCTGCGTGCGCAGCGTCTCGTAGCAGTCCAGGCACACCACCGCGTAGTCGCCGTTCTCCAGCAGCAGCGAGTTGCCCGTTTGAGGGTGGAACCTCAAGAAGGGAAAGTCCTGGAAAACGGATAAATCAACACTAACAAGATGAACCATCCTTTAGATTCATAGATGAAAACCCAAAGTCATCTCCACAACATTTATTAGAATGATCAAAGACCAATCTCAAAGGAACATGTTTCGGGCTTATATAAGCCCATCATCAGCCAATAGAATAATAGTTCTAGAAAAATCAGTGTTGACTTAGAACATAGATGCAAGAATTACTTAGTACTTACATGGAAATGAAAAAAGTAGGCATACGAATAGTATAGTTAATAATAGTGCAAACAAGGCAAAATGCTCCATGATCTGGAAAACAATTGATTTAGAGAATTAGATATGGATTCACTATATAAAAGTATGAGTCTTATTTTACTATCTTCTTTATTTTGTCAAATATATTCATATATTCACCATGTTCCCTGCTATGAACAAATATTGTTTCTTGGGAATAATAACGTTGATTGATTGATTGATTATCCATTTTTCAAAATTGTGGGGCGCTGATACCAGGTAATCGGTGATGATTTACACCAACACCAACGATGCGATGTTCCCCTTTGATTTAGCACCGATTCGACCTACAAGTATATGAAAAAACACGAGTAGGAGATACCATAGTGCAAAATTCAGCAAAATTTTTATTGTCATGATAGTTTCAGAAAGATAAAATTGAAATCTCGGATAAGAAGATGAAAGTTTTCAGGTGAGTTTCCACTTCTGCCACCAAAGTTTTTTCATTTCAGACAAAGAGAACCTACTTCAATTCAACAATGAAAAATGTACAATTCTCCTCAATCATTTTTGTCGCTTCCAGAATTTGAATTATCAACAGCAAAACGGTTTTATCATTGTGATGAGAGTCATATAACCTCATAACATAGAGTGAAAAGTGACGTTAAGATTGTCCCTAGTAATACTTTTATCTTCTAAATTCAAAGTCGTATGTGGAAAATGTATCAGACTATCAGAAAAAAATTATCAATTAATATTGAGTGAAGAAAAGTAACCATGCAATTACCCTGAAAAAAAAAAATTGAATTAATATTTTACCCCGCTCCTGAAATTACACAACTATGACCTCTTGTTTTTTCTGCAATGCAAGATTTTCGTCTTAAGAGAGCCACCGCCTAGCTGTTGTGTGTATCAATTATTTACTTACTCCTTTACCTTATATCAATGCAAAAATCGCAGTTTGAGGGAGGTATACAGTTTTCAGGTGTTTATCCCACTTCTGCCACCAAAAACGACAAAACAAAACTGTGCACAATTACGACCATATAACACTGCCCATCGGTCATTCCGAGCAGCCTGAAGTCATTCATGAATCCAGAAATTCACAAAAAAAACACAAGTGGGAGATACCATAGATCTTTGATCTAGGAGTCACATTTCAGAGTGATATGAAGTTCAATTCACATTATAACAATATAGTCAATAAGGCATTTGAATCGTTGGGTTTTATCATAAGAAATAGTAAATCTTTCAAAATTGAAACAATAATCAGACTCTATCATACATTGGTGAGACCACATCTGGATTATGCACCACAAATCTGGATGCCTTCAGCACACACACATGTAGACCACATCAGGAAAAACAATTTTTACCCATATATGGTCCCATATAAGAACATGCTGGAAACCTTTGAATTCAAGAGTTTGTTGAACAGAGTAAATAAACAGGCAGTGCTATTCATATACTATCTATTAAATTATATAAAGTACAAAGACTGTGATTTAATTAAGTATATAGACATAAACGTTCCTTAATTCAATTTGAGAATCAGAAATTACGATATTTTCAGGGTAGATCTAGTCAGCACATCACCAATAAATAGAATGCTATCAATATGCAATCAAGAGCTCAAGCAAACACACATAGATATATTTAACACAAACGTGAAAGAGCTACAAAAATATGACGTGTGAAACTATCACACACTTCCTGTCTGTGACTGCTTGTGCCTCCTTACCTAGTTATAAGTTTAGTTGAATAGTTGTATTGTTGTAAATGTCTTCTGTATACTACCATTACCTGTAATTACCTATCGGTGTTTGTAATGAGGTCAATAAAAAATAAATAAATAAATAAAAATTCAGCAGAATATCAATTGTTATGATAAAGTATCAAGGATAATCGTTCACATTCCACAAGAGAATTGAAGAAATGTTGAATGAGACGGTATAAAGTTTTCAGGTGTTTATCCCACTGCTGCCACCAAAAAACGGCAAATTACATCTTACATTTTCACACTCTCCAATGATAATTCCGGATATTCACGAATGCAAGAAAATAGTCTCACCTTAATCAAAAAAGCCCTGACCCTTTTCTCTGTACGTAGTGAGCCACTGGCTCACCAGGCTGTGGTAGCAGAATGTGCAGACCGAAGCAAAGCCGATTTGTTCATATTATGTATTAGATCTACTGATTTATTACTGTTATTTTGTACTGTTTTGTATCATTCGCCTAATTATCTGTACTCCACTTTTGAGTTGCTACAAATTGACTCATACAAAACGTGGACAAATAAATTCTATTCATCCATGAACTCACAGCTCCAGAAAACAATCTCACCTTGATGAGCAACGAGATTACCTTGCTTTCTCTTCCCTCACGAGGAAGGTCACTTTCTAATGATAATTTGGATAAGCCCACAGACATTCAGGAACCCACAACCCCAGAAAACAATATAATTAACAAAAACTCATCATAATTGTCTAATTCTCGAAAATGAGTGAGAAGTATAGGAGTCACTAAGAGAGACGATAAATGACTAGTCAATAACCCTGAAAAAGTGAATTATATTAATATTTTACACCGTTTCTGAAATTAAACAACTGTAACCTCAAGTTTTCTTCCAAATATATAATTTTCGTCTTGAAAGGTCCGCCCTGCAGAGCAGTTATGTGTATCGATTATTCACTCACTTATTCATCTTATATATATGGAAAAATCGCAGGACGAGGAACGTATACAGTTGTCAGATCAGTTTATCCCACTGTTGCCACCAAAAAACACCGATTCGACCTACTCCTATAAATATAACAAAACACAAGTAGAAGATACCAAAGTGCAGAATTCAGTAGAATATCAATTGTTATGATAAAGTTTCAAAAATAATTGAAGAAATGTTGAATGAGACGGTATAAAGTTTTCAGGTGTTTATCCCACTGCTGCCACCAAAAAACGGCAAATGAAAACCGAGCATATTTACATTTTCACACTTTCCAATGATAATTCCGGACATCCACAAATGCAACAAAATAATCTCACCTTAATCAACAAAGCCCTGACCCTTTTTCTGTACGTGGTGATCCCGCACACGTAGCAGCAATAGTCGTGCGTGTTGTACTCCCGACGGTCGGCGGGGGGCGCGTTGCCGCTCTGCGCCTCGTACCTGCGCCACTGGCTCACCAGGCTGTGGTAGCAGAACGTGCAGACCAGCGCAGAGCCGTCCTCGCGCAGCTGCTCCGCGTTAGGGGGGCTCTTGTGGGAGAGGAGGGCGGGGAAATAAGGCGCGTTGCGACCTGCAAAATAATAGAGATGGGGAGAATAGAAATGGTGGAAACTTCATGAGGAAGCTGAGCTGTAGCCATATATCAAGGCGGCTCGGTGGTCGAGAGCGTGGAGGCGCTGAGTTCGTATGGGGACTCCCACCGAGACATAGGTTCGAATCCTAGTTAGGGCATGGATGTTTGTGTTTGTATGCTTACCTAACCCCGCACAAGTTTCGACTTATGGGGCGTTTGGTCCCAGTGCTGGTACCAACGAGGTAATACAATTGCAAAAAAAAAACGCATCTACTAGTCATATATGAAGCATAGCTGTTCTCAAAGCGGGACCAACTTCTGTCTCTATAGGTAACGAAATCGACCAATAGGCGTTGATGCCGACGTAGGGAAAAATAATACGAAACTTGTCAAACCAATATGGCTGTTTCCATCCTTCACTTTCCGACCTTATAGATTCAAAAAGTACCTCTCATTTTGTTTCCATTTTTGTTGAGATATCGTATAGGCAATACGCCATATATTCGCGAGATTCACGAAGTGGGCGACATCTAGGTTACATAATACGAACTTCAAACTGGGGGAAAACAAACTGTTGTCTATGGATAAAGTGCATAAACTACATTGCATTCAGCTTGCTGTAGCTGTAGTCAAACTTGTCAATGACATAAAGTGTTGGCACTGTTGGTAGTGATGATGATTGAGTTGGTTATATTTTTTACATTATTACATTTTTATCAGTTTAGTGAACAGTGAACGGGTGAAGAATTGAAGATAGTTCAAACAATTCAAACTAATTATGACGAGCAAATAATTTGACATATAAAAGAACAGCTAACAATACCCAGATTATCCTGCTTTGCAGGAACAAATACAAATCCATTGTTCTACAGGAGTTCCTCTGGACCCCAACTTCAATTTTACTTATGTGGGGAAGATTTCATCGCCGAAGTTTGTAGATAAAGTGCAAAAATGTGCCTTTTGTTGAAGTCTTCCGCCTCACACATGATTAGCACGGAGAACTGCTTCTCCTTCCACTACTGGTCGGCTTTTTCCATCTGAATAGAGCAAAATATCTGCCAAAAGAACATCTACAATAGGCGTTTTCGATCGAATATTGACAATTGATGTCAAGAAATGTAAAAACTTATTATCACTCTTATCAGTACACAAGCTAATGGCACTAATTGGATTTTGTGAGGATTGAGTTTGTTTTCCCCCAGTTTTGACGTGGCTTTGACATGGAACGATGAAAGCCGAGCGCCACCTGGTAACATCAATTCCCGCAAATAGAAATAGTAGAAATATGGCTGCAGCTTTGGAACAACAGCTCAATTTGACAAACTTAGATGATCTAAGTCATCTGTTGAGCTAGACCATTAACACCGAAACAAAAAGGTCTGAGGTCACCTTAGGTAGGTCAAACAGTGACCAAAGGGGACCACGTATTTCAATTTTGTATGACATCAATTTGGCTATGATCCGAATTCAACTGTCAGCAGTATCAGTAGTTCCACTTGATGGCGAATCAATGACAAATCGAGCAAACCAGCTACAAGATTTAATGTTCAGAATGTATAAATGTCCTGATTTGAATAATGTACTTTGATAATCATAAATTAATCATAATAATGTAGACAACTATAACATTTTTTTTAGGTGTTTGGCGAAAAAAGGTCAATCCGGGGAGAGGCAGTTGATGACAATTCGACAGAGCATCGTCCATGACAGTAATGATAGACGACTGATAGATCTGCAACGTTTCTCCAATGTTGTAAGGTTTGCAGTGCTCTTGTGAGATTTGGGTCATTGATGAGCCTGATGGCTCTCTTTTGAACGGACTCCAGCAACCTCAGGGAGTGTTTTGGAGCTGATCCCCTGACATGTGGACAGTACTCAAGAGATGGTCGAATCTGGGTTTTGCAGTGTCAAAAGCTGTTGTGTGTGTTCTAGACATGAAAGAGAAATCCCAACTTCTGAGAGGCACCTCTGACTATATTGGCAACATGTTCTTCCAGCCATAATTGTAACAGGACCCGCACGTTTGGCTTTTTTCGAAAAAATTGTTGCTTTGGTCTTCAATGCGTTGAATTATACGAGATTCATATTGCCCCATTGTTGGATCTTCTTCAAATCCTCCTCTCCCTGAAAATATGCTCACTTCACTATTGACAGATTGCTGATGCTGCAGTACCTTTTGGTTGGATAGTGTGTCTGCTCGGAACAAATATACAGTAGATTCAGTGCTGAATGTTGAATTAAGAACATAGCCTTTGCTGGTAATGATGAATATTCAACTAGGGTGTTCGATCGAGCCTTAGTAAACAAAAAACAAAATCGCGACTATGTGGTGACGTAACGAGGTGTTCATATCAGAAAACTACTGCCTTGTTGTATGGATGATTATGTTTAGACCTCCCTATTTTGCGACGAGTTTTTACATGGTATAGACAAACATGGTTACCAGCTATGTTTACCTTGCGGTTTGCTGTAGATCACCCGCGCCAGAGTCAGTTCGGAATGCAGCCCGCAAAGGAAACAATAAATGCTGCTGCCTCCTGCCCCAGGATTGCTGTTGCTGCACACAGTCCTCTCGCTATTGGTGCTGGGAGGCGTGAGAATGCCTTGGTCGCCGTTCATAGTCATGTCTGGCGTCGGTATGTCGTACCTGAGAAAATCAGAAAAGTGATAAACGTACGGTTACAAAGTTAGTTAGTTAGTTAGCCTTTGCAGTCAATTGAGACACCAAAAACATTTTTGACCGATCTCGCGTGAATAATATTTTGTTCCGGTATCACGAATAAAAGATGTTGTCAAAAGATTCTTGGATTGTTCATTCGGAAACGGTTGTTATACTTGTGATCACCTATGACCGACTGTTCAAACTCTATTTATGGACTCATTTTATCGAAAACTGATGACACTATCAATATAATGAAAAAACTGGCTTTAATGAGAATGTGTTTTGCACAAAAATTAGTCATTAAAACCATCAACAAACCACCTATTAGCACACACCCTTCTTAGTTTTTGAGCAATGTTTGAATAGGTTGTGAGCTGAATACAGTAATATTGAATCACTGGACACAATTTTGTATCGTAACATTTCACATTTTTAAGTAGTCTATAGAAGGATATTATTCATTTTTCAATGAGTATTCATTTCCTTAGGTACCAACGGCAGTATTAGTAGAATAATACTTTTGAATCAAACAAGATGTTCAAAGTGGCCACCATTTCACAACTGGCACAATTCATACCTTTGCAGAACCTCTCTTATACAAGATGCTGTAATTGCCTGGGGTTATATTTGATGACCTGCTCAAATTATGTTTTTTTGTAGCTCAGCGATATTGTTAGATTTGGTAGCAGACACTTCTTGTTTTAGATGATCATACAAAAAAATCCGAGGAGGATAAATGTGGGGATTGTCTCAACCGATTTTGTTAATTCCATTGACATATAAAAAGACGGGAGACGAAATTATTCACATTTTGTTCAGATTCAACATCGTTTTCCGCAGAAATGATGACAAATGTCTGCAGATTGCCCAAGTTCTACCATCTGTATTTGAAATCGTGGGAAGCATTAATCATACATTAATTAATTATATAACATACATTTCTTATATAGATTCATTCTGTATGTTTGTTCCTCGATTGAAGTATATGAATTCTGCTATTAAAATAATTCGAATCTTTCTAGTTGCATCATTAGATAAAATTATAATGTATTATGGCAATAACTGTGACAAAGCTGTATTGGTGTGTTCACAACTAGTGATGCATATTTTTCTCAAAGTCACTCACGTAAGTCAGAAGCCGACGTTATAGTGTTGTTGTGCTGTGTTTGTTACCATTTTAGGGCTTTTTATGCTTCCATTGATTTTCAGTGTTGTCTTGTTATAAAACTATACAAAGACAACCATTATTAATCTATTTTGGTTCACCATTAAACCCCATTGGTATTTCGACGGTTAGTAAGGTTATGTTTATTTCAACTTGAGCAGTGGTGCAGTTATCGCAGGTTATCTAACTTAATTATTGCAAGAAACGTTGCTTCTTTGGTTCAAATTCCACTGGATGATTAGTCAAAATTATGTGATTACCTGAGGTACTACGAATATTTGGGATTAATTAATGAAAACATCCTTGCAACTCATTTGATTGCCAACGTCACCAATTGTCAATGAAAACTGAAAAGCTTCAAGACAGATACGACTTTGCTATTAAAATAATCATTTCTTATGTTGAAATCGGGAGCAGATTCGGTCCCGAAACGTCCAAAGATAGTTGAAAATTTGATATTTTTTTCTATATACCTTTATTTCTCTTCTCCAAACCTTTTTCAATACAAATTGTCACTGACAAGCTAGTGAATTTTTCTTTTAGGCTCTCTGATAGGAAAATTCTTTAAACGCAGTGTCATTTTTGGGCAAATTATCTGATTTGTCCTTACTACACGTATATTGAAATAATATTCATATTTTTATTTTATAGTGTCTATCTACGATGCCTCCATTTAGAATCTTAGGTAAAACTGCATTTAGCATGCGATGGGTTTTTTTTCGAAAAATTTTTTTGATACTTACGTATTTTTGTCTGAAAAACACGAATTTGATAATAAAAATGTGAACAAACCATTATTTATCAAGATATTTCACTATGAAGTTACAAATTTTACCTACTTTTCCGCCTGTCTTCTGAATTGAATTTAAAACAATTTACCCTTCTTTTTTCATCAATGGAAAATTTATATATATCACAATGTAAGCCACATTTTTTTCTATTATTGAGTCCACTAGAAATATGATTTTCTTGTGATTTATCCATATTTAGTGAAAAGAAGGAAGAATATCATTTGAAATAATGGCGTGTGTAATGTCATTCCAAAGCAATCTATTGACATTTGACATCTGGTAATTGGATTGCCTATGGATAAAATGGATTAAATGGCCGTCATCTGGTATGCTTGCTCACTAAATAGGAAAAACTCGCCATAAAAATCATATTTCCTGTTGAATTTTATGTATAAAAATATGTCAGTGAAGTACATCATGAGTATACAAAGTGTCCAATGACAAAATAAGAAGAGCAAGTACCTGTAAATATGCTGTAAATGCATCCAACGCAAGGGGGAAAAGGAGTCGAAATTTCGAACTTTTTTTTGAAATATCTCGATAAATAGTGGTTTGTTCACATTTTCATTATCAAATTCGTGTTTTTCAGACAAAAATACGTAAGTACCAGAAAAAATTTTCGAAAAAAAAACCATCGCATGCTAAATGCAGTTTTACCGAATCTTACACTATACCCCTCACCTTCGCCTCTCCAACGGCACCCTGTCGTTCTCCAACGCCTCCCACTGCGCCGCCAGATGGCTCACGCACCGCGTGCAGCTCAACACCCTACCGTGCGAGTCCATGCAGCTGTTCTCCGACGCCCTGGCCACCTTCGACAGACAGGGGAAGTGCATCGCGTGCGAATTCACCCCCTCCGACGATGTGCTCACCCACTCCATCTGCGGCCGGGCGTACATCCCTGCGCAGATGTAGCATCGGTAGGTCTGCGCCGACGGGTGGGCGGAGCCTAAATCGTGGGCGGTCGGAGAGCTGGGGCGAGCCTGGGCCTGAGAACAATATGAAATATTGTAATGATATGCTCCTGACAGGGGGAAATATCTATAAAATACAGCCAGATCGCCAACTTTTCTACGGTGTTCCAGAGAAGTGAGTGAGTTTGTGAGCGAGGCATCATCCACCAGACGAATTGCCCTTTTTTGGACAGAATCCAACAGTTTCAGGGTATGTTTGGGTGCTCCACTCCAAATATGGGATCAGTATTCCAGGACAGGTCGGATCTGTGCCTTATAGATCATAAGCAGCTGACTGGAAGTGAAATAGCTCCTGGCCCGAAACAGAAAACCAAGTTTTCGGGTTGCACTTTTAGCAATTGATCTCACGTGATTTTCCCAAGAAAGGTTATTGCTGATAGTGATACCAAGCATTGAAATAGATGTCTTCAAAGGTATGGTTTCTCCTGACATACTTATGTTTGGCATAGTGAGATCGGCTTTTCTACAGAAAAGGCATGCTTGTATTTTGTTTGCATTGAAATCTACCAAAATATTGGATCCCCATTCGAGAATTGTTGTCAAGTCCATATTTATGTTGTCAACATTTTTTCCTCGTTCGTTTCTGATTAGCCTGGCTGGTATTGGAGCCCTGGAAGAGAAGGCGGTATGGAGTGTACCATCCGCGAAGCTGTGTACTGGACATGAAGTTGCTTCCAACAAATCATTGACAAGGAGTAGAAATAGTGTTGGTGCTAGAATTGATCCTTGCGGAACACCAGCATTTATGGTAAGAGAGTCAGATGAAACTCCGTCGACCACTACATGGAGAGACCTGTTTGAGAGAAAATAGCTAGCAGAGAACATAGCTGGGGAGGCAAGCCATAAGATGGAAGCTTGGCGAGGAGTCCGTGGTGCCAGACTCGATCGAATGCTTTGGAGATATCAAGTGCCACGGCTAAGGTTTCACCATATTTTTCGATAGATTGCTGCCATTTATGTTGTTTTATAAAATTACAGGGTTTTTGTTTTCAAATAAAAGTACTGTGTCATCTGCATGTATGGTATAGTTTCCTATTTAATTTATTTTTGAAATGTTTTGAATGTATAAAAGATACAGAATTGGGCCCAACACTGATCCTTGGGGAACTCCTTTGTTTATATATAGTATTTTAGATTCACAATAGTTCATTCAATAAAAATAATAATTATGGGGCTTTATTGGATACCCAAAAGGCTACCGATCGAGGTCCATCAGCCTGTGTTTTATTGTATGTACATGATATATGGAATAATTAAATTTGCTAGCGTACCAAAAAAAAAGGAGAAAAGTCTATTGTGAGGCAAGAATTTTGAATGAATTTCAGTCTTCTGAATTGATTAAGCATTCCAATAGTGTGTTTTCCGGAAACTTCCGTCTTGGGTTCACTGTTGGATCTCTCTGTAAACACTGGAATTAGATAATTTGGAGATTGAATTCGATTTTGGAAAACTTCAATGGAAGCTTTTTCAGTCTCTCAGAAATTGGTTGTACCCTGGTAAGCTGATATAGAGAAGTTCGTTTGATGGATGGTGAAGGGGTAGTTCATTCATTTATTCATGTTCAGCAATTAGGATGGCGAATCACTCACCTTAGCGTTGTGCCTGCTCTCCATCACGGCCATCTTCTTCTTGTTGCCCATCGAGCCCGAGCAGTTGACGTCGTACGGCTTGTACCGGATGTCCGAGCCGGCGCTGTCGGCCGGCGATCGGCCGGCGCCGGGTCGGGCGACCGCGTGGCCCTCATGGCGGTAGAAAACGTCGTTGACGGAGACGTGGTGGTCGGCCATGTTGGTGGGATCGCCGCCGAACACCTGGTGCTTTTGCGGGATGGATTTGTAGCAGATCGAACACACCTTAGAATAGAAGATAGTTTTCCATTTCATCTGAACTGGTCAACATTGATAACGTCGTGGTCCAAAATATAGCTTGAATTCTAAGTAGAGCTCACGAATTTCCTTACCAATTTGGAATCGGTTTTCACCGATGATTGCCTAATCTCTTGACGGTTTCTTGTGGCAATATGAAACTTCTGTAATCTCAGATAACATTGCTAACAGTGATAATTGAATGGGTGTAAAATTGCATCGTGGTCGTCATCTCACCGTTTGAACAGATCATTTTTTTCATTTTTTTTTTCTCACCTGTATCCTCTTGATTGATGCTTTCTCTCTCTTTTGTAATTTCTCGGATCGAAGGTCATATGATGAAGGTACGCATTTTCAATCAAAATGATGCATTTTCGTTGAGATAAATTTTAAAATTCCAAAAATTACGATTGTAGTCCCAGAAATATGAAATTTATATTTATTCTTGACAATGGATATACAAGGTGCGATAAAAAATATGTCCAGATTGTCCCGCAATAAAGAAGGTCGGTCATTTTCGGAAATTGTGAAATGTATAAATACAGTAACTTTTCATGAGGTTTATACGAGGAAATATGAAAAAGACTGCAGAATTGCCATAGATTCAATCAAATGTTTTCCATACTGATGAAGATAAATACAGTAAGTCCTCATGAGGCTTATACGAGGTAATATTTATTATCGCTCATCACTTTTTCAAAATTGTGGGGCGCTGATACCAGGTAATCGGTAATTAACCACACCAACACCAACGATGCGATGTTCCCCTTTGATTTAGCACCGATTCGACCTACAAGTATATGACAGAATACAAGTAGGAGATACCATAGTGCAAAATTCAGCAGAATTTCAATTGGCATCATAGTATCATGGAAAATTACTCAAAAATTCCACACAAGAAAAGAAATCTATATTAATATTACTGATATTATAAAGAGGAAAAATTTGATTGGTTGTTTGTATGTATTGAATAGGCTCCAAAACTACTGGATCGATTTGGCTGAAAATTGGTGGGGAGGTAGCTTAGAACCAGGGGAAGGTTATAGGATACTTTTCATCCCGATACCATTAGGAAATTCAAGATGGCGGATCTAATATATCGGACGAGTTTTCTAATTATGGTCCGATTCTATTCAAAATTGGTATCTGGGGGTTTTTGGGGTCGGAGATTATGATTCTTTCGTCAGAATTTGAAAATTCAAGATGGCGGAACCAATATGGCGGACGAGTTTTATAATTATAATCCGATTCTTTTCAAAATTGGTACCTAGGGGTTTTGGTGATCGGGGATTATAATTCCTTCGTTAAAATTAAGAAATTGAAGATGGCGGATCCAAAATGGCGGATTTTGTAATTAGGATCCGATTTTATTCAAATTTGATATCTGGTGGTTCTCGCGGTCGGAGATTATGATTCTTTCGCCAAAATTAGGAAATTTAAGATGGCGGACCCAATATGGCGGACGAGTATTGTAATTATGATCCGTCTCTTCAAAATTGTTATCTGGGTGTTTTTGGGGTCGGAGATTATGATTCTTTTGTCAAAATTTGGAAAGGGCGGGATTTGGAAATTCAAGACGGTGGAACCAATATACCGGAGGAGTTTTATAATTATATAACGATTCTATTCAAAATTTGTAAGTGGGCGTTTTCAGGATAAAAAATTATGATTCCTTTGTCAAAATCAGGGAATTCAAGATGGTAGATCCAATATTGCGGACGAGTTTTGTAATTATGTTCCGATTCTATTCAACATTTTCATCTTGGGTTTTAGGAGTCGGATATTATGATTCTTTCGTCAAAATTGGGAAATTCAAGTGAACTAAAAAGAAGTTGAAATAAATGTTAGTTTGAAAAACTAAAGAAACACGCTTTTATAGATAGCGAAACTAAAAAGAAATAGAAAATAAAATAATAGTAGTATCCTTGATGAATATTGAACTGAAAAAATATATTATAGAAATAATGTATATGGCAAAATAACACGCATCCCAGATCGTTCTCCAACCTCCTAATGATTCCTACATGCACCAGCATATTTCCGACCACTCAATATATGCCGCAGTGACAAATAACGTCACAGAAGATTCTGGAATGTTCTGGAAACAATCGATGGAACAATCAGAGAGAGAGGTTTTGTTCTAAGAAGCTTCTAGAACAAAAAGAAGGAGACGGAAGATCATTCGAGAACGTTCTCGAACCAAAGCCTGCCAAGTGATCTCATATATAAACGACCGAACAACTGCAGTCAGTTAGTCGAGCAGCGAGTGTCAGAGAGACAGTTATATACCGCGTGATATAAATCGTTTTACATGAATAGTAGTTATAAGATCGATATAAATTAGTGTTTCTTTAGTTCAAATAAATCAGTTTGAAAATAAATAGTGCCGTGTTCGCTTCTGCACCCGAATAACGTAACAATACTTAATGTGGTTACTTATTTTAAGAGAATATCGAAAACAGCAGTTTTTTTACCTGAACCATGCCTTGAGGGCTTATTGGACTAGCCCCGGGCGGAGGCTTCAGCGTTTGTATGAAGGGAAAATAAGGTTCCTTCTCGGAATTTTGGCAGCAATAGAGCAAGCGTATGCTGCTGGAGGGGTATTCTAGGGCACAAGTGTAGCAAATGAAGGTGGTGGTGTCCAGGGTGCTGCTCTGCCTTTTCCTCAGGGTGTAGTTGCGTTCTCCGTGAGGTACACCTTGCGCCTGGAAATTCAGAAGAAATAGATTCAAGAATTGTAGAAAAACTGACATAAGACAAAATTGCTCGAACTGCTGTCTCGCAATTTTTACATGTCAGTTTTTCTCCTAAAATTACTGATCGGCAAATTATTTCCGTTAGGAAAGGAAATTTATTCGATGGAAGAATAACGTTCTTGTGTTTTTACTGTTGACTATTCCACGGTTTCTTTTGTATAACAGCAATATTTTTTTTGTTTAATAAATTTCATCGGACTTGCTCTACCAATACAGAAGCCAAATTGACCCACACGTGAGTCACGTGACCAACCTTCCTTGTTTTAAATTTTGGACGTTTTGAACGTCAAATCTTGTTGGAAGCCAGAATAATGGATGAAGTATGCGCAACTCTCGCAAGCCACTCAAAAACTGACATAAGACAAAATTGCCTGACCTGCTGTCTCGCAATTTTTACATGTCAGTTTTTCTCCTAAAATTACTGATCGGCAAATTATTTCCGTTAGGAAAAGAAATTTATTCGATGGAAGAAACGTTCTTGTGTTTTTACTGTTGACTATTCCACGGTTTCTTTTGTATTACAGCAATATTCTTTTGTTTAATAAATTTCATCGGACTTGCTCTACCAATACAGAAGCCAAATTGACCCACACGTGAGTCACGTGACCAACCTTCCTTGTTTTAAATTTTGGACGTTTTGAACGTCAAATCTTGTTGGAAGCCAGAATAATGGATGAAGTGTGCGCAACTCTCGCAAGCCACTCGTTTATTGCCTCAAACATGGAATACTCATACAAATACAACTCCTGATACTATTTTTCTTGGAAATATTCGTCGATTGACATACTCCAGCAATGTCATTCGGCGAAATTATAAGGCAACAAGCTGTCGCAACAATCGTCGAATATTTCCGGTAAAATAATATCACTTGTTACATATGATGAAATTTTATAACGTCAATTATGTTGGAAGCCATAATGATGGATGCAGTGTGCGTAACTCTCGCGAGGCGCTCGTTTGTTACCTCAATCATGAAATAGTCATACAAATACAACTGATGATATTATTTTTCCTGGAACTATTCGTCGACATATATTCTCCTGCTTGATCTTTCAAATTCGCCTATGGCTCGAAAGTTTTGATAGACAATGCCATTCGCGAAATTATTAGGCAACAAGCTGTCATAACAATCGCCGAGTATTTCCGGCAAAAGAGTATCACTTGTGGTATTGCATATGAATAAAAATGTCTACTAATGCATTGTTACTAAGTCAGCCTACAGTTTGAGGAAAAATATATCAAAATAAAACGAACTATAAAAGGGGGGGATTTTCAATGTGGCCGTTTTTATACAGAATCAGAAATTGTAATATCAGGTGCAACACTGTAAATTCCAAGCTGTAACTCCGCCCTTTTGATTGAATATCTGAATGAAAGCAAAGCAAACTCAATGTTTCAACAAACAATACAGTTCATTTGAACTACTTCTGTTTGAGAACATGTCAACATTTCCAAATAATCCACAAAAAAATGTGTTGAAAATAAAAGCCATCGAAAAAATTAAGCTATATTTGAATATTTACCTGAAAAGTTTGCCACTGCTTCAACAAATGCTGTTGACAATCCACACAAGCCTGAACTCTTCCTGCAGAATCGATCGGTCGACTCCTGCTCGGTCTAGGATGTTCAATGAGACTAGGAAAAAACGGTTTCTGACCGTTATCCGGTAACTGCTTTGATGCCACAAAATCCAAACTTCCTAAAATGAAAACAGTATGGTTCAAAACAGACTTTCATCTATGTATGTTTTCTGTGAATACCTTTTTTGAATTCATCTCCGCAAACGTAACAAACTTCGGTAGTGGAATTTTTATCGGGCATGCTGAGATCCAGAATGTCCGTTCCAGTTGAGGAATTCGAATTTTGGCTGTGTAGAATGACGGGTGTCGAGATCGGAGAACGGTGGACAGATTGCGATTGGGACTGAGGTTGCTGCTGCTGTTGGGGATGCGTCAAATCCAGGGCAGCCTCGGGGGACACAGAGTTCAGCTCGTCACGCACCCTAGGTACCTAAAATGAGGATTCTTCAATATAATTTTCTCTCTCTCTCTCTCGCTCTCTCTCTCCCACTCACTCTTTCTTTAATTCATTATCAACCTTATTCACATACTCGCTCTCTTTTACAATAGGCGAGTAAACTATTTTTTTATTTCTTAGATAGAATCTTCACTCGAATATCTTTCATTTTCATGTTTTTTTAGAACACAACCTCACTTGTTTACAAAGAAATCAGAGGTTTTTCACAATATTTTGGCATACGAATCGTTCGTGTTGTTTTGGCTATTCGTTAATTCAAGCATGCCATCTCATTGTGCTGTTGTACAACGGACAAAAAATGCAGCGAGAGACGAAGGAATATGATTTTTCAGGTAAATAGTGATCTCACATAATTTTCTTCATGAAATTTTGTCATTTCTCATAAGAACTCCTTCTGCCACTTCTGTAATAGAAAATAATACTGCTAATTGAGTGAAAATGTCTACAACACACACGATCATATTTCGTCAGCATGTCAAACCAGTCCTCCCGTTTTATTGCATGAATCCAATCTTCTTGCCTTCTTTTAGAAACTTCACGAGTATTTCTATTAGCTCCTATTGCAGAAGGAGCTCTAATGAGAAATTACATATTTCAAAATGAAATATACAGGCTGATTCACGGTGGAAATCACATTAGACGTTTCTGGAGAACGTAACTTGGGATTATTCTGAAAATTTGGTGCTTTGGATAATTAGTTGTGCTCTATCGACTTCAATATTCTCAGCGCTGCGACGTTGCAGCTTATATCAAGAAGTAGCAACAACTTTGATTTTTTAGATAGGACACCCGGTATATTATTCCATTTTCAGATTTTACCTGAAGAGCTGATTTCACTGACCTATAACACTTGGGGTCTAGCAGTGACAATTACAGAGATATAGGGTGTGAAAAATCGAAATTTTGCAACATTAAGATTTTTTCGTACCTACCTCAACTTTTTATTTACTATCAATTGATGTTCAATTGAAATAGGAACAGGGTGGTTCAGAATTAAGATTTTCGACCACCCTGTATCTAATTCAATTAAATATCAATTGATAGTACATAAAAAGTTATAGAAAAAAACAGATTCAATGAGGTTCCATCATCGGCAACGGAGGTTCGATATCATAAGCTTTAGAGCTAATGATAATTCTGACACTGTATCAACAGAGTGTGAGAGCTTAAAATTTTTAGGTCTTGACATTGATGAACATTTGAATTGGCAGAATCACTGTGATTTTCTGATCAGAAAAATTAACTCTACTTCATATCAGTTCAGAAATATAAGGTAGGTTTTAAATGATGATCAGCTGCTGAAGCTGTACTATGCTCAGGTGGATACCAGACTGAGATATGGAGTGTTCTACTGGGGTTTTTCCTCTAGATGCTCTGATGTCTTCATAGTACAAAAAAAACTCACTCAAATTTTAAAATTTTAACTGTCCCTAGTCTTTTAATTTTTGACTTGTGCTTATCTGTGGTCGAGAATAGAAATAAATTGTTTCAACTGAATAAATGTAAACATAATATTAATACAAGACGAAAAAACAATGTTTTTGTACCATTTGAAAAAACCGAATTAGCTTTCGAATCTCCTGACCAGATGGCTCCACGTGTTTATAATTTCCTACCAGATTCTATGAAAGGATCCAAAACTGTTTCAATGTTTGAACGAACACTCAAGAATCATCTTGTTGATGAGTGTTATTATAGTTTTGAAGAATTTTTGTGTATAAGTGTGTAGTTTTCGTCCTCTTTTTTTCAGTATTTTTTTAATCTCCGATCTCCTTTTCTTTTCTTGTTTTTTTGATGTTTCCTAAACAAATTTTGTAACTTTGTCTCAAAGGAAAATAATAATTATTATTATTATTACTGCTATCTCTCTCTCTCACTCCCCAATCCCTTTTCCATTCTCTCTCTCACTCCCCACTCCCTTTTCCATTCTCTCTCTCTCTCACACTCCCTTTTCCATTCTCTCCCACTCACCTGCGCCTGCCTGCTGCACGCCTTCCGCTCCTCCCTCCCGCCTGCCCCACCCCCCGTCCTCTGCCCCGCCCCGCCCCTATCCGCCGACCCCGCCCCCTCCCCGCCCAGTCCCAACACCTGGGCGGCGTACTCGCCCTGCGCCGCCATGTCCGCGCCGGCGTAGGGCAGGCCGTCGACGCGCCTCAGCCAATAGAGGCGCTCCGAGTGGGCGCGGCCTGACAGCTCGTACGACTCCCATTGCTGCAGGAGGACGGCGTAGCAGAGGTAGCAGGCGGGGACGGAGTGGGGGGCGGCGGGGCGGTGCGTGGCGGGTGGGGCGTGCGATTCCAGGAAGGGGAAGTAGGGTTCCTGGAAACGAAGGAAGATGCTCGGTCGGTTTCACTCGGTTTTGTACGAGTTTACTTGATGTTATTGGACTTTTTTCAAGAACTTCATTCAGATAATGCAAGAGAAACACAACATATACAGGGTGTTCCTCAAAGACACGCTTATATTTGAAGGAGTGATTCTTTGACTAATTTTAAGAATGAAAGTTTTTATGTCCTGAAAGTCTCAACTTTTGAGATACAGGGTGATGAAGTTTTGCAAAATATTCAGTTTTTCTATAATAACTTAGAGACAATATTGTATACATCTGCATGGAATTTGGTACACGTCTTTTAAGCATTAAGGTGCATTTTTTGATGTACAGTGTGTCCAGTTTTCGATGCTTTTGCATGATATCTCAGTTATCTTTGGAGATAGAACCTTGCGGTTTTCGCGGTCCTGTGCCACTTTTTTGTGAAACTCAAGATGGCCTAATCAGATTTTGCAGGACTGTTTCCGTTTATGAGATACAGGGCGATTTTGAAAATTTATACTTTTTGGACCCCCTCTATATCTACGAAGTTTATCAGCGAAAATGTCAAATTAAAATCTTAACCCAAAGAGAATTTTATGCAGAATTCAGTGGCGCACGAATTTTTTTTTTTTCGGGGTGTGGTTTTGAAAATACGACTCAAACTTATGATTTTTTAAATTGAACACCCTGTATTTTATATGCTCATTAAATTCCTTATTTTTTTCCCTTCGAAATGATATATGATGTATGAATATAACATCTTCAAAAATGTTAAAAAATCACTAAAGCATTGAATTTTAAAAGTGGGCTATGGGTTTTTCGAGGGATTTTCATAAAAAGAAATTTACAATGGGGAAGACCACTGAGGGAAGAAATCCATGCAAACCTCTTTCAATCGACGAATCATGATTTACATTTTATGTACAACCAATATTATGACTTGAAGTTGAAGGGAATCGAATCTATATCGTTTTGAATTCAGCATATTTCTTTCCATATTTCAAACAGCCAAATATGATGGTGGAGTCGTGACGTATTAGTCCCGAACTGTAGCTATCTCTCTCTGATACCTCGTCATTCCGCAGTGTTGCAGTGTAATTGGTCAGTTCAAGGACAATAGGCGTGTTGGGACTAAGACGTCGCACTAGTCACACCAATGAATTGATGAAATTTCAAATGGCGCAGGAATTGTGTGTTTTGAAATGGACATATACTAATTTATTTTTTTGATCGTCTTAGCATGAATGAAAAAAATTCAAAATTAATTCACTGGTAGTTTTTCAGTATATCGTTCACGATAATCTCGTTTTAAAAAATCAGTGGTCTTCCCCATTGAAGGAATATTTCCTTTGATTGTTCCATGAAGGGGAAAATAATAATTTCAACACTAATTAACTTGCAATACACAAGACTCAGATACCTGATATCCACAAATATATAGTAATAAAAAGTTTATAATGTAGAATAAGCACCTGATTGAATATTTACTAAAACAATTGAATTTCGAAATTATTCAGTGATTTATTCTTTGAATTGTTCAAATTGATGTCCATTTTTCATCACAAACTTCCTCAATACATATTAATCATTGAAAGATGTCATTGTAATTCCTGGAAAACTGCCTCTGTTGTTTCACAAAGTTCTTCAAGTATGTTGGGCCACTCACTGTATTAAGAAGTATTGAGAAAGTTTGTCAACTGTATATGGGGGAAAATGGATATCAATTTGAACATGTCAATGAATAAGTTACTGAATAATTCCGGAATTCAATTATTTTAGTAAATATTTAATCAGGTGCTTATTCTACATTATGAACTTTTTATTACTATTTATTTGTTGCTATCAGGTACCCAAGTTTAGTGTTTTGTTAATTAATAAGTGTTGATATTGGTTTTGACCTCTCCATGGAAAAATTTAAAAAAATATTTCTTCAATTGGAACATTTTTCATTAGAAAAATCCATAACCAACTATCAAAATTCAATATTTTAGTGATTTTGAGCAATTTTGAGAATTTTATATTCATTCGTTATATATCATTTCGAAGACAAAAAAATTAGGAATTTAATGAGCTTATGAAATACAGGGTGTTCCATTTAAAAAATCATAAGTTTGAGTCGTATCTCCAAAACCATACCCCGAAAAAAAAATTTAAGTGCGCCACTGGATTATGCGTGAAATTCTCTATGCGATAAGATTTTGATTTGACATTTTTGTTGAGAAACTTCGTGGATATAGAGGGGGGCAAAAAGTATAAATTTTCAAAATCGCCCTGTATCTCATAAACGGAAACAGTCTTGCAAAATCTGATTAGGCCATCTTGAGTTTCACAAAAAAGTGGCACAGGACCGCGAAAACCGCAAGGTTCTATCTCCAAAGATAACTGAGATATCAGGCAAAAGCATCGAAAACTGGACACACTGTACAAAAATTTGAATTTGTTCTACCAGTGGCATCGTTAAGGGAATATCATCGTTTATATTTTACTTGAAAGTGAGCAACGATGTTGAATTTTCAAATTTCGTACAATGCTATGAAAGGTTATTGAATTATTTACAGAAAAGATCCTCGTGTTGATACTCGATAGAAGGCTTCATCTTACAGAAAAACCGAAAACCGAGACCAGACTTTTAATTTTGATGTCTGAGTACTGAGTAACATTTCATTCCGATTCAGTCACATAGCAGACTGAATTTTGCCATCACTAAAAAATACAGGGTGGACAAAAACGAATCTATGCATATTTTCAACATCTCAAAAGTTAAGACGTTTACAAGATACATTCATATGAAGTTAAATAATTCAAATGGGTCGAACAATTGGCCCCTTTGAATATTAGCATATCATTAAGGAACACCCTGTATATCAGTATTACACGTAAGTTTAGTTATGCAGTATCTGATAAAGGTTTATCCAAAGCAGCACCTAAGTGCTGGTCTCGGAAATAAAAAAACAATTTCAACATTTACAATTTCAAATTGATTATGGATTGAATAACAACAGGAAGTATATAATAACAATACAATAACAATACAGCTAAACTCTTCCCAATGGCTCGGCTGTGGACTCCTGGGACAAAAACAAGTTGATTCAGGCCAACTCACCTATATACAAAATCGTCTCGTTGAGTTGGTACAAGGCGTTGAAGTTTTTTTGGAAAAAAATAATTTTGCTCATAAACAGAGTAGGCTGAGATCGATTTTCATGAGTTTTGGCATGGCATGTTCTGTGACTGTGAGTCACGTTTTGAGATGTTTCTGATCATCATCAGTGACCTGCAAGTGTTTCAAACAACCATGTTGCCGTACAAATTTGGTGATAACTTTTCAGAGGTCGGACTGGAAACTTCCAGTTTTTTTTTCAGAAAGATATTCCTTTCAGAAATATTTTTTGTATCGTGTCAATTTTTGATAAGTCTTGAGGTTCATTTGCAAATAAATAATATCTGATCTGAGGCATCTTATGCATTTTTTAGAAAAATAATCTGGTTGGGACATGGCTTGACTGTAGACTCCTGGGATGAAAATAAGTTGATTTTAGCCAACTTACCTATATCCGAAATCGTTTCGTGGAGTTGGTACAAGGCGTTGAAGTGCTCACCTTAGGTCCTGAATAGTTATCGTTAAATTTGTAACGCGAGAGTTCTTGTGAAGCCCGCGAGGACCAGCAACATATCAGTTTGTTTATATTGAGAATACATTGTAGCCATTATCAATAAACAGTCCAACTAATTAGATTAATTTTCAAAAATGCGCAGGAGCATCATATCAGAAATTATTTATTTGCAAATGAACCTCGAGATTTATCAAAAATCAGGTTCTGAAAATTGAAAATGCTATGCTTTCTTAAAACACTCGTATCTTCTCTTGAAAATAAGATATTGACGTGAATAAAAAACTATTGTGTTGTGAAGGGATCACACTTCAATCCAAAGCATACTGCAGCCAAGTTCAACCACTCAATTTCTAAAGTAAAGGATGAAATAGTAACTTTGGTTTTTCCCTGATTAAAAAAATTGGCAAATTTTGGGCAAATTTTTTGGTAGCAGTTTTTTTTTTGCCGGTGAGTGTAGTTTCAGTCAATTCTATTCGATTTTCTCTCGGATTTTCTTATTCATATACTATACTATAAATTTAATGTCATCATTCAAATAGAATTTTCAGTCAACTATTGGACTAATTCGATTTTTTCATTAATCTCAAGTTGATAACATTCAAAATGGATTGACATTATTTGAGCACCTTAGTTTTGTGATAACAAAACTGCCATAGTCACATCATCTTTTAGGTATTTAAGCATTAGACCTAGATCCTAGATAATTCACTGATACTGAATCTATAAGATGTTATTTTGTAGAAAACAATTTCGTAATATTTATTCATTGAATAAATATCCAACTTTTTTGTGAACTATGAACTCAATGTTTGTTGTCTCAAACTACCAGTCCAGTCACATTGAAATTCAATAATGTTCATTTTTCTTACATTGGACGATAAAAACACTATACATTTGTCATAGCGTCTAGCTGAACCATTTCCATCGGTGGCTCTGCTAATTCCGAAGACGAAATAAGGCACAATCTGACCCAACTCGACCTAATTTAACCTTCTTCCTAGAATATACAGTGTTCAAACGTTCATTCATATTCTACCTACCGGGGCCATTGATCGTTCCAAGATTTAGAGGCTGATAATGAAAAAAATTAAGCTAATCCTTTTATTTCGGAAGTTAATTTTCTTGCAAAAAAATCCTTATATGCTTTCATCAAAAATGAAAAAGCACGGCACTGTCCAAAAGCATATTCGTCTCTAAAAAACTGATAACATTGATGGTTATTCATAATTCATATACAGGTCCAAATTTGGTATACGAATGGCAAAATTAATAGCTGTATACAGTGTCATTCATAAAGTCGGCATCATATGGGAAAAACTTTTATTAATGTCTTATTTTGGAATTCGAGTGGTACGTTGAGTTTCGCTTCAAAAAAGATGAAAAATGGCCTAGTCAATAGGGGTCACGTGACTTTCGGTATATGTCAAAAGTGACATTTTTTCAAATTAATCGCTGAAAGTAGGCTTATTTGTTCGAATATCTAAAAAGTTTACTTGAAAAAGTTGTTTCTATTTCAATTTTACACATGCTTCTCGAATTTGATCTTTCTATTGCAACTTTTAGATTTTGTTTCTTTTTTTTTAATTTTTTTTATTTCACGAAACTACTTCATACCAGTAGCTTTTTTATGCTACTCACTTTCAATTACTTATTATCACTGATTATGGACAAAAATATGATTTTCTTCAGAAAATGATAATACCCGCTTCCAAATTCTGTTATGTTTGATGCAAAGTTGATATATCGTCAAGCATTTAGAAACGAAATTCATTCAAACTGATCTTTTCAGTACTGAAAGAATAAATTCAAATGAATTTCGTTTCTAAATGCTTGACTCAAACATAACAGCATCTTGATGTTATGTTTGCATCGAACATAACAGAATTTTGAAGCGGAGATTATCATTTTCTGAAGAAAATCATATTTTTGTCGATAATTAGTGATTGAAAGTTGGTAGCATGATGAAGCTACTGGTATGAAGTACTAATATCAAATTTACAATTTTTTTAATATTACAGAAATTTCGAAAATTTTTAAAAAATATCGAAATCAAAAAAATGTAATAGAAAGATAAAATCCGAGTCACATATGTAGAATTGAAATAGAAACAACTTTTTCAAGTAAACTTTTTCGATATTTGAACAAATAAGCCTACTTTCAGCGATTAATTTGAAAAAATGTAACTTTTGACATGTAGCAAAAGTCACGTGACCCCGATTGAGTAGGCCATTTTTCATCTTTTTTTAAGCAAAACCTGACGTCCAATTCGATAATTCGAATTTCAAAATAAGTCATTAATACAAGTTTTTCCCATATGATGCTGACTTTATGAATGACACTGTATATCATGGAAAAAAGTACTGACTTTTCCCACGGGCAAAAAGTAATTTATGAAAAGTGACGTTTTATAACTTGCCAACAGAGATGAAATGCCAAACTTTTTTCCAGTCACAGAAAAAATAAATAAATTTGGCACAACTCTCTTTACATTTTGACGACCTCAATGTTGACAATGAATGTTACCTTGGGCTTGTTGGGGACAGGTCTGGAATTGATGTAGTAGGTTTGGGGTTGGTTGCGGTTGCCGCACACGAAGCACACGTCGGCAGGCGGGGGACGCTGCTTGGTCGGCGCACTCGGGACTGCCGACGGGTCCGAATTCAGGTGCAATTTGTCCATGGTTTGCATGTCCGACCTTGAAAAAAAAAAAAACAGCACATACTCAATAATTGATTGTTTCCACGAATAGGGTCCCTTGATGTAAATTGACGTTAATATGGGTCACATGTTTATATGCATCAATTGTTTATATGGTGTTGTCTACTGAGACTCCCAAGTACTTGCACGAATTACTCATCAGAAGATCTACCGTTCATACAGCAAATGTTAGAAATGCTGATTCATTTACTATACCCCAACATCGTTCATCCAAATTCCAAGGTTGCTTTGAATATATTGCACCTACGATGATAAATATGTATGAAAATTTGTTCAGTGGTACTCTAGATATGAAAATGTTCAAAAAATCATTCAAACTGTGGGTAGAAGGACCTCGGTCAATAACCCTTTGGATCATGTTTGGTTCAATAAAGTACTATTATTATTATTATTATTTCATTCAAACTGCATATACTATCAATGAGCCAATATTATGCACTGTATAATTTTAGTGTTGTCTCCTCGGTTGTCTCCAACTTATTATTTTGATTTTGATTGTTAATCTCATTATTCATTGTCATGTATTGTCATGTAATGCTCACCTCATGTAGGTGCATTATTTGTATATTAATCCCTGTGATTTGAATCATCCAAGGCAAATATGAAAAATGGCTTGCCAACTATTTGCCTTTTGAAGTACAATGATATTTAAACACATGTATTTTTGTTATTTTGTACTTCAATAAACATTATTATTATTATTATTATTATTATTATTATTATTATTATTATTATTATTATTATTATTATAATAGGGTATGGACAGATCCTCGTCTCCCCACACTCTAAAGCGAGCGAATCAAGGGGGTGATTCTACATGATAAAATAAGAAATTCATCTTATATGTACGTGGGTCCGGAAGTGCATAGTTTTGAACATAGTGTGTTAAAACTTTTAAAAAAGATCGACTTTCTATGAATATATCAAATGTCCTTCAACCGATATTCTTGAAATTTGGCAATGATATCTTTTGTCATGAGGGGCTGATATAGTCATAATTTCATTGGAATTATGAAATCCAGTGGTGTCCCGGGGGGGCAACCTACCGAATATTATTGTCAATTAAATGTGTGCCACTGATTTTTTGAATTCTGCATCTTCATAACCTATTGACTAACTAAAAATACAACATTTCGGTCTCTTGAATTGTTTTGATAATTTGCTTCATTTCATGGAAAAGAATAAATACCAATTTATTGCATAAATTTGTGCCAAAAAAGTCCTTCGAAAACTGGGGTGAAAATATATGCCTGATCAATTTCCACAGACATAGAATGAGTATGAAGATTCATTTTCTTCAAATATTTCCTGATTTCCTGATACATGTTTGACAGACTCTACACTCTGTATATTGAGAACTATGTATTCTCGGTTCAGGAAGGCGTAGTTTTCGATAATACAAAGTGTGTCAAGCATGTATTATAAAATATTTGGAGATAATGAATCATAACTCTCATTCTACGTCTATGGATATGGATCACACATTGAATTCCACCCCTGTTTTTGGAGCAATGTTTTGCACAAATTTATACAATGAATTGGTATTTATTTTTTTCCACGGAAACGCAGCAAAATAGCAAAACAATTCAAGAGACAAAAATGTTGTATTTTCAGTTAATCATTAGGATATGGAGATATAGAATTTAAAAAAATCAGTGGCGTACATTTTATTGACAAGAATATTCGGTAGGGTGCCCACGGGACGCCACTGGATTTCACAATTTCAATTTAAATACGGCTAAATCAGACCCCAATATCAACGAATATTATTGCCAAATTCAAGAGATATTTGAGATATTCATATGAAACCGATTTTTTTATAAGTTCAACACACTGTATCTTCAAAACTATGTATTTCCGGACCCAAGTATACAGGGTGATCCATGGTGGATGGCCTATTAGAAGTATCTGGAGAACAAAAAGCAGAACATTCTGAAAATTGGGATGCTTTGATAATTGAATATTCTCTATCCGTCTAAAATATTTTCATCGATACAGTGTTGCCACTTCTATCAGAAACAACTAGCAACTTCGTTATTTTAATTGGGGCACCCTGTATTTCATTTCATTTTTAGATTCTTCCTGAAGAGCTGATTTCATCAATGCATCACACTTGGGGTCAAGCAAGAATAATTACAGAGATAATAGGGTGTTCAAAATCGAGATTATTCAATTTTTAGATTTTTTTGTGTCGAAACTATTAATTATCGATCAAAACGGCTCACATGATTAACTATGCCAGGATTTGCAATCGCCTGCTTACTTAGTTCCACAGAATTGTAAACGCCGATCAAAATAATCTTCATTCAGTTCTTGCGTTAATTCAATTTCGTAAGGATGAAATTTATGTAGTTTTAAAATACGCTGAATGCTAGTTCTTGAGATACCGGAAACAGTTGCTAGTTGTCTTGTACTCAACGTATGGTCAACCTCAATATGGCCGAAAATTGCCACTGTTGTCGCCTCATTTCTTACTGGCGATTCGATTTGACAATTTTTATTTGCCACCGATCCCGTTTCTCGGAATTTTGAAGCTAATTCAGACACATACTGCCGCGACACAGTCCTACCATATTGTTGATTGAACCATCGTTCAGCAGCCCTGTTCGCACATCTATTGTTTACATAATACAGTTCAATCAACTCAACCCTCTCTGCCACTGTATACACCATTGTTTCGTTTCAATTTAGACGTAAGATAGATACCACACACGAATGAAACTCACTTGTAGTACACACGTGAAAAACAGAAACTGCATGCTCTATCTGTTTGTTCTATTTTATTACAATATTTTCATGGGTACCGCGAAAAAAACTGAGCAAAAACTTTCACAGTATCGTTGCAAATAAATGCTAAATTGCAAAAACTCGCAAATGACTGTTTCAGAGACGTACAAGTAAGCTCTTAACTATCGTACAGGTTTATTCCTGAATTTATTTTTTCCCAAACGGGACGCCGTTGAATAGAGAACTTAACGGGCTTTCAAAAGATGTGCCACTCCACCATTATTCCCTATTCAAATTTTAGGGGTTGTTTACCCCACAGCTCGAGTGTTGCAGTGACGGTAGTGCATGTAAGAGAAAAAAATGTCCCCCTCGAAACTAAAATCGACCTGTCCGAGGGTTTTTCCACATCTGCGATATTTTCACCCAAAACCCCGATGTCAAATTTTGGATGGGCCACCCTGTATATCATTTCGTCAGATGACGGTAGAAATCTGCAGGCGGCTCTCCTACTATACATTTATTAATTGATGGAAGCAACAAAATAAATATTCTTCTGTATTATTATAGTGAACAGTTACATAAAGAATGGACAGCATTGGAGATCATTAAAAATATTTGTAATCCATATGAGAAATTAATTATTTTGCAATGCGAAAAAACCATAGATAGCAAGCATTGACTGTTGTACCATTGCCACAAACAGTTTCTAATTATTTGTTTTGCAATAGACAAATATCATGTGAAAATGAAAATATTGAAGTTCCTGTGTAGGTACACTACCAGGTATACTAACCTATAAAAATACTATACAGGGTGTGAATTTGAAAACTTTCAATGCGAATATCTCGCGAAATAAAAAAGTTAGAAAAACACCGCTTGGCAAAAATGCTAAAGAGTTAAGGGGAACTGGAACCACCATATTTCAGTGAAGGGATGAGTCACCCTGTCAGCGCAACACACCCCAACTCTGAAATGTCAAATGGAACTACCTCTTTTGTGATACCTCAAATGAACGGTCTCAGTCAGTAGTATTCACCTGTACAAGACTTTTTTTCCACCCACTACAGGGTGTACGAAAAACATTAATTCGAGGGTCTAAATTTGAAAACTTTCAATGCGAATATCTCCACCATACTTCAGTAAAGGGATGAGTCACCCCGTCGGCGCGACACACTCCATCTTTGAAATGTCAAATGGCACTACCTCTTTTGTGATACCTCAAATGAACGGTCTGAGTCAGTAGTATTCACCTGTACAAGACTTATTTTCCACCCACTACAGGGTGAACGGAAAACATAAAGTCGAATAAAATAAAATGCAGAATGCCGATATATTCCAAGAGATGTGTTCCAAAATGTTAGAATGGCATTTGAACATCGATTATACTATTGCTTAAAACAAAATGGAATGCATTTTGAACATCTGATCAAATAAAATATCCTTTTGACACAATTCATTTTATTTTATTCGACTTTATATTTTTCGTACACCCTGTAGTGGGTGGAAAAAAAAAGTTGTACAGGTGAATACTACTGACTGAGACTGTTCATTTGAGGCATCACAAAAAAGGTAGTGCCATTTGACATTTCAAAGTTGGGGTGTGTCGCGCCGACGGGGTGACTCATCCCTTGACCGAAATATGGTGGTTCTAGTTCCCCTTAACTCTTTAGCATTTTTGCCAAACGGCGTTTTTTTAACATTTTCTTTCGCGAGATATTCGCATTGAAAGTTTTCAAATTTACACCCTGTATATAATATACCTATCTGAGAATATTTCTTTTCTATACAGCCTCTGAATGCAAGTATGAATGTTTACATAAACCCAGCATAAACCATAATAGTACATTGTTTTATTGGGATCAAAGGGCAAATGGACTGATAATGAATTATTGGCATTCAATTACTCCACTGTGTAGTTAGGAACTTAAATTAATTTTTGCAATACTTCTCACACTTTTAAATTTCAGAGCTAATTTCAAAAGACCCTTCATGGCCGCCATTTGGCGATACGTCGAATAAACAGTGACGTCAATTTTTATGCTGTTTCGTGATTGGTCAGATAATCTTCCATTTCCACTCATGAAGCAAGGTTGTCAAGTACCCAATTATAACCCAAGTTATGGAAAAGATGTTAGAGTCCTGTCGTTGAATAAAACATAATAGGAGGAACCCATGATTTTATAATTCATTCTTGAGTTTTTCCAGCAACCAGCATGTCCAAATATTTCTCATTCTCCATAACAAAATATCATGTAAATGTTGGAGACTTGGCAACATTGTGCTGAATGTTGAGAACTGACAAGGCCACGCCCACAAGTCGTGCGCCGTGTTGTCACGTTCACCGATTCAAATGTCCTCTAGTGTGAATTAATCTCGGAATTAATACAATTACTATTTACACAAATTTATTATAATTTGCTAACTATGCTATGCTAATTAGGAGTCGAGTTAGGAGTATTTCAATTACTCAATTAAGCATTTATGAATTATTATCGAATAACTGATATTTCTGAAATTCCTGGTCGTTTTTCAACACATGGCAACTGTGCTATGGTCTGCACCTACTTAGGAAATCATGGCGTCAGCTTTTATCGGCGGTAAATTTCTAGCCGTTTGAAAATTACTGTGGCAATATTGATGATTTTGAATTTTATGTATTTTTTGATTTCATAAATAATAATGTGCTATTTGGGTATTGAATAAGCATTTTTATTTCTTCTTATGAAGTTCGGAAATATGCCGACGTATGGTATTGTCCGTTTTTCTCGAAAACGAAGCATTTTTAGTGGGTTTATCTGAGTAATCAAAAAGAACCTGAATAAAAAACACATGGTGACTTTTTTTTCTACAAAAAAAATCCGACTTGCTCTATGGGTACGCCAATGGAAATTCTGGATCAAATCTAATTGGTCTAGTAAATGTCTGATGATTGTGTGTATAAACAGAAAACAACCATAAAAATTCCATTCAAATCAGCTCAAGCATTTTCAAGACATTATTGGAAAACCAGTTTTTTTTTTCTCAAACTTGGATGAAACATTTTTAAACCTATGTTCATAAGAACTTTTTTTCATATATTGTAGAGAGGAATCTCTGTATGTCACAACAACTCGTAAACACCCTGTATAATATACCAACTTTCTATTTCATTCCATAAAAAAAATGATAACAGTAGAGTTCCTAATGTACTTTAACACTGCTGCTTTGACGTTTTTGTATATTTATGTCAGCAGATAAAATGAATGGGACATTTGTGGTATAGTCAAAGTTTCACCAATTTCTATTGCAGCTGGCAGTTGCAATACAGATGCAATAGCAGTCAAATACATTTTGGTAAAAAGGAGTACATATAAATTCTAGGAAAAAACAATGAAATAAAAATATTGAAATTATAGATAGTGGAGTCACTGATGTGACCTATTTATAATCCATCTGGCTATAGGTAGGTATGTACATATCAGTAAGTAAACAAAAATACATATAGTCTTGAAAAAGGAACATCCAATGGGGGATAGAAGAATGCTCCATCACACATTATGTGAACTTCATGGTATTTAGGTAGGTGACTATGCATTTCAAACAGACATCTCTATCTTTAATCATTTGATTTTTTATGTAGGAACTAGCACAGCATGAAAGTAATCATACATTATCATCCTGTTTTTGCTGTATTCTCCTTCAAGACTTAAAAGAAATCTGAATAAATGTTTGTTATTTGATATTGACAAATATGGACAAATAACTAAAACTGGAACTAAACTGATAAATTGGACCTGAAATAGCTTTTTTTATGCTTTCAACTCATCCAGATAAGCTAGTAAAGTATAAATAATATATTATACTCAGTTATGGCTTATGAATGTAAATATATGAAATCTTTAAGAAGCTTGCAAAATATTCCAGTATGTTAAAGATAACATCTGAGCACTGGTAGGACACTTCATATGTATATTACATTATTTAGATAAACGGTAAATTAAGTACAAGAGCAAATACTACGTAAAACAAACGTGAAACATATTAAGTATATTCAAACATCTTATGAAACAAGAGCTACATCAACTACATACTATTGGTCCACATTATAGACTTCCCAAAAAACTCAGGCTATAGTACCCATCTTGAAACTAGAAATTATTCTCACTCACTCAGCTACTTACATTCATCCGAAAAATGTTGATACTGAAAAAATAATGAATTAAAAAGTCCAGCACCTAGACTGAAAACATCAGATGTTCCTAATTCGTCTAGTTCCTTGCCACTAAAATCAGTAAAATCTAGATTGCACAAACAACCCGAAAAGGCCACATCTGCACCAACTGTCACACTTTTTATGAGCCCACATAGTCACTTAACAAAGCGATAGTAATTCAATGAGAAAAGAGGACACATTTCGATGAAATAATGTTCCAAATTTCATGATGTTCGCATGAAAATCAGCCATTTTAGAAAAAAAATCTGTCCAACAATGCATAAATGCACGGCAACTCAGCAACCATCAACTTGACACTTCACAATTGACGTCTTGACAGCTCAACATTGTCGCCAACAGAACAAAATTTAAAGAAAAATGGCGGAAGTGATCTAGGTTGACACATGACAGGCAGTTTTGCCAAATGTAACAAACACTAATAGTAAAATTGATATTTTTCAGTTCAGAACTACAAAGAATTTGTAATACAGCCAAAAAACGGAGGTCTATTCATAATATCAAGAGAATAGTTGTTCGAATACGACAGGTTAGCTACTGGCACTACACTAGAGTGAAATATTGAAATAATATGGAGAAGAAGAACGACAAGTTTCACGTCAACTGTCAACTCAATCAAATTTCCTTCTGTCATTTATTTCTGTGCTGCAACTTCCTTTCTTTTTCTTCCATCGTGTTTCTCTGAGCTGGTAGTTTCTGGTTCAGCGCTGGTCAATTTTTGTTTAAAAAATTGATTAACTCGACCAGAAATCTAAAGATGGTACGTTAATTATTATTACAGCCTATAATTTCTATCCAACATTTTTTCCCTGGGTCTTGTAGTCGCAAAACATGTACCGATGTTCTCTCTTTGCAGGCATCTGTTGAAAAAGGTAATCTCGAAAAACCCGGCCAGGAAACGGCCCCAGTCCACCACATCAGGATAACCCTCACCTCGCGCAATGTTCGCTCCCTGGAAAAGGTTTGCGCCGATCTCATCGATGCAGCCAAGAAGCAAAAACTGAAAGTGAAAGGGCCAGTACGTATGCCAACGAAAATCCTACGTATTACCACGCGTAAAACGCCTTGTGGAGAAGGTTCCAAGACCTGGGACAGGTTCCAGATGAGGATACATAAGAGGGTCATCGATTTGCATTCACCATCAGAAATCGTCAAGCAGATTACTTCCATTAATATTGAGCCTGGTGTAGAAGTTGAAGTTACCATTGCTGATGCTTAAGTTTTTTATTTTTGTAAGATCATACTGTTGATGAGTACAAAATAAAATTTCTATAACTTCATTATGTTGTTTTCAAAGTTCCATTATCATTTCAGTTGATAAATTGAAAGAATCATAGATAAGAATCTATGGTATCATCTATTGAATAGGATAAAAAACGGTGATGAAATTTTTCTAAGAATGAAAAGTGTGATCTTGAAACAATCCCTTTGCACACACCCTGAATTCTTCTTTGAAAAAAAAAAAATCCAAGTTAACCACCCTGTATAGCAACTTGAATGAATGATTAGAGAAAATTCAATTGAAAACAGGCTGTGGACCAATTCCAACAAAATTGATCTAACATCTCTAATTTTGGAAAATGTGATTTTGTAACTTCCACAGACCACCAGGGTGGGTGGTCTGTGGTAACTTCATTTCCTGTTCATGCCTACCAAGATTCTGTATATCACCATGTATAAAACACCAGACTTGTGTAGTATTCGAATACCCAGTATTCTGAATCCTATTGAGAATACATTTGGCTGGTATTCGAATACATTTGTGTATTTGGTATTCGACTGAATACTTTTTTGGTCAGTATACTCGGTATTCTGGATTCTGAATACCGTTTTTGAATCCCAGTATTCAAATACTCCCTTTGTATTCGAATCCTGTTTTCGGATACTTTTCATTATTTCTATGAATATTGCGCTATGCTTAAACGGAGCCGTCGCTATATTTTATTGGTCGATCATATATATTTTATTAGTTCCTATGTTTTATATGTAATGGAATGAATTTTATTTCAAGTTTTATTCATTATTTGAGATTATTTTCCATTATTATCTTGCTAAACAATTATTTTGTGTTACCTTAACCTCATTGTGGCACTTTGGATCAAAAAAACATTTATGAAGTTTTATTTAATATATTTTCTATTTTTTATATATATTTTTATAACTACATACATTAATATAAACGAGCTTTATGTGCGCAAATGTTTTTTTTTTCAGTTGGAATATTCATGAAATATTCATATGTGAATGAATCCAGGTATTCGAATACATCGGTATTCCAATACTTTTTTTCTTTGTATTCGAATCTTGAGTATATTCGAATACAATTTAGAGTACAGTATTCAGGATTTGTATTCGAATACCGGATTTCAGTATTCGACCCAAGTCTGTAAAACACCTTGTGGAGAGGGTTCCAGATAAGGATCCACAAGAGGGTCATCAATTTGCATTCACCACCATCGAAATTTGTGAAACAGAACTCAATAAACATCGATCGGATAACTTTATTGCATTGTCAGGAGTACCCCAGGGATCTATTTTGGGTCCATTACTTTTCATCCTTTTCGTGAATGACAGAGATTTTATAAAAACATCTAAGTTCTTATTGTATGCTGATGATTTGAAGCTATATAAAATAATCAATGACGAAAATGACAAAAATTCACTACAACAAGACCTTGACAGACTCATCTCCTTCTGCAACTCAAATGATCCTCTTCTGAATGAAAATAAATGCAAAACTCTGTCATTTACTTGTAAAACTAATCCCATTGATACAGAGTACTGGGTGAATGAAACAAGACTAGAAAAGTTACAAGATTTCAGAGATCTGGGGGTAGTTTTCGAAAAAAATTCATTTTTACCTCCCATATCAAGAATATTGTGAACTATAGTTACAGAAGCTTGAGTTTTGTGCTTAGAAAGTTAGAAATTCATATCAGTTTAACTGGAAAACCGGAATACTTCTATACAATGCTTTTGTACGACCTAAACTAGAATATACCTCAGTTATATGGAATCCCAACACCATTTGTATACGCTGAAATGATAGAAAAAGTACATGGAAATTTCTGAGAAACCTTTTTACTACAGGAAACATAAAGAATCTGCTTTTATGATCTCATACAGAACTCAACTCATGGAATTTGAGCAAAGAACACTAAAGTCCGGAAGAGATATCAATGATGTGCTGTTTGTTTCAGACATCTTTTTACTACAGGAAACATAAAGAATCTGCTTTTATGATCTCATACAGAACTCAACTCATGGAATTTGAGCAAAGAACACTAGAGTCCCGAAGAGATATCAATGATGTGCTGTTTGTTTCAGACATAATCAGTAATAAACTGAATGTACCTGATCTACTTAGTCAAATAAACATTCATGTACAGGGCGATTCCCCATAAATGTCCACCCCTCTAGCTCACTTATTTTTTAACCGATTTAAAAATCTGAAAAATCATCTGGAATGGTTTTTCAGAATTTTTTTTCCGTTGCATCAGAAAATACAGGGTGCTCGGAACAAACGATCTACAGAGTACTACTTGATTTTTTAAATGGAATACCTTGTATTTCATTGTATTTTTAGATTCTCCCTGAAGAGCTGATTTCATCAATATATCACACTTGGGGTCTAGCGGGAGATATAGGGTGTCCAAAATCGAGATTTTTCAACTTTTGTATTTTTGTGTGTCGAAACTATTCATTATTGGTCAAAACGGCTTCAATGTCCCTATCTCAACTTTTGATTAACTATCTACTGACATTTAATTGGAACATCTACAGTGTGGTTCAAGATTCAGAATTCTGATCACCCTGTATCTGTTCCAATTATTAAATGTCAGTAAATAGTAAATCAGAAGTTAAGATACGGACATGAAAGCCGTTTTGACCGATAATGAATAGTTTCGTCACAGAAAAATCTCGATTTTGAACACTATATCTCTGTAATCATTTTCGCTAGACCCAAAGTGATACATTGATGAAATCAGCTCTTCAGAGAGAATCTAAAAATACAATGAAAAATAGGGTGTTCCATTCAAAAAAATCAAATAGTACCCTGTAGATCGTTTGTGCAAATAAATTAGTATCGTTAGATTCGTCAAAATTACTTTTTTTTCGGAAAGTGCTTGTCAAAAAATGGTCGCCATTTGAAAAATAATAGTTAGACACGAAAATGTAATTTTGCCAACTTGTCTTATTCATATCTATCATTCTGGTCACTAAAACTTCGCGATTGTAATTTTCTGATATCACCTGAGGTCCTTAGATTAGTTTACTTCCGATCATGGCCACCTAGATGTAATTTCAAAAGTGACTCCGAAAAAATTAAGTAGGCATATGAACTTTCGAAAATGTCACATTCTGATCTAGAATTGTCTCAGAAATCCAAAAATGTTACAATATACAGGGTGTTCCATTTCCGGTGGAACCAGAAGTGACCGGAAAGTGGAAAATACGTGAAAACTCTCCTCTTCACATACCATTTACCAATACCAAATCTCATTTTGATACACTTAATGGTCTAAAAGTTATGACTTGTCTAATAGATTCGTTGACACCCGGTATATCTCTTGATATAATAGAACATTTTTAATTGTGTAATTCTGTAATTTTATCCAATGTAAGATAAACATAAAAAAAATGTGGGAAAAATTCAAATATACCAGAATTTTGTGGGTTACTTCATGTAGAAAAAAAAAACAGAGATAATAAAAATTGTATTTTGAAACTAATACAATTTAAATTATTACAATCTAAATCTACAGCAGCATAGACAATCTGATGAGCATAAAGCTTGTAGAACGTGAATAAACGTGATTTTTATCAACTCAGAAAACAGAACATCAAAAACATAATTTCCAATTTTGGATGAAGTACTGACATAGGAAAATAGATATATTATTCAACTTTGTTTTCGAAATAGACTATAAAATGTACAAAAAAATTATATGCCTCCGAAATTCTCTTAAAACTATAATATATAAATCTTCAAAATCTAACACAATATACACACACACATATATTTTACATGTATCATAAAAAACAGAACCAAAGACTCACCCAGTAGAGCGAAGTTAATGATAAAGTGCTAGATTTTAAGAATTCTTCAAACCAAAACCGGGAAAATTCAAGTCAAAAATTGCTACAAAGTCTATACTTTTTATTTATAAATAGGTATTTAAGTTTTTACAACGAGTTAAATGTTAAAATGCTTAGATACAAAACGGGGAAATTAAACCATATGAATTTTGTACTGGAACACTTTTCCCAAAAACTCTTGTTCTAATAAGTTCTCTTACAAACTACAGTATTCATAATTAGTTCACGTTGATATCAGCTGAAAAAAAAAAGACACAATTCAAACCACGTCACGTCAACAATTCCTGCCTCAGATTAGAACAATACAAAGAAAAATCATCAAGAAAAAAAAAACTTGAAGTATCCATCCAGATTTCATTTCATAAGCTTGATACTTACAGACTTCACAGTACTTTTGATAAAATCTTTCTTCTGGGTGAGATCAAATTCTGGATAATGGTCATAGACTCGTTGGCATACATTCTTCATTGTGATTTCCTCCAGATTTGCACCTTCCAATATGCTTTTTATGAAAGTCTTGATCTCATCATCCTGAAATGAACAGGAAAAAACATCAGTCATAGTGATCCAAAATCAGCAGAGAAATTATCTTGACTGGTATATTGGATTCAGAATGACGTCACATTATTTTCCGAGTTGCTCTCAACGAGCCCTTTCATTTGATACCCATATTGTTAGAAGTGAATTGAAAATAACTATTCCGCCATCTTGAATAGTCCACCATATTGGATTTAGAATGACGTCACATCATGTTTCGAGTTACACTCAACAAGCCCTTTCATTTGATACCCATATAGTAGAAGTGCATTACAAATAACTATTATGCAGTCCCGGATGGTCCGCCATATTGGATTTCAAATGACGTCACATTATTTTTCGAGTTACTCTTAACAAGTCCTTTCATTTGAACCTATATTGTGGAAGTGAATTAAAAATAACTATTTTGCCATCTTGAATGGCCCGCCATACTAGATTCAGAATGACGTCACATTATTTTTCGACTTACTCTCAACGAGCCCTTTCATTTGATACCCATATAGTAGAAGTGCATTACAAATAACTATTACGCCGTCCCGGATGGTCCGCCAATTGGATTTAAAATTTAGTCACATCATTTTTCGAGTTACTCTTAACAAGTCCTTTCATTTGATACCCATATTGTGGAAGTGCATTAAAAATAACTATTTCGCCATCTTGAATGGTCCGCCATACTGGATTCAGAATGACATCACATTATTTTTCGAGTTACTCTCAACGAGCCCTTTCATTTGATACTCATATTGTAGAAGTGCATTGAAAATAACTATTACGCCGTCCTGGATGGTCTGCCATATTGGATTTGAAATGACGTCACAGTTAGTTCCAACGAGCCCTTTCATTTGATACCCATATTGTAGAAGTGCAATAAAAATAACTATTCCACCATCTTGGATGGTCATATTGGATTTAGAATAACTTCACACACCTTATCGTTCATTGTCATCCAAACAAAACGTGTATACAAAACTTCAGCTTAATCGGTTGAAGATATCTACTTCAAAATAGAGATTCCACCCGGGTTTCTGGTGTTGTAGTGAGAAAAAGGTGAGACTGGATTAATTCTAGTAGTTCTTTGAGGTTATATTTTCATTTTGACATGCGCTTTCAGCTTTGAAGTTTCAGTCCACAGGTTAAATCCTTCGAATAGGTCGCGTGCACGAAGACCGACCCTGGAGGCAAAATACTGAAACACAACCTCATTCTTCAGTGAATTATTGAAACACAACCTCACTTTTTCATTTGGTTACAGACGAATCAAAGGAATGAAATAGGTTTTCACAATAGTTTGGCATACGAATCGTGTTTTTTGCGCTATTTATTAATTCGAGCATGCCTTCGCATTGTGCTGTTGTACAATGGACAAAAAATGCAGCAAGAGACTAAAGTATATGATTTTTCAGGTAAATAGTAATCTCACATAGTTATTATTATGAAATGTTGTCATTCCTTATTAAAATTCCTTCTGCCTCCTGCCACTCCTGCAATACAAGCTAATACTGCTAATAGATTGAAAATGTCTACAACACACACGATCGTCAGCATGTCAGACCAGTCCTCCCGATTGATTGCATGAATCCAATCTTCTTGCATTATTTTAGAAATTTCAGGTGTATTTCTATTAGCTCCTATCGCAGAAGGAATTCCGATGAGAAATCAGAGAAATTACCAAATTTCAAAAAAGAAAACTATAGGTGAGTGACTATAGTAGGTACTTACTTTTGAATAATAATGTACCATCCGGATTCCTTCATCTTCCGCTGCAGTTTTTGTGCATTTTACAACAGCACAATGTGATGGCATGAGCGAATTGATGAATAGCGGAAAAATACGATTCATATGCCAAAATAATTGTGAAAAACTATTTCGATCACTTGTAAACAAATAAGAAAAGTGACATTGTGTTTCAGTGTTTTGCCTCCAGTGTCGGTCATCTGACAGTTCTTGCACGCAACCCATACTCATTACAATAATATTTCCCTTGCCCTTCCTGACAGAAAAAAACGCGTTCTTTTCATTCAATCGACAACTCAGATCCGTCTCACCTCCTTCTAACTCAATTGATATCAGTAGTGAGAACAGTGCCGGATTTATACTCACTTACGCCGTCAAATAATGAATTTCAATGGTCAGTTTCAAAATTCCAAGTACCTAATACCCTTTCACTGATTTTTATTCACAACGTATATCATATGACAATAACATAAACGAATCAAATTATATTTACTTCACAACTTAAACCTAAAATAAAAAAAAAATTTTTCAGATAAATACTTGATGCTTTTCTTGATTTTCAGTGTAAGTTTCAATATTTACCATTACCAACGACAACCTATTGAATACTGAACACTGGAGTAAACTCTGATTTTAGACTGATTTGTTATTTCTTATTGAGTTAGACGAATCACGAAATTACCACTACTGAGTATTGAATGCGGTTTTCTCATCTTCATCAAATAAAAGTATGTATACCACAGCCGCTATTGTATTGAAGCATTGAAGCGTCCAATTCACAGCTGAAGCTGGAATAGTGAATGTTATGATTTTCAATAAAACAGTAGTTATCCCAAATCCCACCCTAGTCCTTTTGATGAGGTGCCTACTGCCGGCGGTCGCCAATTGCGCGTTTCCTTCAAAAGGCGACGAGTTTAGAGGCGGCATATAGAAAGCAAGAAGCAATACTTATAATATATACTTGTCGCCTCGTCGGCGACGAGTATATTGCTGCTTGCTTTTTCTCTTTTTCTACCGCCTCTCAAGATTCACCGCCGGGGGCTGATAGTCCCATAGCCCCTCCCTAAATCCGGCACTGAGTGAGAATGTAACAAGGTAAAAAGAATATTGCTATACATTCATACATTGCAAGTTAAATAAAAGCTTTTAAAAAATCAGATCGATTCTTACCGTGGGCGGCTGACTGCTCTTGGCCTTCTTGCTCAGAGGCTCGTCCTCAGACGAACTACCCTCTCCCTCCTCCTCCTTGCGGTCGCTCTCCTCCTCCTCCTCTTCTTCGGACGACTCCTGCTTCTTGGCGCGTCGGCCGCGCGCCGGCGTCTTTTTCTTAGCGGGAGTCGTCGCCGCCGCCGCAGGCCTGCCCCTCCTTCCCGGGGTGGCCACCGCCCCCTTGGCTTTCGACTTGTTGTTCGTCGCCTTGGCGGGGGTGCTTCTTCTGCGCTTCGATCTCGGCTCGTCCTTCATAATAATCAATAAGGAGATTTTGCATTACTAGCTTCAAGAATGAATAATTATCTGATTTTGTAAACTACTACACAAGCAATAAGAATCCTGAGTAATGCCAATTACAGAGAAACCTGCCGATTACTATTCAGAAAATTGGATATCATGACCCTCACTTCACTTTATATTTGGAATACTGTGACTGAAATTCATAAAAATGTTTCTTCCATGACTACACAATCAGATATACATGATTATAACACCAGGGGATCGTTTAGTATACATGTCCCCAGATATAGGCTCACAAAATCTCGAAAAAATTCTTTGAATTATACTCTCTTTAACATTCTCCCGGTAGAAGTCAGAGATTTAAATACATTTAATTTCAAAAAAACAATGAAAGTATTTCTGCTCCTTCTATTCCATCGAAGAATATGTGGAATGTGTGAAGAAAGGTATACTCACTGAATCACAGAAAATTAACTTCATTGATTCCTGATTTGTACCAATCTTATTTTTATTGACCCTTTAATTACTTGATAAATGAATGATTTTTTATATACACCCAAATTGATTACTTTACATTTTATATACACACTTTTTGCGTCTTGTCTCTAGATGCTTTTATTCAGTTATTATTGAATTTGTGCATCAACGGGACTCTTCGGGTCTCGAGAGGAGAAAAACACATCCTAGAAAGTCTAGTTCAACATCGTCCATCGTTCACGCCATCTTTCATCGGATATGAGAACCTCACGTTCCGAACTCGCATTCAATTGTTCATATCGAGAGTAAGTTTCACGAACCAATTTGAAGACTGGGCACACCAGAGGAATTATAAACATCTCAAGGCTCATTCTCATAAAGGCAGTAGCAGTAGCTCCACCCCTTTCTGACGCCGTGTGAATATTATTGCAATAGCAGTAGCAGAGGTGACGATAGTTAGTGTACCTTGATCGATTTGTTTATATATTATAATGAAAAAATCGAATCCATCAAGGTACTCCGGCAAAATGGTCACATGTGCTTGATCACCCATCTCTCTCTCTTTCTAGCTAGCTATATCATGGCTGTTTCTTTCGTTCCTTCCCTCCCAGTGACACCATCATTATTCGATTTTTTCAAAATAAAGAAGAACATGGACAAAATTACTACAGAGAATAATAAAATACAAGTTTTACTGTAATATTGGTGGAGGCAAAAAATGCCTCAAAACATGTGATCCTATTATATATTAGAACGATGTGACATGTCTATGTCATGAATGTCATTGACTGATAACCTTTCAATTTATTTAAATGCAATTTCAAATTCTACCATACTCTTTTTGACATCTTCTGTTAATATCGTTGATTTGACACTCCGTTGAATTCAAAATAGTTCAGTGGCACAAACTAGATCTTAGACTAGGAAAGATTTATTGGACCTCTCTATATTTCAATGCGGACACGTTGGTAGCATTGAAGAGAAAGATGGAAGAGGAGAGAACTTTCTTCTCTCTCGTTTAAGATAGAAAAGAGCTCAATTGACACCAATATTCACTGCAAAAAGCTCAAAATTTCAAGCTTTTTGCAGTGTGACCGTCATCCAATCTTTGTTCACTATTGGCCAATGGGCTTATATCACAAAAAATTTTTATTCCATAATTCGATAGAACTCACCCAAACAAGCTCACCACAGCAAACCGTTTATCGCTGTGAGCTCTCTACGTTTTATAAAAAATTATTGAAATCCCCGATTTTTCGGACCTCTGAAAACGAGGCGATGATGTGACGTCAAAACCCTAATACTGAAACAGGACTATTCCAGACAGAGATGAATGATACATGATTTCTGACAGAGATGAATGATACATGATTTCTGGCAGAGTGAATTAGCGTGAGATCACAGTTGAAAGAATTAATATATCAGTTGCCTCAGTCTCCGTCCGGCGTTTGGTATTTTCTTTTAACTATGGCGAGATGAGGTTTCTACGTCATAAGAGGGTCCGTTTTCAGATGGTACTATTATTTATGTCCAAAAATTGAACATTTCAGTGAATTTTTCGATCGAATTATGTCGTCAATCATTATTTATGTATGAAAGGATCATTATAAACATGGTTTGAGTTAAAAGTTCTACCAAGGTGTACACGCCCATTGAGTAGCAGTGGGGGTGAAGCTACTGCCACTGCCTTTATCTGGTATCGCCTTCAGACCTCATATTTAAGTAGCGCCATCTGGTGGAAGTGAAAATGTTAGCCCCCCCCCCCCAAAAAAAATCGAATGTTCCGCTTACGTCAGACTCGTCCGAGGAAGCGACGATGCTCGCCTCGCTCGGCTCGTCCTCCTCCTCCTCCTCGTCCGACGACTTCTTCTTCGCCGATCGGCGTTTGCGCTTGTTGCGCGGCTTCTCCTCGCTGTCCGATCGGTTGGGTTTGAACTCCTCGTCGCTGGAGCTGTCGTCCTTCAAGTTGGTCCGCTTGCCTACAACGGTGGATAACAAATTTATTCGAACGACGCCGAGGGAGGCGCGAGTTCGATTGCATTTCGAAGGTTTCACATAGACATTTACGTGCAGGGACGTTACCATCGAGACAATAAGGCCTGCATGCTCCGTGGTGACGTCACCTTGGTGAGGCCTAACCAGCGGCTCGAAACGACAAGCGCTTATGGCGCTATAAGGCGACCGCGTATTTCAATTTTAGTTTTAAATCATTATTGAGCCGATTTTGCTGTTTTTTTGAAGGGCTTACGGTTAAAAAAGGATAAAAGTTCGAAATTTACTTACTTTCCTTTACTTGCTCTCTTTATTTTATCATTGGACACTTTATACATATACTCATGATGTACTTCAATGACACATTTTTATATAGAAAATTCAACAAGAAATATGATTTTTATGGCGAGTTTTTCATATTCGGTGAACAAGCATTCCAGATGACGGCCATTTTCAATAGTCAAATCAAAATACGAGATGTCAAATGTCTATACATTGCTTGGGAATGACACACGCCATTATTTCAAATGATATTATTCCTTCTTTTTACTAAATATGGATAAATCTCAAGAAAACCATATTTATAATTGAATCATATAATAGAAAAAAATGGGTCATACATTGTGATATACACTGTGTCCATAAAGTCACCCCCCCCCTGGTTAACTATTGAACGGATGGGATTTTTTTTTTCAATTTTTTTTTGCTTCAATGGTAGTTTCAGTGCTATATGTTGTTCCAAAAAAAAAATATGTATCCTCCAAAATGGCGCCTGGGCGCCATTTTGGAAGATTTTTTCAAATGGAGTGGGGGGTCGAAAGATACCTCGATTGAAAGGTCTTTCGATTCTCTATACAACCTCAGAATCTCAGACGAAAATATTCATCCAAAACAAAATGGCGGATGATAACGTTTGAAATCTCACAACAGAATTCTTTCGACTAGATGACTATTGAAGTGCTCGCATGTGATCTTCACATCTCTATTGGCGTAAAGAAGAGTTCTCTATCCATGAAGATATCAATAGGAGGCCATTTTGAAGAGAATAACATGGTAGTCAATTATACCTTTGCTCGATTGTCTTTCCAAATTCTGCAAAATTTTAGAAATATTTATTCAAAATAAAGAACAATGTTTATTCCACGTGACTACCATGTTATTCTCTTCAAAATGGCTTTCTATTGATATCTTCATAGATAGAGAACTCTTCTATACGCCAATAAAGATTTGAAGATCACATGAGAGCACTTTAAGGCGGGCCTTTCGCGAGAGCTTTCCGACCGAATATAGCCTATATATATATACTAGTTCAACAACTATTTCCAGGTGTCAGTGTGATGTCGAAATCGAAATAAAATAATTAAATTACAGCTTTCACAGCTATTGTAGAGTTCTTCGATTTCGTCTGTTACAGCAGGTCACCAATAGATGGCACACAATTGAATGCAATCGTAGGTAATTGTATTATGTACGTGCAGTGTTGCCAGAGCTACTGCTCCACGGGCCTGCTGAACATGATTCCACTTTTCACTCCATTCAAGTCAAGCAAATTCTCGCTACTCGCTACAATGAAAATTTATGTCATGATTTTTGAAACTGTCTTCCTTTTTAATTTCATTTCCTACTAATATAACTTATCATTATTGGCGTCACCAGAAAAACTTCCAAGGATGGGGATCGAAATCATTGTTCAGGGCAAAATAGTCTGTGTAATTCAGAAATAATGTGTGCAAGATTTTTTATCAAGTTCAGATGGCTATAAATAGAAATTTCGTGTTTTCTGTATAGGGTATATACGTAGACGATTGCCTATAGTTTCAAATATCTTCATTCTTACGAATTCACACTGCTATTACTGATATAAGGGTTATATTGATATATACAGTGTGTAGAATGAAAGAAATCCTTGATTCAAATTTCATGTTCTCTAATTCAGACCTGCTTGCTGAAATACAAATTTCGATCATAATTGCACTTATGAAAAAAACAATTTTTTCGAAGTGAGAACTTCTAGGCGCGTTGAGCACTTTTTTGGGTGGAGAAAAACATTGGATTTCGCGTCATCGTCACGACCCGTCCCGTGTCCCGTTATCGCGAGGTCAATGAATAGCAATAAATTTGAAGGGTGCAGTATCGCATCTCATCTCATATTATGTAGTATTTTGTAATTATGATTAGATTCTATTCTAAATTGGTATATGGAAGTTTTCGGGGTCGGAGATTATGATTCTTTCGTGAAAATTAGGATATTGAAGATGGCTGACGAGTTTTATAATAATTATGATCCCATTCTATTCAAAATTGGTGTCTGGGGGTTCTCGGCGTCGGAGATTATGATTCTTTCATCATGGCTCCACCACCATGGCGCACGAGTTTCGTAATTATGATTCTATGCCATTTGAAATTTGTATCTGGGGTTTTTTGGGGTCGGAGATTATGAATCCCGAAATGAAAAATTCAAGATGACGGATTCAATATGGCGGACGAGTTATGTGATGATGATTCTATCCTATTCAAAATTTATATATAGGGGTGTTTGGGGTCGGAGATTATGATTCTATCGTCAAAATTGGGAAATTCAGGATTGCAGATCCAATATAGCGGACAAGTTTTCTAATTTTATTATCCGATTCTATTCAAAATTTTTACTGGTGTTTCAGGGGTCGGAGATTTTGAATCATTTGTCAAAATTAGGAGATTCAAGCGAACACCATCTCAACAGTTTTTGTTAGTCTATCTTAGACAGCGAATGTTTTTAGGTAATAATAAAGTTTGTCGAGTTGATAAAAATTCTGTTTGTTAGTGATAAAACAGTGTATAGTGTGAGTGTGATCATATCGTACCAAAGTTTCCAGGATTCCCTGGTTTCGGTCTTCAACATAACGGTGAGAAATTGATTTGCCATCATATGCTTTCTATATCTCACAATCCATTTTGTTTTAATGGTCAACTTTTTTTAAATCATTTGAAAATCGAATTATAATGAAAAAAATATAAGAAAATTATGTTCATGCTGATTTAAAACTTACAAAGTTATTGTATGAGGAATTTCAAAATAAAATATTTTCCTTGTACACCCTGTTTCTCCAAAACTAACAGCATTTTCTATGTGAGATGTGAGATGTGAGGCTGAATCTTCATATTCTTATGTTCTTATTTCTAGCTCACACATTGACCATTTTGAATGAATAACCCTGTATATATTTCAAAGAAAATTTTAATATCACGGAATTCATTGAATTTCAAAAATCTTCCCCAAAGAAGATGTAAGTGGAATATGAAGTATCTACCTACGATAATTCTCTAAAACATGAACTGGATGTTCGATAACGTCTCCAAATGTCTCGAAAAAAAAGCGGCTGCTATATTTTCAAATATTTCGTATGTGGCTGACTTTCCCGTTGCCTCGCCTTTCTGCCCATTCTCATGAATTTTTGCGACATATCATTTGCAGCAGCTTGCAACACTGGCTTTTCAATTATTGATTATATCCCGGTTAGTTTGAAGTTCATCTGAAGTTCATGCAATTCAAAGTGGCACGTGGCGACTGCAGAAAGACGGGGAATCACCGCGCGACCAATGAATATCCCCCCGGTTCGCCGCGGGAGGGAGAGAGACATATAACGATTTCTCGCTCAGTTTTGTTTTGTTGCCGTGGCGGTATTATCCTTTGTGAACATCGCCATATCAATGGATCCAAAATCTGATAACTGTACTCTGAGACGAATTTTTTTGCATGAGTTTTAGAGTGAAATAACCTGAACTTTTGACACAGATTAACAAAGCTTTTTGAAGTTTGTTCCACAACTGTGCCATTCCTATTATTTCCATCTATATGCTGACATAATTATCGATCTCATGAATAGAATTGAAGAAATTCTGCTGAATATGTATGTTTAAATTTTCAGGTCTAGCTACTTATATAATTATAATTCAGTGACAAAATCTAGGCCGTTTCAAACTACTCTATTTATTTTCTAGTTCTTCTTAGTTCGGTTCTCTATACCTCTTCATTTTTACAAACTACTCTTTATTTTCTACTCACTTCTGTTTAGTACGGCTATCTATAAAAAGGTGTTTCATTAGTTTTTCAAACTAATATTTATTACAATAGCTGATACCCGGCAAACGTTGTTCTGCTATATACAATTATTTCCAGAAAATATTTTTTTAGTTGAATAATTATCGACATACTTTTATTCATTTGTTTTCTAATTCTTCTCCGACCCCGAAAACACCCAGATACAAATTTTGAATAGAATCGGATCATAACTACAGAACTCAGTTGCCATCCTCCATCTTCAATTTCCTTATTTTGATGAACAATCATAATCTCCCATCCCAAAATCCCCCATATACAAATTTGGAATGGTATCGGATTAAGTTACAAAACTCGTCAGCCATATTGAATCTGCCATCTTGGATTTCCAAATTTTGATAAAAGGATCATTATTTTCGACTCCGAAAACCTCCCGATACCAATTTTACATAGAATCTGATCATAATAATTAAAAAACTCTTCCACCATATTGGATCAACCATTTTGAATTTTCCCATTTTGACAAATGATTCATAATTATCTACGACCTCTAAAACCTCCAGATACCAATTTTGAATAGAATCTGACCATAATTACAAAACTCGTCCGCCATATTGGATCCGCCATTTCGAATTTCCTAATTTTGATAAAAAATCATAATCCCTGACCTCGAAAACCCCCAGATACCAATTTTGAATGATATCTGACCAATCTGTTCTGTTCAGCACCAAAACATAGGCTGATGCTCTTAGATTCCATCCAGAGAAGAGCCATTCGCCTGGTGGGTGACGCGCCACACTCACTCACTATCTTTGACATCATTGGAACACCGTAGAAAGGTCGGCGACCTTTCACTTTTCTATCGATACTTCCACGGGAAATGGCTATCATCCCTCCACTAGCAATACCAGTCAGACGAAGTAGACAAGCCCAGTCAGCACATCCTCT